TTGAAGAATTATGAAGGATCGCGTCGGAAAAATAAAATATTCATAGCAATGTTTAATTGTAAACTAAATTAATTAATAATTAAATTTCATTTCAATTTTTGTTTGTTACAGAAATGGAAGAAATTTTAAAAAGACGCAAACAAAACGATGATCAAACATTAGTCAGCACAAACATGAGTGCAAACAACTCGGATTTGTTAAATTGTTTCATGCCGGGAGCGAATGTGTTTTCACCACAATTTCTAGCAAATCAAACAGCAGCTGCTGTTGCATTGATGACATGGCCAATTCAACTTCGTGCGCAACTTGCATCAGCGATTCGCCTTCCGAATCATTCAAATCTCTTTGGATCTTGGCCACCATTACCAACATCACTTGGATCTCATGAAATGACCAACAAAGTGAACAAAACAGCGAAACAAAATAAAGTACAATGCGTAAATGATTCCCAAATTGTTTCTACGACATCCGATTTACTTCCTCAAAGGAAAACAGCGAAGAGAAAACAACAACCGGAAACTATTAAGCGTTTGAATCCATTGAAAGTTCATACAGAACAACTTTCGCCAGTTCCAAAAAATTTGCTTTCGCCATCAGATACAGCAACAGAGATCACAACTGCTTTTTCGAATACTGCAAAAGATCCTACGAAAGACAAAGTCTTCACTTGTAAAATTTGTAATCGTTCGTTTGGCTACAAGCACGTTCTGCAGAATCATGAACGAACTCACACGGGCGAAAAACCGTTCGAGTGTACACAATGTCATAAGAGATTCACTCGAGATCATCATTTGAAGACTCATATGCGATTGCATACTGGAGAGAAACCTTATTCATGTTCCCATTGCGATCGTCAGTTTGTACAAGTCGCCAATCTTCGACGTCATTTGAGAGTCCATACAGGCGAACGTCCCTACACTTGTGAGATTTGTGAGTCAAGATTTAGTGACTCGAATCAGTTGAAAGCTCACATGTTAATTCATAATGGTGAGAAACCTTTTGGTTGTGGACATTGTCAGTCGAAATTCCGACGACGACATCATTTGATGAGTCACAAATGTGGAACTCCAAATGCATTATCACCCGCTGAAAGTCCTTTAACATTCGATCATAAGAGTAATTGCTCAGAAATGAGTGACGAATCTTTAGATTTAAATAAAGCTCGTGAAGGATTTGAAAAGTGTCAACAATTGCTTGGCAACATGCAAAGTCTTTCAAAAAGCCGCTTACCTGTGAATTCAAACAACAATTCTGCCAAAATTAATCTTCTTGACGTTCTCAAACAAAATCAAAGTCAAAAACTTAGAAACTTTTCACACTTCTTTGGTCTACCCGTGGTTGTTCCCGAACAAACTGAGCCTGAAGATTTGTCCCTTCATTCGCCACGATCTCGTGTATCGACTGATGATTTGGATGACATCGACGACGCTTCTGTTATGTATTTGAAGTCACATCAGTTGAATGATTACAATGATAATGAGAGAAGTAAAACCGTTCAATAGAAACAATCAGAGGTAAATATTAGTTTAAATTAAAGTTATTAAAACTATAAGTTTATTTGAAAAGCTTTCCTAAACTACAAAAGCTCAAAAATCACTTTAAGAAACAAGAAAAAAAATGATCATTTAGCTACCAAAAACTGAAATTAACTCAAATTGTACAAAATGAAATCTGATGATTTATGTTACAAAACTTTTCGCTTATTAATCTATTTAACTACGCTACGGGTTTTGTATTCACTCAGAGAATTCAGGGATGATTTTTAAACATTTAACTTCATGTATTTTATAAATAGCTAATCTTGCAACTATATTCGTGAAAAGTATTAAAAATGAAATAAAATAAATGCTTGTTCAAATGTTAAATGTAAATCAAAGTCGAGACAGAGATGATAAATTCAGAATCTTGATTTGCTTATATTTTGGGAACCATAGTCTTCGCTGGTGGTGTGAATTGGCTGTAAATTAAATTCCACCTGTAACTTAATGAAATTGAAATTTTATCAATGTGATATAATGATGTAAATAATTATGTGCAACATTAATTTTTATGTGCAATATGGTAATGTAGTGTTAGTTAAGCACTGAATTTGTGCTTCTGCAAAATGATTGCTTAGATCTCAAATAGATATTTATAAAAACCTTTTCCACGTTACTAAATGATTGTGTCGGAAGAAAGGACGAAGAATCAAGAGAATTTCTTTAAACTACTTTCTATTAACTTTTTTTTGTTATCATGTTTTAACTTTTGGTTCTGTTTTGTTGAAGATCAAAAAGATTATTTGAATATGCCTTGAGGAAAAGTGGAGCAAATTTTTTTCCATTATTTAATTTAAACTTCAAATATTCTCTGGCCTTCCTTATTTTTTGATTGTGTTTTGAACAAGTAAAACGTATTAAAACGTCAAAAGAAATCATAAAGCTCCCGAATGTCTGAATGTGTCAACCGCAAAACACAACAAGTACCATTCACATTTTCATTTAAAGTTTATTTTTTTCTCATTCTTTTTTCTTCCCTGCTCTCGTCATGTGCATGGGAGAAAAAGGTCTTTTCAAGGCGGAAGGTGAAAAGAAGTGGAAGTAATCAGAAATGTACAATGGACATATGATTTAAATATTTCCTAAACCATCTTCAAAGTCAAAATTACCATATGAAGAATGATTAAATATGATTGAAATAACTTATCGATATCTATCCTTACGACTTCTTACAAATAAAAAATCTTCCACAAAATCGGTTTCATATTCTTGAGCGAATTCAAGTCTCTTGACTCATGATGTGTACAAGAAAATTGAGAAGGAATGGAAAATATAACCCAGTTTATGTATATGTGACATGTGTGGGAACATTCAATGAATTCGAAGCTTTATCCGCTTCAACAATCGAGAAAATCTTCGGCTATAATAAAGAGAAAGATTTATAAATGTTACAATCTTCATCAAGTGACCACATTGTATTGAGTACAAAAAAATGTGACCCTTCATACCTTCAACAACATAAAACTTTCATTCTTAACCCATGACATTCCGAATCAAGAAATATGTGAGCTCTTTAGCGCTCGAGGGACTTTTGGGGTTTTAGCATTTCTTGAGGATTATATTTTCGGTTCTTGCAACTAAAAATAAAAGAAATGCTTTAAATTTATTCTTTCTATGGAAAAGCGATCAAAATCTAAAAATTTCATCTTCAACGGATAAATTCATATATACAAAAAAAAATCCTCAAAAACATAAAGCTTAAGAATTGTTAGTACAAATATTGAAATACGAATAGATCTACCTCAAGAAAATAATTCTTTCATTCTGGTAATTAATTTACGTGGGAAATTTATAAATGAAATAAGTGAATATTGTAAAACTAAGCAGAACTTGAAGCTTTTTATGCGGGAATTTCAAGAAATGAAGACAACCTACAAATTTTAAGGCAAGATAATTTTATCAATTGACTGCTTTGCTTTATTACTAATAAAAACTTCATCAATACAAATTTCTGTTGAATTACTTCATTAACAAGAACAATCAATACAAAACAGTCTGTTTTAGATAGGTTTAAGAGAAATTTTAAGAAAGTTTAAGCTGTTTTATGTAATGTAATTTTTATATAATTTTCTGTGAATTTTTCTTACATTTCAAATTGAACAAAAGATAAAATTCCTCGTATGAAAAGCTTCCGAAATTATAATTTAATAGCCGAACTCTGTCTATTCATACGCCATTTAACAAATTGCCTCAAAGTAAGAAAATGAAATGAAAAATAAAAACAAAATGAAATAAAGACGAAATAAAATCTAAAAGCATTTTAATTAAAATTTATTTTTTGAATTTCTCTTCACTTCTCAAACTTGACTTGAAGGATATCGTTCCGCTAAGTGTTTATCTTCACAACGCCATACCAACATTAACGGTAAAGTAGAGATGCCAGAGATGTCCCCACGAGTAACGCTTAACGTCCAAAAGTATAGCAGAAGAAACGGAAAAAAGGCGAAGAAAAATCGTATGAATTTTATCTTGAGATGCTATTAAAAAATTACACGCGGCCATTTTCATGATTCTTTTCTTTCCTTTTTTCATCCACCCGAGCACAACATTTCTGTCCTTGTTTCTTAAGCTCCGCACTTCGGTGGCCCAAATATAATGAAAACTCATCCAACTAACTCCCCCACTTTTCTTCCTCCCAACCTCCACCGTCTCCCCTATTAAAATTATATTTTTACCCCTATACATTTCGCCTTTTTTTTCTTCTTCTCTCCTTTGCTTTTCTCATGGCATAAAACAGCAAAGAAAAAAAATCGTAAAGACCCATTTTTGCATTAACCATTCCTAAAGCCTGTTGTTGTTGTCATCTCACACCAATACACTACCCGCTTCTCCCTCCTTTTCAGCTTCTTCAGTGATCTCAGCTCATTCAACCAACTCAAACCCCATCATTTTCTCACCCCATTCACCTTACCGCCCGTTTCCTGCGAATGAAAAAAGAATAAACAAGTCTTCGAGCTTTTTGTAAAGTCCATAAAAGAGTAAAGAAAAATTGTTGGAAATAAAATTTGCCTTTAGCGAAAAGTAGATGGATGCTCTCTCGTTCCACTCATCTCGCCATCATCCTTCTTCTGTCGTTCTTTCATTCTGCTTTCGTTCTTATCTCATACTCCCTTTGCCTGATTCACAACAGCCCTCCTAATTTTCAGGACGCCTAGCTATGTTTCCTAAATTAACGGTGAAAAACAACATAAAGAAGAACGATTTGAAAGCGAAGAAAAAAAAAGCGAAATTTGAAGTATTAAGACACAAATATTATAAAAGGTACTTATGAAACGCTGTGGAGGAAAAAAGGTTTCTTTCGACTACGTAAACTCAGCATAAACCAACGAAACTCACGGACTCACACAAACAAAGTGACACGCAAAGGGCCTCGGTACAGAAGAAATTTCTCTGCTTGATAATTTTAATTACTTGTCGTGCGGGGGAATGGATGAAAACCTCCATCCGCATTTTGAATGGATAAAAGAGAAAAAAAAGAAAGTAAGGCCATTAGCGTTTTACAGAAAAGAAAGTCAGATAGGCATTTAGAATTCTTCATGCATTGGAATGAGAAGTGGTGGGATGAATTCAAGAAGTATAAAAAATAAAACATAAAAGGGACGTCTTCACCAAATGAATATTTGGCATTCATTTTAAAAGAAATTTCGTATTCATTGAACCCGGAAATTGGTAATTAATGTAAGGGAATTGTTAATTGTTGAAGTGTCGTCCTATTTTGATTCTATTTGTCAAGAGCAAGTGAAGACTTTTTCTTTTCTTTTCTTTCCCCTAACAACAGATTGATTTGTTTGCTTTAACGGTTTCTTGACTTTACCGCGTGCTGATATCGTTGCGGAAAGAATGTATGGGGAGAAGATGAAACCAGTGATATGTTCTCACATGTAATGTTTAAAAGATTCACTGATTTCTTTCTTCTCTTCTTTCACTCAGCTATAATAAAAAGTGAATAAAGTTTATTACATAAAGATTTTCATACAACTTATTTTCATTTCAGATTATTTCATTCCCTAATCTGATAACTTTTCATTGGTAGTAAAATCAATTAAATGTTAAGAGAAAGAAGGCATTCCAATAGAAAATCGTGATCGAAGAATTTTCTATTCACGAGAAGCCTATAAATTAGTTTCGCCTTTATTCGAATTTACATAATGAAAATGACGAGAAAGTCACATCTTTTCTTTACCCGCGCGCTTTACCAACACTAACGTAGGTCCAGTAAAAAGGCAACGGGAAAAATAAGATTTTAAATGAAAGCAGAGGAAAATTCTCATTATTTTTGTATAATGGGATCGTTTGTTTCTAATGTCAAGTCTTTTATTTTTTTTCATTTAGATACTTCAAGACGATCTTCTTCTTCATAGATTTCCATTTCATTTTATCTTAGATCAGTCTAGATGAACATCTTGATGACTTAGTTAACGTTACTTTGGTACAAGCCTTGTAGAAGTTCTGAAAAACATTAAAAATCCACCCTTTTCGCCTTATCCCCGTTTTCATGCCCACCACTTTGAAACGCCATCTCACACCGTTTCTTTCCCTTCACCAGGACAAACAACATCCAAACTCTCCACCAGAAAGCTCTTTGCGTTGTTTTTTCCTTTCCTTTGAAGGATAGCAAAAGACTCGATGTCCCCCCCTCCGCAACGTTAACTCACCCAGGCGATTCTCATTCCGCATACTTTAGTCTTCGCTGCTTCTACCCCATCACGGACACCCACACGACACAGGCGAGGGAAATGTTTTTTTTTCTTTTAATTCAATTTAAAACGAAAGGCAAAAACACACAATCTTTTAGGGGTTGAAAGCAAGAGCGACGAGAAGCGAAAGAAAAAGAAAGAAAAAAAGGAAAGAAAAAGTTTAATCTCGCTTTGGCACTAATTATTGGATAGAAAGGAAAATAAATGTAAAAAAATCGAAAGGAAAATTCAAGCGATGGAAATTTCCATTTTCTCTTTCTTATTTGAAACTGCTGTTCTTATCCACCACGCGAAGAGTTAACGTATTTAAATTTTCTTCTCTTCTCCTTCTGTTCTGGTTATCGCTACGCGAAAGAACAAAAAATGTATATTTGGGGGATGCTAACGAAATGAGGAAAAAGGGGTTAATTTTCATCCCTAAATTTTGTTTTTCCATCTCGCTTTTTTAAAGACGTTCTCGTTTACTCCAACACAATCATTTGCCTTTCGTTTATGTATTTTCTTCTTCATTTTAACGGCGAAATATGTAAATTTCGCCGTAAAGCGCAAAGAATGTTTTTTAAAACTCGCGATGCCGTCAAAGAGAAAGAAAAAGCATTAATTTTACTTTATTAAAGGGATGTTGCTTTACTATTGCGCACAAGAGAGTGAAATAATGACGATGGGGTTGAGAAGCACTTGCATATTTAAATAATTTAGACGGAGAAGTGAGGGCGAATGAGTGGGTGGTTTCGCTTTGGGAGTTTCGACTTCTCCCGCGTTACCCTTCGCGATTCATTCTTCTCAACTGCCATTAAAGAGTTATCGATTGTTTGTAATTTTCATGAAAGAAAGGCATAAAATTTTATGGTTGTAATGGATTTTTTAAATAGCGCGGAACACGATTGTGTTGGTGAAACGACTAATGAATTGCGCAGAAAAAAATTCATAATCCTCTCGTGGAATGAACGAAAAGTAATTAGGTAAAACGAAATGGCCGAGGTGAAAGTAATACAAAAACCAACAACAAACAAAGATGACATGGAGATTTACATTTTACAAATAAAGATTCTTAGAATATTTTAATGAGAGTCAAGATTTTTGTTTTTAATTCATTTAATTGAAGATAAATGTTAGACATGTAACAGCTGCAGAAGAGATAAAAATAAATCTCATATTTATGAATCTTTTTTAGATTGAACTTTCCAAGACATTCTCGATAAAGATTTTCATCAGAAAACTTAAAATAGTTGAAACATAAAAACAGAAGTATTGATAAAGAAATTCTCAGAGTATCGTTTGAATTCTGCAAATCTCTTTTCCAACTTGTTGACTTTTCAAATGCACAGAGTGGTGACGAAATAAAAAAGAACTCGTTGAAATCTTATGTATGAATGTCATTCTTTCTTCCCTCTCTTGTCTCGTAATGTGCCGGCAGTAAACAAAATTACCATTAAATATTTGTTTTACTCTCGTTTGTTTCCTCTTATATGAGCGCCTCTTGGATTAAAAACGACCAAATGTCGTAAAGCTGATTTTTTTTTCGCGGATAAAAATGGGCGAATGCACTTCTTATGACTGATAGGTGTGTAACGACAGTCGAAAGAAATCTGTTTTTAATGTCAAAACTCCATTAAGGTGGCTCATAAACAAAACGGTGACTCTATTATCTTATGTAAGTACAAATTTGCAACAGTACTTTCACAGCTTTCTTCTCACACGCCCGTTGACTATTATGGACCATAAAAATGTGTAACTGTGCGAATATAATTCATAGTCTCTAATGGTTATGGGGTTTAAATCGCCATGTGGCATTTACTGCTGTCAACTTGAATTTCTTGCTTCTTTATCAATTTATTCTTTCTTTTCCATCACTTGGTCTTGTTCATTAATTTATGAAATGTAGGAAACTGTTACCATGTCATTAAAATTATCAGCAAGAATTTAATCTTTAGAAATCACGTTGGAATTTCTTTTTCTTTCCAATAATATTTACGTTTAAATGTTTCTGAGTAATTTCTAAAGGTTTTCACTTTAATTTCTGGGGACTTCAAAGCCCAAAAGCTTTGAAAAATGTGAAAGAAATGATATTCAGTAAGGTTAAGTTGAAATTAAATCCGTTTGTTCGATACTTAAATGTTGAGAAGCATTTCTGAAAATAACTTTGAAATAGATAATTATATAATATCGACGAATTTATATAGATTTCCATCGATAAATATTTGATATTTAGAGATTTCATTTTAATAATGAGAAGGTCAAAATCCAAACTTTTCTTCAATAATCTTTAGTTCTTAAAAGCAAATGAAACAATGTTGTTGACAATATTTCGATCACGTAGGTGATGAAGAGATGCCACAAAAGTCTTGTACGCATTTTGTGTTATAATATTTGACTATAAACTTTCATTTATTTCTTCATATTTGTTCAATTCATTATTCTAAGTAAAAAAAGCATTTAAAATCTGTTAATGCTTTCTCAAGCAACAAAAAAAATCGACTAGCGAGGGTAGAAGATTCACTCACATTAAAAAAAAAGAATGAAAACGTTACTCACATTTTTTTTTGTTTTAAATTTACCCAGAACAAGTACGATGAAATTACCAGCAACAGTAAAAGAACGCATAAAATTGTTTTCCAGTTAACAGTTTGACAGATATTTGAACTGTAGAACAAAATTTTTAATAAACTCAAAGTTTAATCAAGAACTTTTCGTAAAATTCTAAAATTTGAATGTCATAAGCATGCAACCCTTTCATCTGAATACCTTCATCTGCTTATGTCGACTCATGCCATACGCAAGCAAGTGACGTTTTTCCGATACATTCAGCTCTGTATAAATTTAATAAACAAAAGAACTCGAGCTCTAGAAGATTTATTCCATTTCAGCAGCATTGATTTTCAGAGAGAGAAAGATGAAAAAATGAATTAAAATTTTACCCCTTTTATTAAAAAAAATGTTGTGGGGTAGCGATCATGATGATGAAAAAAAATACTGTGAGGCACACTTTTCAAGAAAGAAAAAAAAGGAATTTCTACGGTAGAGAAATCTAACGTTACCCAGACATTTGATATGCAAATTAAGGGAATGAGAAATATTTTTTATATTCATCATTAAAGGGGGAAGTTTTTAATATTCACAAAAAGCCTTTGCTATACGAGTGTGTTTGTGAACACGTTGATGCTGTAAACGAGTTTTCTTTGAATGCCTTAAGTCTTATTTTAAAATTTTTAATGTATTCAACTTGTAGTTTTAATAAACAACCCTCACAGCTTTTAAACCCTTTCACCCTGAGCATTTTTTTTTAATTTCAAACTTTACTCTAGATATTTTTTTAATCTGCATTTTCGTGAGGGTGAAGAGAAAGGGTTGAAGAAGCCAACAAAGATGTAAATTGTACACGTTCCTGGGACACGAAAAGAGAAGCAAAAAAAATGTGAGGGATGATTTTTCAGTCTCTTCATTTACTCGTGTTGAAGATAGAAAAAAAAGTGTGAGTGCACATTAAAAAGCGTAATTTATGTTGAAAGCAACTCCGCATCATTAAAAGTATCATAAATTTGTGTACGAAAGATGTCAAAGGAAAATTTTATAATTACGTTTTCTTTATTTTACTTTTACTTTCTTTTTATTTTCGTGTATCTTCGATAGTCGCCCGGGATTCGCTGCGCCTTGGTAAGAACTTTTTTCCTTTTTGAACTTTCTCTGCTCGCGCTTGAATGTCCATTGGAGTGTATAATTAATATTAATTTAAATTGGGGTCGAATCACGGACTTAAATTGAGCATAAATTGATATAAAGCTCGTTGCGCCTTGGCATCTACATGATTTTTAGTCTCTTCAAGTGAGTTCGATTTTTCTTCTTCTCCTTACCCTTAGTTCTTCTCGCTTTCATTTATAAAGAAGGCGGATGAAATAAAAAGATGTAAATTTTATGCAAACAAGCCGGACAGCAATTCAAACCCATTTAATTATCGCATTAATGTAAAATAAAGATCGATTAGAAGAGTGTTTATTCAAATTAAAAAATATAATTCTAGAATTGTTACTCATCGAAGTATACACTCAAAGATGAGATTTCTAAGAAGAAATTCTAAACAACAAAACGTCCAAAGTTCAAATGATTCAAAAGCTTTAATCAAAGGAATCAACAACAAGTACGAGTCGCTATAGCAACTCTTCCACTGCCCCAGCAGTGCTGAAAATGGATTTTTTAAGTACCGTTGGGTGGTGTGAGGCGTTTTAATAACAACAAACTCTTCGCTTAACGTTGAGAAGGGAATTCGATTTTTTTTATAATAATTTTCTTTTCTTTCACTTTCTCTACAATTTCCGCGGAACATTATCTCGCGCATTTTAAATTTCTTCTTTTTCTGTTCTCATTTGTTCCCTTTCCAAGATCGAAAGATTTTTTAAAAGGGGTTTGATGAAGGGGGAAACAAAAGAAGCCCAGCGAAAATGAGGAAAATGTAAGAAAATTTATGAAATGAATGAAATTAGGGAGGCAAGAAGCTGTTTCTTAAAAAAATTAAATTGTAACAAAGTATCATGAGAATAAGAAGGATATTTGAAAAATGAATACAGAAATAAAAGTCGTCTTTTAATTCCAACTAATGTAATTGTTGTTTCAATACTTGCGTTATATATATATTCAAACAGACCAGCATGTTTTTCAAGTTGTTCAACTCTAATGAAATTTACAGCAAATTCGAACTGAGGAGAATTTAACGTTCGAATGAAATTTGAAAACTTCTTAATACAAATAGGTCTCCTCGGTATAAGAATTTCAATGTAAACAAACAATGTAAACAAACAGATTTTCAGTAATTATATTACTTTACCTTTAAACTAAAAGTTCTAAGTAGAAAGAAACAATGGATGAAAAATGTCGGCTCTGTCGTAAAGACGAGTTAGTCTTCTCTGAGTCAATATTTTCTTATCGTTGTGGAAATGAACAAATTTCAGAGATTATAATGAAAATTTGCCCAATAGTTCAAATTGAATTTGATGATGGACTTCCAACAAGAATTTGTCAGCAATGTTTAACGATATTAATAAGTGCTTATGAGCTTCAGAAAACCAGTCTTGAAAGTGACAACTTTTATAGATTACACTATGGATCTCAAATCTTCCCTAATCTTGAAGTAGAACAAGAAAATTTGGAATTAATAAAAATTGAGGATGTAAGAAGTTCTTCAGATGATTTAAATGAAGAAATGTCAGAATATTCTGAAGAAAATTCTTACGACTCTAAAGCAAGAAGAAAATCGTATCAACAAAAATTATTATTTAAACCTCGTCCAATTCAAGGACAAAAAGGAAAACTTGATAGTAAAACTATTTATGCTTGCAACTTTTGTAACACAAAATTAATGAGAAGGTCAAACATAAGTCGTCACATGTTGTCGTTACATGATCCTACAATGAAACCCTTTGCTTGTATTTATTGTCCATTTCGATTTGACGACGAAGAGAAGAAAAAATTACACGAACAACGAAATCATCTTCACGATGTTCCTTCAATCATATTTTGTAACATTTGTGGTGCAAGTGGAAGTTATCAAAGTGGAATTGATCAGCATATTCAAGACGATCATTGCTGTGAAAATGATTCTACAGAAAATTTTCTAGTCAAACGTCGAAGTGAAAAGTTTCATCCACTTCCGTTATCAAATCAATTACCTTCATTGAAGTACGAAGATATCTGGTATAAGTGCAATTTCTGTCATAAAGCTTTGAAGCATAAGAAAAATATCTTGCGACATATAAGAAGAAAACATGATCCTGAAAATCTTCCATTTGGATGTAAACTTTGCATTGAAAGATTTGAGAATATCGAACAGTTGAATGAACATAAAAAGAAACATGAAAAAGATGACAAAATTCCTTTAAATGTTATTTTTTGTGAGATTTGTGGAATAAGTGGCGATAACATGGAAGGAATGCAAAATCATAAAACTGACGACCACAGTTTAACTCTTGTTAAAATAAACAAAAGAATAGAAGTTGAAAACTTACCAATTTGTGAACCGAATAAAAAATCATTTTCAAAATTTCATCCACGAGTTGTACCAGGATTTGAGCATCTGAAATACGATGAAATTCCTTACATCTGTAACTTTTGTAACAAACAGTTGAAGCCACGAAAAAATCTCATCAGACATATGAAAAGAAAACATGATCCAGATGAACTTCCATTTGCTTGTCGGTTTTGTGTCGAAAGATTCGTAACAATAATTGAATGTGGGAAACATGAAAGTTTTCACGATCATGAGCCTCGTATTTTATTCTGTGATATTTGTGGTGCAAGTGGAGACAATAAAATTGGAATGGAAAACCACATGACTGACGATCATCTGAAACGCAATCTCGAAAATTCTTTGCAGTCAAAACAAATTTCAGAATCGAATGAAAGTCTTAACAAATGTTCAAAGTGTGACGAAACATTCAGTACCAAATTTCAACTACGTAATCACGAATGGCTGATCCATTTGAAACTTTATCGTCAATTGAATAGCGAAGAAGTGAAACAAGAAATGAAATGTTGTGCTTGTGATGAAACATTTGCCACCGAAATTTCACTTCTTCAACACGCTAATATTCATCGAAAAGAATTTGGAAATGTTAAATGTTCACATTGTCCCACACCAATTAGGTCATTCGATAAATTCTTGAAGCATCTTCAATATCATATGAAGCCAAAGACTCACGAATGTACAAAATGCCGTAAAATCTTTCCATTTGATAGCAAAATGATTGAGCACATCAAATCACATCGAAGAAAGTTTAATGACAAAGTGATTTGTCCGAAATGCCCAGGAAAATTCAGAAATAATAAATTTCTAGAGATTCACGACAAAATTAAACATTGCAATCAAACTCTTTTCATGTGTCCAATTTGTGCAAAGTCATTAAGTTCAGAATGGGCGCTTGACAATCACATCAGATATGTTCATAGCACAGAAGACCAAAGAAAACATAAATGCAAATTTTGTCCAAAAAAGTTTACTCACAAATCGAAACTGAATATTCACGAAGCAACGCACAGCACTGAACGACCTTTCATGTGTCAAATTTGCCCTGCACGTTTCAAACATAAAGATGGATTGGTTGTTCATATTCGACGACATGATGGAACTTTACCTAAGAATTTTAAATGTGATCAATGTTCGATTAGATTTGTCGATCGACACCGTTTAGCACAACATCTTCTGACACATTCAGGAATTGTAAGTAAAAAGAAGTTTTCTTAATACCTAAATAATTCATACTTAATTTCTTCCCTTTTCATAGAAACCTCATCAATGTAATTATTGCGACCGTTCTTATACATCAAAAGGCGATTTAGTTAAACATCTTCAAAAGTCTCATATTGGAAATGCTGTTTATCGATGTGAAAAATGTCCGGAAGCTTTCCCACGATTAATTCAATTAAGAGAACATCTTCAAGTTCATTATGAAGAAACTCAATAAATTTATTAGAAATCGTTACAAAATAAAAAAATTGTTAGACGTTGAAATTGTTAAAAAGATTTTTAAAATCCACAGCTACAAACATAAGTTGTACCTAAAATTACCTCAAATCAAACTTATAAAATAATTAAATGAACTTTCGATCAGTGTTTGGTGAATCTTGATACTTTTTTCTCAAGTTCTTATTCATGACATTAGGACGATCACCACGACAATTAGGACAATACCTGAAAGAAATTTCAAAGATTATTAAGATGTCAAAAGTGAAAGAGAATTAAAAACTTACCAACGACCTTTAGGCTTTGATTGCAACGACACGCAGCTGAAGTGAAACCACTCGATTTTGCACAAATCATTTTCACATAAAATCATTTCTCCATATGAGATCTTTAAAAAGGAAACGTCATTAGAAGCTGTTGAATAAAACTTAAAATAAATTTTACCTGGCCACATAAACAATAAGTTTCCTCATCAGGATCAATTGTGTCATCTTGAAGTGCTCCCGCAACAGGTTCTTGTATAACTTGAGCATTTTGTCCACCAGACTGACGGGCACTTGTTTTACGTTGTGCTTTTTTCTTTTTACCACCAGTTGCATTTCCAGAAGAAGATTTTTTAATAGCATTCGATGCAGTCTGTGATGTTGGAGTTGGCATGAACTGTTAAATAAAGATTTAATGATTCATATTTTAATAGTCTGTTGATTCTTACCGCTATTACTTCACTTTTTATCGGAATATCAATTCGCTCTGAATCAATGGCTGTATCAGTTCTTGTTCGTCTTGCTCTCTTTGCACCTTTGTCTTGACCACTCCCGTTGTTATTTTCAGAAGCACTATTGTTAGTACTCGAACTCATATTAGAACCAGGAGCTGATGAATTTTTCAATGGCAAAGCAGAGAAGACTTGTTGGACGATTGAAGCATTTCTTGCAGTTGATGAAGAAGACGGAATTGGGCTTTGAATACGATCTTGTTTGTTGATGTTGTTTTGGAAGTCTCTGTCGACTGCACGGAATTTAGTTTCAATCATATCTGACAAAATTTGACCGTAAGAGATTTTTTCATCTTTTAGATCTTGCAGTTTGATGAGAATTTGCTGGAGACGAGCGTAGAGCTTTGTTTTCTTGTCACCGGTGGAGTTGGTGATTTTTTCGGATAATTCCTCAGATTCATTCATAATATCTAAAACAATTGTGACTTAAAAGTGATAAAGTAACATAAGATATATTTAACTTACTGTTTGTTTTCACGTCTAACTCACGACAAATTGAAATTATTTTCACAATATCATCTAAAATTGGAATTTCACGAAATTTCTAAATTTCACCTTATATGTAGCAATAAATATTTTGAGAAATTACCTGGGAATTCTTCAATGTAGTCTAAATAATTCTTTAAGAAAAGTCCAGAACTGTTAGCTTCTGTCGCAGCAGGAATAATTTGATTTAGCATTTTTTCCGATTTAATGTATAACTTTCTCAGAATATGTGTTAAACTTTCACTTTAATTGAAAATAAACGTGTACAGTATAGATGTATATAATTTTCTTAATCTTCATTCAATATATTTTATTTAGTTTTCCTTTGATTCACATTTATTCAATTAAATATTATTTTTTTAAAGTTATTTTGTTTGCTATATTTTGCCAAAGCGATTAATACGGGGTGTCAAAGTACTAAGATTGTACTGAGTATCGAAGGTAAACGGTGATTCTGAATTAACCTATCGAGTAGCGACATCTGTTAAAAATATAATTTATTAAAAATTCAAAATTTTAAGACTTGATAAGTCCGTTGCAAAGGAATTTAGAAAAATTTAAAAAAAATTAAAAACTTTTTGTTCTTGACATGTCAAATTCACTCCCGCACATATTAATGAAGAAACAAATCGATAATTTTATCCATAAAACTTCATTATTTACATTTCATTAAATTTAAACTAACATAAAAAGGAATAAATAATTTTTGAAAAGAGCATCCTTGCAATCCCAATTTTCATGGAAATTACTTGAGACAAACAAACAGTATTTTGTCACTGTCGCTTGAAATCTCTCTGATCGAAGTCGTTCGTAATGATGATGTCCATTCACTCAAATGGTAAAAAATATCTAAGTCAAAATAGTTAGTTTTTGCAGTATAAAAAAAACTCATTTGTCAACATCATTGATGGTTACAAGATTTCTGTGGTAACCGGTGATGATTTGAAATAAAACCTGCAATCTCATGAGTTGATGTTTCGAATTAAGAGATTTAAGTATTTCATCCTCCATGTGATTAACATTTTTTTATTTGGAGACAGTTTGAGGAAATAAATTCAAGCACAAGTTTTATCTTTTATCATATAAATTCACTCGTAAATGGATTGAAATTTAACATTTGTTATTTATGATTCACAGGATGAGGGTCAATCATCGTCATGTTAATTCATTAACGCTCATTCTTTCTTTCTTTCTCTCTCTCCCACTCGTCGTCTCCTTTAGTCGCGGCTGGTTAACTCCCTGTTGTTTAATTAAGAAACCGACCAACATATTTTCCCCTTTTCCTCTAAACTTACATACATCAATATCAAATTGTCTCGAGTGTGCCCGGCATCAAGTCGATATTTAGTACAGTTCATCTCACAACTCGTGTTATTTTCATCGAGATTTGAAAAATGGGGTTTTACCCTTAAGATAAAAACTACTGTTTGATGCTTAAAAAAATTCTTCTTAAGTTTCCATAACAAAAAAAATCTCATTTATTCTATTTACAGTTTCATCTTCCCTCCCAAAGACAACAACAAGAAGTAGAAGAAAAAAGTTATAAAAACACTCTTCGATTACATAAAAAATACATTTTTTTTACCATAGCATAAAGAAGTAAAGAAGATTTTTTAAATAGGTGGAATGAGGGTATGAGATGAGGGAAGAGACTCAACTCTCACTTTACAGCTTACAATAAACATTAAACAACGTGCGACGTCAAAACTCTATGCACTGCTTTCTTTATATTACGAAGACAACACAGCTTCAATCTTACGCATAGAATTTATAAAAATCATTCCACCACATTCTCTTCATCGTGTAAATCTACCTTTTTTTTTTTCTTTAAATATAAAAAACCTCACTCACGATGGCATAGGGAAATGCTTCATATGAGACAATAAAACATCAGAAGAAGGGAACACCACAAAAAGTCGTAAGAAATTAGTGAAGACGCGTGCGCATCATAAAAAATGTTCTCTTCGCACTCTGTTTATGATGATAAAAAAAACTACAGTTGGTTAATAGTTGATATATAAATAGTGAGAAGATGATCTCAGGAATGGGGGAAGTCAAGAAGTTGTTTTAATAAATTGGTATTAGAGATATCAAGTTTAAATAAAATTATGGCAATGGAGGTATTTTGAATGAGTTTCGTTCTTTTTTTTGGAAAATGTCTTTGAAGGTTTGTGACTTTTAAGTTATTTAATTTTACATCGCGATGTAACGTGAGGAATGAAAAACTGAAGGCGACCTTCTATGACATTTTAAATGTTTTAAATCCTTTCTAATCACTATTTTTTCAATCAACTTTCATTGACAATTTTTTCTACATAAATTGAAGTCACATTGATCATCCGACTCAATAATTGTCGCTTCATCATTGATGTTTCTTTTCTATTCAAATGAATAGTTTTCTTTGACAAAAGTTCCACAAAATATTCTCCAAATTTTCATGGAGAAACTAAATTGTGATTTTATGAAAAGAAACTAATTAAAAAATTTAATCATAGCATAACATGCATGATTGAGAGGTATCCTGAACTATTCAATCCTTATTTTTCTAAATTGTCATGTAAAATAAGTGTGACAACTAGAAATTGAATTTTCTTCACATTGAAAAGCAAGAAATAATTCTCAAGAAAAGAGATAAAAATTCTTGAAGATTCAGTTTGCTTCACAATTCTTTCAATGATTTGTAACAATGTTCACAAAGAGAGAAAAAGAAAAAAGAACTTCATTGGCATAAAAGGATAATCTATTATTCAACATTAGATCTATGTTGCAGCTTGCTTTCAAATGCAACATAACAAAGAGTAAAGAATGAAAATGCATAACATTTGAAATGACCAAAAGGGAGATGAAAAGGAAGGATAAAAATTCCCTTTTTTCTCTCTCTTCCCCTTTTGTTGATTGCGCCAAATTCACTGCCGGGTCTTTTATGTTTGTTCGATTTTACAGGACATTGGAATCTATTCAAAAACTTAAATATTCAAAGACATGAGCTGAAATTTTTATCAAACTTTTAGATTTCTTTTTTCTATTTTAGAATCAAAGCGTGAGGTTTAACATCGAAATATTAAGCAATCAACATCATGTCAAATTCTACTTCCAGCATCAACTTTTATGCTGATGCCTCTAACATAAAATCCACATAAAAGTAATGCTCCTATAAAATCGTCAGATAGCATTCACTGAAAGAGCAAAAACAACAAAAATGGCCGTCAAATGATATTCACCCCTTTTATTTTCCCATGATTTATGTTACTTCACCCTCACATTGCTTAACAACCCACTGAAAGAAGAATGGGTGGAAGAAAGGTTCCTGAACCACCCTCACATACACACACATGTCGACTCACACATGTCATACACTGTTGATTTTGATGCGAATCCGTTTTCATTCTTCTTTTTTTTCTCCTTTTTTTGGGGTTAAAATTGGATGCGAAGTAAAAATGATGCCGATATCGATTGAAGATGTGTATACATTTTTGCTCCCGTTTCACCATGATAACAACAATACAGGGACTGGATTTGACATATAAACTGAATAGTCATCAACGATAATCTCCAATAATCAAGTTACATGTCTTAACAAACATTTTCAACTCAATTACAATTTTTCTTTCTTATTCCAATCCCTGCATTAATATGAATCAAAAACATTCTTTGATTCTCAATTTCACAAACTTCTATTTTTATTACGTATCGAACAACAATTAATTAATTTTTAAACTTCAACTGAATTATTTAAATACTTTCGTTTTGAATCAAACATCATCGCATAAACATCTGTCACGTAAAATTCTCAATTTTCATTTCGTTACCGAAAAACTGTTAAATAATTTTTAGCATAAAAAAATTCGACCCCTCATAGAAGTTTCAGGGTGAGTGAGTTGAGTTAAGTTTGAGGTAGCTGAGCCTGAGCATACACATTATTCAAGATATGTTGTGAGAGAGAATTAAATTATACACAGCAAGATTCAGGAAGTATTTTCATCAAGGGGTCATTCATCTTAATGTTGCTTTCATGTCGTAATGTTTATTTAAAAATATTAAAACTTCCTCAAAACTTGTTTCATTTGTTTTCATTACCTCAATTCTCGAAAGACTTTCCCCTTGATTTGAAATGTTCATTGCTAACCTGAGTTGTGAGAATTTCTAAATCGTTTCCCCCTTTTACACGTACAACCCCTGATATGCTCTCTGACCTTTGTCCAATGATGCATTTTTCTTCTTCACTCTTCTGTCATCCTCGAAAATCAACGAGAAAAATTGTGAAGCATTGAAAATTAAAATTGTATAGTTGCAGATGGATTGAGTAATGAAGGGTTTACATTTGTGTAATGTCGAACATATCAAAATTAAGGGGTTGCGTTGATGAGAAGGAAAAAAGGGTCGTCAGATGAAATTTTTGCGAATATCGATGAAGACGTGAAATTAACAATTTCATGCGAGTTCGGAATGTTTCTTGTGAAATTTGATAACGTCAATGTCGGTTCCATTAAGCCGTCGTTCAGGGTGATGGATTAGATTTGTGTAATTGTTTGCATAAAGCATGCCTTTGAGAAATCTGATGGCGTTAAAAGCGGAAGAAATCTGAGTTGAGTATTTTTCTCGTCTCATTTATTTCGGCTTAAGATGATTTTAATGAAAAAAAAATTCCTAGTTAGTCACAAATGTCCAACTTAAGCTCGAAATTAATCTCTTTGTTTACATGGATATAAAATTTAAAATGAAAATAGAAAATTTTTCAGCTTTACAGATTTCAAATCCGTTGAAAATTTTGACAATCGAGAACCAATCCCAACGAATATCGACACCATTTTCCTTTTTCTATTTAATGAAACTCTTCAACCCTTTTGCAAACCCTTTTTCAATGTTTAATGTCGCATCAACCCTTCCATCAATTACTTCTTCAATTCATCGCGTATCCATTCGTCTGTTGCATGTTAAGGGTGTGGCTTTAATTTCAAGATTAAAGAAGAATTTTTTTTTGAAATTACGACTTTAAAAAAATGAAGAAAATGTTCTCGGAAAAGATTTTTTCATCCCTCGGTGGCTACTTTCATTTCAAGGATTTAAGCTTAATAGATTTTATATCCTAAGGCGAACTCCTTAATCATTATCTTCAAAGAAAAACGACTGAAAAAAAAAGTTAAGAAAGAAAATTAACAAAGAAATTTTAAATGGAAAAACATGACTGCTTTTGTCATCACAAAAAAACATCGAAGAAAAAGAGAAGCTAAGAAAGAAATCTGAAGAGCTCGCGCGTAAAACGGAAAAGCAAAGAAAAGTCGAGAGAACATTTCTATCTGAAGGGTTGTTAAGCGATGAAAAATAGCGAGTGGTAAGAATTTCATCTTGTTTCTGTCTTGAGGAAGAGAAGAAAAAGGAAGGAAAAGCCGTCTTTAGATGACGAAGGAAAGTAAACTCGCCTTCGTCAGGATGATGCTTAAACACGTTCTTTATCTTTTCTTTTGTGTACTCATACACACTCGCACACGTCCTTATCAGTGGATCTCTTTCATCCTTTATACTATGACGGCTTGTGGCGGTTTTCCTTGAAGTGGGATCGCTATTTGAAGTTTTCTGTTGTTCTTCTTATTTTTTATCTTCTTCATATTATTTTTGTGCTTGTTGATATCTATTTGAGCTTCGTGGGGAAAGTGAAAGACACAACCATTCGTCATATCTCCAAACACAATTAAACTTTCTGTTTGCTGCATTTAAAGGTGTACAATGTCAGCAACACGTGTTTATGATTGGATTAGATTCATTTGAACAGTCGCAAATAGTTACGTTGTGGAAGACTGAACCATCTAGGAAGGAAGCTACATATTTACACACATGGCAAGCTTTAAGACAAATGATCCGTATGTGGGTTTTATGAAAGAATAAATGCTACACTTTTCATTTACCTTCATTTACATTTAGGCTTGTCTCACGGAGCGAATGGAAGGATCGTAAAATATAAATATAGAACAATCTAAAGCTATTCGAACCGCACAGAAAGTGCTTAAAAATTTATGAATCAGTTCATTTCCAAAGCATTATTCAGAAATATTGCATGCAAAAAGATAAATAATGGGTAAAGAAATTGTTATTTATTGAATTTTATGGTTGAAAAAAGGTTAAAAAGATTCATATGACGTGAATATTTGTTTGGGGCGTCTTTCCGACCTGGAAAAAATTCAATTTGGGTTTTATAAAATATTTGCAACAACGAGATGGAAAGAAAAATATCAAATCAATATGATTCATTCTGCTACAATGAAATTTCCATCGAAAATTTCTGTTTTTTCATCTCACCCAACTGTTCGAAGCTTTTTTTTTATGTAAGGGTTGGCTGGATAACAACATGTGTGGGAGTCGTTGGTTGATAAAAAGATGAAGGGTGAAAATTGAGATTGTGTGAGTAACGGTTTTGATGTTAGCAAGGGTTGATTTTCCTCGACAATATGGGCAAGAAAGAAAAAGAAAAACCATAGCAATAGCATCAGTTTGAGATGAGGTCATTGATGAAAGATTCTAAGAATGATAAAATTAACAATTTTTACTGTCGTTGTGGCACAGAAAGTTTAATAATAGCTTTTAATTAAAGACGTACTACTTTTGGTGATGCAACTATTTATATAAAAATATCAAACTTACTTTTGTTATTCAATCACTTCTGGTATTTTTCTCCCACCTTCGTTCTATTTATGAAAATAAAAAGAAATAAAAATAAAATTCCTTTTATCCAAAGTATCTTCCTTTCATGACTCAATGGCATGTCCATCGTTATAAAAAGGGAAAGTTTGTATTTGTAGCAATAAAGAAAAGGGTGAAAGTGAATTCTCGTAAATGAAATCCCCTTCTGACCATTCTCCTGACCGAAGCAGAAAAAAACCAATATCCTTGAAAGTTTTATGGACGGAACGAACACAAAGATGAACAGCGTTGGAAAAATAAAGGAAAAGACGAGGGAAAATCTTAAAAATATTGAAATCGAAAAAGGGGTTGCGAGAAATCTTCAGCGTGTTGGTGAGTTAGATTAGCTATAATGATAAGTTACGAGATGATGATAAAACCCCAAAAGACGCTCACTCACCACTCTAACCCTTGGTTATTATCTTCTCATCTCAAATGTTTTAACAACACAGCATCTTGTGTTCAATTCAATCGCTTTTCAACTGCTGAATCGCCATCGCAAAAGAATCGACATTTGGAAGCATTATTTGGAAATATTCCAGGAAATATCTTCACTCCGTCATGAAAAAATAAAGGAAAGATAATTTTGTTAGGCAAAAGGAAGAGAAAAAAAATCGATTAAAAATCGCAACATGTTGTCCGGCTGATAAAAGGAAACGAAACGAATGTGGAAGATGTAAGAAGGAAAACTATCGGTCAAAAAGAAACTAAAGGGAAAGAAAAACTCGAAATTAATTATGATCCTTTACGAAGGCTTCAACAACAATAACCCGTAAAAAAGGTTCATCACGGATAATTTCGTTGATTAGAAAAAATTGTTTCTGAATCTTTTGTATTGCTGGCAAAAGGGCCACGAATCGTTTCAAAACAGGATGGACGGTTTATAAATAGCCTGCGAAACTACCGATGAGAAATGAAAACAGAATCAAAGCTTTTGTTGCGCCAAACAAAATTCAAAGCGAATATCCGGGAACGATCACAGCTTGATTGAAACGCCATTTTAAAATGTGATTGGATAATTTACATAAATAACGCTTCAACGAATCATTTTAACACATCACATGTGCTTCGTGTCTCAACCGCGTTTCTTTAATATTTATTCTTCTTTTTTCGTCTTTTTTATTTTGAGTAACTTCATTGAAATGAATGTGAAGACGCAACGAAGTGAAAAGAGAGTCGCACATGTGAGAAAATGTTCGTTTGATGTTGTCGTTGTAAACTTGTGTGAGTTCAGCATCGCATGATGATTTGTAATAGTGTATGGAAAAGGGTTATGAGACGAAATCTGATTGCGCAATTGAAAGCAGCGCAATGGACGAATAAAAAGGGTTGAAAGTGTTTCTGGAGGATGGGAAAAGAGAGAAATAAAAAAATGAAAGTTTCGTCTCTCATTCCTGTTCTTCAATGAATCACGATTGTCAACGTCAGTTTCTTTCATTTCAACATCCAAATACGTTTTGAGATTTGCAAAATTGAATAATGTAAAAATCGTATCAAATAACAATCAAATCAATTCGTTTATTCAATGTTTGCCTTCGTCAATTCGAAGAAGAATGAAAATTGAAAGTGTTTATTTATTGCATGAACGGCGTGAGACTTTCTTGGGTTGGTTCTTCAACCGTCCGCAGTGGATTTTTTTACCGGAAATGTGTGATTTCTTAAACCACAGCAGAATAAAAAATAAAAAATAAAATACTCACCCATGCTAAGTTTTTAAAAGTGTCAAATTTCGCTGCTTCCCCAAAGGACACTCATGTGAAGTTCTTCGTCGTTAGACGCATCAATTTCTTTCTTTCTTCATTTTTTGTGAGAAATTTCTTGTGGATAGAAATGGGAAAAAGAACCAGGACGAAAGGAACATGTAGTCATGTCAAATTCCTTTTTTAATGCAAAAGCAAACCGGGATTGGCCTCAATCGTCGAGTGAAAATGAGACGTGAAATAAAACGTTGACAGGGTGATAATAGCATTAACAACTTATGACATTTTTTTATAAAGTTAATTAATTCCTTGTTGTTCGCATTGTGAATTTGAAAAAATTTCGCACACGAAACTGGAAATTACGATGATCCCTCTAACGAAGTCAACGTCACGAAATTATATCTGGTGGCTGTTATTGTGGAATCAAAAATCTAACAACACACAATTAAGACAAGCATTGTGATCCCAGCCAGTTCTTTTTCCCCAGGCGGTTCTAATCTTTTGAAAGAGAAATGAAGTGAAATGTTGTTAAGTCGTAAATCTGTTTCTTTTACCGACAAATTGAATTTTATTTTTTGTTTGCATTCGTTATCACATCTTAATGATGGAATTTGTCCCTGGACAATGGCCATAATAAACTCTCAAAGCAAACAAAACGCCCCTAAAAATTATTCTGATTACAATTTCTTTCTCGTATGCAAATATTTTGATATTTTAGAACACAGGAAAACGGGATTTAGTCGTAAAATGTACAAAACTTTGTCCATTTATTTCTGTTTACATGTTTACAACCCTTTTATTGGTTCAATAGATATTTGACAAATTATGAGAAATGAAAACAAATTCTGAAGAATTTGCCTGAAAATTATTGCTGCTTGATGAAGGGTTCAAATTTTAAACCCAAAAATTTATCTTGTAATTTCTCCAGCAGGTTGTGTTGTTCGTTTTCATTTCTTCTTTAGTTTCAAAGAAAAGGAAAATTTGTAGAAATTTTCAATAAATATTCATTTTATATCAAGATTAAATGTAATAATTTTTTTCTCCGTTTAAAAAGTTAGTGACGCGTGCCACCGTGTCGTTTATCCCTTCATGTTCTCTATTCTTACCTCGTTTTTTAACACATAAAAAATCCAGCATAAAACAAATTTTGAGGGAAAGAAACTCTCAAAACTAACAACGAAACATCCTCGAATTTATTGAAGGGGTTGCACGCAGAGTTTGGTGTGCCAACAGCAATAAATGAAATTTCAGATCGGTGATACTTAATATTGTCGACAAATGACAAACTCAGCGAGGTCCTTAACAATCATTTCATATTTTTTGTGGGCTTTTTAAGCCTCAAACTTAATGAACAGTGAACTAATTTGCGGCGTCATAAATTTTTCAAGATTGATTCGTTTTTCATTGCGCAGTTTAGTCACTTTTTGCGATTGATTTTATTTCAGGATTTTCTCACAGATTATTGCAACAATATTTACCTGTTCTTCAACTTCATTCTTTACTTAATGTTGTTTGAAAATATAATTATATAAGTTTGTCTATCTAACCCTTACCTTTTTCATTTTTGCTCGACTTTATTGTCTATATTTCAACCTTTTTCCACAATTTATTTTGTTGTTGGTGTTTGGTATCAAAAAGGAATCAATCCATGACCGATAGCTTGCTCGTCTTGTTCTTCGAATCCTTTTTTTATTTCTACCTGGTCCGAGAAAATTTATGAGAAAAAAAATCTCTCATAGGAATAACGCTGAATAATGGAGCGAAATTTCATAACTTATCCCTTTTTTGTGCAATCATTTACAATATGTGTTCATTGTATTGTTAGATGTACGATGGACTTTGCTTTGATATATTTGGGAAGGATTAAAAGTTATGTCACATTGCAATGTTTCTCTAAATATCTTCAACAATTTCTCATCTCTAAACAAAATATTGCGACCGACAAAACTTTCAAATTTTTCTCAGCATGCTCCTTTCAAATGCGATCAATATAAGATCAAGTTTAGTTCCATGGGTTTCGTAATTTTCTCTTTTTCTTTTGCTAAAGATCGAAAAGAACAAAAGATCCTGATGATCATCTTCAGGATTGAACACAATGGACTCCAGCATAGAATGACCAGAAAGGATTCGAATTGCATTACTTTTCATGCTTCTAAATTTCCAACAATAAGGATTGCAAAAAAAGGTTGGAGACTTCCAAAATATAAAAATATAAAAGAATTTCTATTCTCAACATCACATGACGATCTCAACTTTTATTTTTATCAATGCAATTCTTAGAGATGAAGCCTTTAAATGAATGATAAAAGTCATAAGAATTTTTTTCCTTCACAAGAAAATGTCTCGAAGAAAAAATAGAAAAATATTGTAACATGAGAATATTAATGAAGTCCGGTTTAATAATATCCTAAGTTATTCTAAATTCAATGTATAAGGATATGCTCTACAAATTTCTGTAGTTGAAATAACTAGATACTCGGAAATATTCTTAGTTTATAGATGATTTTCTTCGAAATTCCGATTATTTTTACATCTAAGAAGAATTGTGATAAGTTTAGATTTCAACATTTATTGAAATGTGTCAATTTATTGTTACAGAAATAAATAAGAAACTTTTATAGTTTATGACCTTTGAAAGTTGTGACAAGAAATTTCAATTTGAATAAAACATTTCTCGCTTTTTGATTTGCCAAAAATAATAAAATAAAATCTCATGGGAAGAAAATTTATGAAAAAGTTTTTAATGTGAGAAAAATTAGTTTTTCTAAAACGTGAAATTAGTTAAGTGCGTTGACTTTGTGATATGAATTTAAATAACATAGGAACAAGTAATAGAAGATGCCTCAAGCAAACCAGTTCAATCGCATGACCACAAAGTCACTGCCAAGGTTAAATCCACTTTAAGCCTCGTGAAACAATGAACCCGTTTACATTACGATAATGTCATTTAAGTTATTATTTTTAAATTCTCAAGTAATTATTTGTTATCAACATTGTCATAACTGAGCATTCTGAGTGTATGTGAACATTTTTTGTTTCAAGGTTAGACATATCAATATTGTCATTTCGTCTTGGTCGGTGTGTACACCGAAATATTGTCGGGAGGTGTCTCAATGTTTTGCCACGTAAGCTTACAAAGATTATTTAAGCTTCAACGGCAGCTAAATTTAAAAAGAAACAAAACGATGTACATAAAACCATCAAAAAGCATTGAATTCAATTCTAATCAAACCCATGAGTTCATTGTCGCTTTTTAAATTTTGTTATTATTTTCACTGTAAACTCTTTGAATGATAATAAAATTCACCTTTGAAATAAAAAAGAATCATTCATTGAAGCTGTCAAAGGTTGAGCGAACAATGTATAAGCTGATTAAATATTCTCACGAGAAATCTTTTAATAGTAAAATTGGATGACGTTGATGAGTAAAATTGTAGAAACACGCTTCTTGCTCCCACAATTGGTTAATAAAATGAATTTCATACATTTCTTTCTTATCTTAAATACTTTTGATACAAATAAGCTTAATTGAATCACAAAATCATTCAAAGTCTTTGATGAAATGCAAAGACATAATTCATATTTGTTGATAATGAAAGACATAAACAAGAAAAAAAGAGTTTTATTTTAATTAAGCATTGAAGCAAGACAGGAGCCAATAACAACACGCAAACCCGACGTGAGCGAAAGTTCAAAAATATTTTTAAATTCAACATTGTATGAAGCATAAATGCGTCCAAAGATAATTCAAAATAAAGAGAATGTTGCAATGCTTTGCGCCTATCGGTTTTTGTAGACAAAGAAAGTAAAGTAAACTCGTTGGCTTATCAAGTTTCTAACCATAAATAAACATCACCCCAAAGAACTTCTTTGAAAATAGTAAAAAAAGAACTAAAGATAAATAATAAAAAAAATGTCTTCGAGGGTTGGATGTGACAAAAAAAGAAGCTGCACGCGTTTCATGTGTAATAAATCAAGACATTTGTTGAAAACAGTTTTTAATCGTCATTTAGATTTTTAAAAAGATTAATGCACCTGAAAAAACATTAATTGGATAAGTTTTTGTCGTTTAAATATTAACCTAAGGGATTTTAAAACTTAAATTTGGATCAGCTTGAAATTCCGGTTATAAAACTTGAAATAATTTTTCTAAATTTGAAATCAATTCATCTCCATTGCATTAATATTAATGCATAACAATGTTGCATGATTATTACGTCTCCAAGCTAAGCAAAAACACAAACCTGCGAGAGAATTCTTGTGTTTCTTCCTCTTCCTATTCCACTCTCTCTTCGGATTCTTTGCTTTGGTCAAGCATTGCACACACACACTCACCAAACACTTGCTCATCACCCCTCGGCTTACAACGAATTTTATTAGAGCAACATTTGTACGTTTGTGTTAGTCTCTCCTATCCAACATAATCCACCGACATAAAGGAAACGAATACGAACGGAAAAAAGTTTGTTTTTTCGAGAGGCCCTCGAATGTAGTCCCTAAAGTAACGTCGAGATGACAACACATACGTGCAAAGAAAGTTACACAAAAATATAAAAGAGACTTTTACAACATAATAAAGATTTTTTTAAGAAAAAAAATTATTTAAAAGAAGTCTTCCTTGCGGAATTTTAGTTCAGAACACGTTTGGATTTTGTCGTGAAGTCAGTGATGGAATAAAATTGAAACAACTCACATCATTTCTTCTGTGGATTAATTTGTTTGAAAGAAAGTTTAATCTTCTCAATTAGAAAAGAAAGTACAAATAATTAAAAAGAAAATTATTGAATTAAGAATTAAAAGTGACAAATTTGAAAATAAAAAGAAGAAGAAAATATTAAAAGGTTTTAAATAGTGCGAAATAAATGGAGACCATGAAGAAAACCATGGGTAAATATTGTCTTGATAACTTTTAATAAAATTATCTCATTTTTTAAATTTAATATCTGTTGTTATTCAAGTATCTCGGATAAATTTTTAATGAACATTTTTCCACTCACTTAAAACATTTTTCATGCTAATGCAGTCGGCAGATGTGGCATAAAATGTTATTCAAATTCAAATCATTCTCCAATGTTTGTGTTTTCACTTTCTTTTAAGTCGGCGGCACTTTTTCTCTTCTTTTCATTCGAGAAAGCATAAAAGGATTAATGATATCTTTGGAACACTTTGTGACTAGTCATTAAGAATAAACATTTTCACTTTCTTCATTTCAAAGAGACAAGTTGAAGAAATTTTTGTCTAAGGATGACCTGAGATGTTTTCGGCATGAAAGACGAAACTTAAAATTAAATTCATGTGTCCTTTAGGATTACCCAATTTCACAAAACTTCATTCAACTATTGCAGGATGTCACATGTTCGACATTAACATTTAAAAATGAAGCAATTTAATGCGAAAGATTTTAAGAATTTCCCATGACAAGAAAACTTTAATGAAAGCCGCACACACTACTACAATGAAAACTGGCGATGTTTTCCTATTTTTTTAACCCTATCTAACCCACGCTTTCGTGTGGGTGGAATTAAATCTCGCCCAAAAATCTTTTCTCGCACTTTGCTGAAATGTTAGTGAATTTTTTCAATGAAAAGTTTTTTTTTTGTGTTTGTATTTGAGAATCTTAGCGAATAAATATGCAACAGAGTCAGAAGAAATTGAGAGAAAAATTAACAGCAAACAATCGTTCATAATTAATTCATGCTTTCTTATCATTCACAGATCTCGATGACATCGTGAGTGGCAAACAAGCAGTCAGAAACGAATCATCGGAAGACACTCAGACAAATCTGTACTCGTGTTTTAATCCCGCGCTTTCATTATTGGCACCTCAACTTCTTGCAAATCAAACTGCTGCGGCTGCTGCTTTGATGGCTTCATGGCCAATGCAACTAAGGGCTCAACTTGCATCATCGATTGGCATGCCACATCATCCGTCGTTTTTCCCAGGATGGCCAATGACGCCGCCACTTTCACATAAAAGTGGAAATTCACCGCCACCACCGACATCTCCAATCTCACCGTCACCAAGTCATAAATCAGAGAAATTAAGAAAGTTAAACAACAACTATTCCCATACAAATAATAATCACATTGTCTCAACGACAACTGAATTATTGGCTCATAAGAAAACAACAAAGCGTAAGAATTTAATTGAAAATGATATGAAAAACGTTGACCACACTGTACCTGGATCTATTTCACCGATCTCACCTCCTACCTCAAGTTCATCGCCTCAGTCAAATGGCTCAGTTGAACTCACCATCGGATCAAGCACACGAGATCCAACCAAAGATAAAGTCTTCACTTGTAAAATTTGTAATCGTTCGTTTGGCTACAAGCACGTTCTGCAGAATCATGAACGAACTCACACGGGCGAAAAACCGTTCGAGTGTACACAATGTCATAAGAGATTCACTCGAGATCATCATTTGAAGACTCATATGCGATTGCATACTGGAGAGAAACCTTATTCATGTTCCCATTGCGATCGTCAGTTTGTACAAGTCGCCAATCTTCGACGTCATTTGAGAGTCCATACAGGCGAACGTCCCTACACTTGTGAGATTTGTGAGTCAAGATTCAGCGACTCTAATCAGTTGAAAGCTCACATGTTGATTCATAATGGCGAGAAACCTTTTGGTTGTGGACATTGTCAGTCGAAATTCCGAAGACGACATCATTTGATGAGTCACAAATGTGGATCAACTTCAATAAGCGATCAAACATCTCACAATTCAGAAGCAAGCGACGAATCTGTTGACTTGACTAAGACTACAAGCCATTTCCAAAAGTGTCATCAACTTCTGCAAGGTATGAAAAGTGCGACCGAAGAACCGCTCAACTTAACCAACGAAATGATTCCAAATGGAAAACTCATGAATAGTTTTATTGCAAAGTTTAATGAAACAAAAAATTTAACGAGTCCAATGTCACAACAAATCGGATTTATTCAAACTGAGTTACCGGAACAAACCGAGCCTGAGGATCTTTCAATGCACTCTCCAAAATCGCCTGTGTCGATGGACGAGTTGGAAGAACTTGATGACGCCGCTACTTTGTACTTAAAGCTGCAACACAAGACTAAAAACTCGAAAGCGGTGTAATCGAACATCACAGAGCTATTATTATGAAATTTATGTATTTGTGCCATATATGACTGTTGAAACTTCATCAGGAAATGCCAAAACTTGACCGACTCACAGACAACTTGAATCTACCTCTGATGTTAATCAAATTCTTGTATCTAGTGTTGAATGAATATTTACAAATATGTCATGATAAAATATTTATCCCAAAGTGGAAGAAAGAAAAATCAATACAAATGAAAATTAAACCAAATAAATGTAGGCGATAATCAAATAATTCACGATTTAGTCCAAACTCAAGAAATAAAACATAAAAATTGTACATGAACTGTTTTTATTTTATGATTTTTATAATTATTATATTGAATAAATAATTAGCAGAAAAGTATTAGAATTTGATGATGTTTCTCTTTTATTTATTTGAAAACGTTTTATTCCATTTCCAGTTCACCTTTGGAAGTATTTATTGAAACAAAACTTGACATGTAAACACGACACGTGCTTTTCACTAAACAACCATCACAACTACACAGATTTTATTTCCGTTTTATTAATTAATAACTGATTATGCTTTAATTAAAAGGAAAGTTTATATGAACAAAATACTTGTTTTACAATTTCCGTGACATAACTAAAGGAGTGAAGCACGTTGATCTGATTCCCACGTAAATTATTCATAACTCGTGGTCGAAAGACGTAGAATAAAAACTCATTGGGCCATCATTTGAACGCTTATAAATTTTCATGTTCGTGCGGGAGTAATAAAAAGAATAAAGAAAGTGAAATCCGTTGCCAGCCCCAATTCTTTTTATATAAATACAAAATATATTTTATTCGTTCTAAACTTTCCTTCGCTTGAATCATATATGCGCATTATTTATGCTCGCAAAACTTCCCATGCACACATAAATAAAAATGCAAATGTCGAGCCATTATTTCCTTCCCATAGCGAACTCAATTGCCGATGACGGTTGTTAAACTTAAAGGGAAAATAAAAATGAGAGAAACAGAAGAAGCATGCAAACTACATTGAATATTTATTGAAGGAATCAACGACAAAATGGCGCGTTCGTCTCATTATAATTTCACCCTTTTTATTGGCTCATTCATGCGGGAAGCAAAATTATATGTGTCGACATAATTTTTTTACTTAAACACCCACCATTGCATTTCATCTTTTGGGGTTGTGACATGAAGGGTGATGGAAGAATTTCTTATGAAATGTAAGCAAATGGAACACATTTTTTAAAAGATTCTAACGCAACCCGATTCCCTCATGAGTTAAATAAACAGTTAAAAACTCCTTCATTGAATGCACGAAACTACGTCGATCCGTTACGCACGCTTTCCGAATTAAATAAATCATTAAATATTTTTTATTTTCCATCAGCTATACAAAGAGATGATTCAGTTACTTTTTTTCCTTCTTAAATCACCGTTAGAATTCATCTGAAAGAGCTGAGATCTCGAAGAGCGACCTCAAAAGTGTTATTTTCCTTTCATAAAGAGTTGCGAGTGTAATCAGGAAGAGCAAGCAAGCGAGTGAAAAAGGATCGACATACAAACATCTGTCGAATAAGACGCAATCGCTTCGATTATTTCTTTTTTTTTTTCTGTCTTTTCAGTCTCTTTTTTTCCGTGTGTGTGCCTCTCGAGTTTCCAAAAACTGTAAAAATATTTTTCAATAAAAAAAAAGCACCAAAGAAATGAAACACAGAACCCTCATAAAAATCATGAGATTCTAATTTCGAACGCACACAATGGCACGGGAAAACGAATGAAACCATACTTCATGCTGCTGTCGATTGAAATGAAACAGTTTTTCATCCCCTTTCGCAAACTATCTCGATTTGCTCTCTGACCTATGTCCAAACGAATAAACGAAACATTTCATTGAAAATTTCGAATGAAAATTGTAATGCGGAACTGAAATCAAACGCAGATGCAATTTTGTTGACGTCATTCTTGTTTGAGTATGTTTGGCAATGTTTCATTCTTTTTAATAATGATTTCATTCAGGAAGTGGTTTTGTTACAAAAGATTTTATCATAAATAATTGTGACATAATTTTTTAAATTCCCATTCACCTCAGATAATTTACATCATTTGTAAACATGCTCATTCCATATATGAATTCCTTCACTTTCCATCGATGAGGTCAAATTACCTCTACCCACTACTTCCCCCTTTTACTAATGATTGATTCGATAAGGAAATTTAATTTCTCGTTGAAAACTTTTTTTTTCTTCTCTTAACGACAATCGATCATAATCGATATGTAAGCGGCACAGGAAATCTTAGTATATTTACTTTGTTCTCGTATTCCAAATGGTTTGCTTCTCCTTTTCATATCTATCTATAAATGCGCTTTGAAACTGAGCCGCGAGCGAAATGAAGCCCCAAAAGAAGTCGCCTGAAGGATTTTTTAATGTCTTTATTGAAGGAACTTCCTTGGGTGATCTGACAAATTACGTGAGTTGGGAAACCATCAATGTGTAGTTTCTGTCACATGTTTTTAGTGAATTTAAGCCTTCAGCTATTTAACCTGTTAAAAAGAATTTTTATTGCATCTTATCGTCAAAGGTGCATCTTGAACGTCTTTATAAGCTCACTGAATTTGTCACCCTTTTCACGAAAAGGTTTCAAGAAGAAAGCACACAAAATACAAACTAATTAATTTCTTATCTGATCAAGATATATGATGAAGCTCAAATGAACAGAAATGTTTTATCTTGAAACTCAAAGGAGCATGCAGCTAATCGAAGCAGGTGAAAATCACTTGATATTGATGCTTTCCTGTTGAATTTCATTCTTCAGGCAAGAACTTTATCTGATTTATGAGATCACTAACAACAATAATAAATAAGAAAGGAATTAAAAACCTTTTCCATCTAATTTCGATCAAAAAACATTACTCCTTTGCGATGAAACATCAACTCGTGCCAGTCAAGGGTTAATAATTTCAAGAAATAAAAAACTTTAACCTTTCAATTAAGAAAGAAATCTTCCCATCCCTTCTTCCTGTACACACTTTTTTATATCCTTTTTTTTACTTTACACTCTTACTTTATATTTTTTTATTGCCGCATTGAATACCTCAATAAATAAAGGATTACAAAGGGTTGATCACCGGAATAAAAGGTTTCAATCAAATACCTTGTTAGTTGTTTGTTTATTTACCGAGATTTGAAATTAGTTGCATCAACAAACGCATTTAAACGGATTGAGATGAAGGAGAAGAAAAGGTTTGTTTGTTTGTGCAATGTTAGGTAATAATTGGATTCAATTTTAAGGATGGATTTATTTCTTTGATAAGATTGTCAACTCAAGACATAATTTGGGGTTTGCTTCTGATTTCAATTAACTAATCTATGAAGAAATCTCTAGGAAGAAAATCAAACATCAATCAACTTAATGAAAAATCTCAATTCCTTTGACACAATCCAAACTGACGTCAAACATGAAAGTAACAATCTCACAAATTACTTAACGTAACTAACCAAATGAAGCAAAAGAAAATCGTCTGGATATTCATAATAAAAACTTCTTGTCGCATCAACTTCCTCTGAAACTTTCTTTATTTTATTCAACTTAGACGCGCAGCATGTCTGCACCGCGGGTAAACAAATATTCGGTGGTTTCTAATGTGATGCCACATTATGTTCCACAAGAGCGCGCGTGTTGACACTACTACATCTGTTCATCTTTTAAATAAGGCAAAGGAAAAATTCAAAAAATTCCCTTTCTTGATCGGGAGACACGTGGATACGAGCGACTCTTTCTCGCTGCTTCTCTTTTTCATTTCTTCCTTTCACTTCTACTTTTTAAACCTCGTGCCGTGTGTGATGGAACAACGAATTGTATAATTTGTTGAATGAATAAAAAAAGCAACCTCAAGAAAATGATCTAACGTCGGTAATAAAAGGGATAATAAAAGTTCTTAGGGGTTGAAAGGATGAAGTCAGAAATGGCGTTCGACTATGCAACTCTTCATCGATGATCCCTTTTGTGGTTTTTTTAATGATTTTTCTCCATAAGAATCCTTTAATTGACAAAAATCAGCTTACCCCGACATATGTAGGGATGTTCTTTTTTTAAAATGAAAATAAATAAGTAGAAAAGTGAAATCATCTTCAAATTTAATCCACATCAACTTCACCTTTTCTGATGCAATTTTATCTCGATTTTATTTTCGTTAGAAAATCTGTCCAACCACAAGAAAGAATTTAGAATTTCCTGGAACAAACAATAGCCTCAAGAAACATGATTTTGTGCTGTTCTCGAATTCATCACAGACCATTTAGAGCAACAAGGAAATCGCAAAAAAATGCATCAAATTTCATTGCAATTAAGAGACTGACGAGAGGTAGGAAAGAAAAGAAGTGAAAGTTGTTTGATTCATTAAGCAACGAATCTGCTTTCATCGATCGTCGAAAGATCCTTGATTTCACTGAGAATAAAAAGTGAAAAGTCCGCCTTAATTTTGCCTTTTGTTGTTGAAATAACCGGAAAACTAATATTTTACCACAATCATAACGAAGCTGAATGAGAAAAGTGTCAAGTTTCATGTTGAGAAAAAAGAACTTTCGCTTTTTTTTTTTCTTCGCTTGTTGTCCTTGCACAATTAAGCGGGTATGGAGAAATATCCGATGCTAGTTTATGTTGAATATCATCGTCGTTACCTTCAGATTATCCGCTCATGAAAAACTCAAATGTCGAGCACATGGAGAAGTTGCAAAAAAAGGCTGTTTGCCTGCGACGTTTCAAGAAAAGTTATGGACATGACTTGACCTGAAAACAGTTATCCTAATTTTTTACGGCTTCTTATTTGCATACACTCTCCTGAAGTTATCACTGGATTTGAAAGGAAGATAGAGTGAGACAGAACGAGGAAGACTTAAGACTAAAGAAAGCAAATAGAACAATCAACTCAATGACACTGCAATGTCGTGTTTGGTGACAAGCCTGAGAATTATTTATTACATCAACTTTTTGTTCTTGCTTTGCTATTTACTCACTCGTGATGTGTAAACTTACAGACTTCTGTTGGTTGTCTTTCTTGGGAAAGTTCTTCAAAATTTAATCAAGTTTAGGTTAAAATAAGAAAATCTTTATTTACTGAAAGAATTGTTTAATCATACTTATTAATTAAATAATTTAATATTTGACTAAAGATAAGAGTGAGAAATCATCTAAAACAATTAAAAACTTTTGAACCAATAAAACTTCTTTAGCCTTGAGACAATTATCCAATTTATGTTGTTGCATAAAGTTAACAAGAAAGTATCCTTGGTTTTTTATCCTTTTCTAAAAACATGTTTTCTGTTCCCTCCTTCAACAACATATTCGCAATATTCGACTTAATTACCCATTTCGCTCTAAAAACAAAAAAATCTTTTTTAAAAGCAGACATGAAACATTTTTTTTACTCTCGTTCCTTACACAATAAATAAAAATTGTCACAAAGTCATATAAAAAATTGTCTCATGGCATGGTTGCCTTCTTCTCTGTTTTTTATCCCTTTCAACAATGCCTTCAATAAAATCATAAAAAGTCAACTAACCATAGTTTTTGTAACCAATTTAGAGCAAGGACAAAGAGTTTCTTGTGCATGCAAAGCAAAAAAAGAAGAAATTTATGATTTAATGATTTTATTGTCTACTGAGAATGAAGTTGTTGGAAAAGGTATTGCGAGTAGTTTAAGGATGGGCTGGGCAGTTTGCTGGTGATTTCTACCTACAGCTACAATCGCCATTAGTAAATGTTTTTCTCTTTTTTTTTTGAAGCCGAGATCATAAAATTTTGTGACAGAAATCTTTTGTTAAAGCGACAAAATCTCTCATTAATCTCAGCATGAATTCGCTTACTGAAACATTTCGAATTTTAAACATTCATTAATGAAATGTTTGTTGATCTTTCATTCAAAACATCACCAATGAAGATTTTTTTGTGTTTCACATTCCCACCCATTCATCCATTTTCCAATTGAAAATAATTTAATTAAATTAGAATTCCGACCCTTCAAGAAAAGTAGCTTTGACGTAATTAAAGGCAAGAAGAAGTTAGAAAAGGCAAAACCAGAAATAAGCGGGTTCTTAAGTCGTTAAACCACGGAATTCTTTCGTTTATTCAATTAAAGAACAAACATTTTTGTCGCTTGTTTCTGCTTTCCAAACTGATTATAAGAAAGACAAGAACGTATAATCAAATTGAATAACCAATGTTCATACGGCTTCATAGTAATGAGCTTGATTATGTGATTATTGACTCTGCTTAGCGCTTGACTCAAAATGCAGGAAGTATCGACGACGTCGTCAAAATTGGAAGAAAAATTTTAATAAAAATCGTTTAAATTCTCAACATGCATTCCTTTTCATTTTACCCAATATTGCACATGTTTGAGTCTAGAATGAAAACCCGTTTGAAGATGTGTCGTAAATGTCATTTATACAGTCATTAAAAAATCCTTTACAGCTGGTTTCAACTTCCTGAATTCATGTTATGAGTAGCTTTTTGAGATTCTCAAGTGTTTGTTTGTAACACTTGATGGAAACATTTCTCAAAACAATGTTGAATAATTTGGGATGAAATGAGTGTCATTAGCGTGATGATGGCGATAGAAATCAAACGGTTAAGTAGAATCGAAAGCAAAATAAAAAATCTTTTTGAAGATTTTTAGCAGTTTGTGATCCTTGAAATATTTTCCATCATCTTTCAACTTCACAATGCAACTTTAAGCAAACTAAAAATAATAAATTTGATCTTTTTCATCCTTTTTTCTATTCATCATTGAATGTGCAATGCAACAATAATGCAATTTATGTCACTCGAGGCCTAAACAGAAAAGAAGATGCTGTGACAAAATAATAAAAGAATCTCGTCATTGTATCTACTGTTGTTGATTCAAAGAATGGTTTTCGTAGCATCTTCAATATTGCAAGGTAAGCTTTAAGAATCGGTTGGATTTTTACCTTGAGGAAAGGAGTCGAAGTCGATATTGCTGGTTGTAAGAATGAGTTGACCGCTAGCAAAATGTCGATGAAATTTTGTTAAAAGTTTCTTTTTTCTTTTCACTTTTTTCTTGATGAGATGGGAATAATTCCAAAGTTACGGGTCATACTTGAACATGTTTTATAATTACATGATTTTGATGTGAAGTTAATTTCAATGATTCTATCAATGATGTTAAACTTAGTGACTTAATTTACGAATTCTCCCCTTCAAATATCACTCCATCAACACAAAAGTAAAAAAATGAGATAAATTAATACCTGATATAGTTGCAAGTCTTTTCATCCTTTTTCTTGGAATCATCTCTCGATATCCTTTCATATCCATGAATCAAACACTGATAAATACTTTTCTCTTGTAACATCTTTGATGTTGCTTTTAAGGTCGATCATTAATTTCGTTCGGTTCTCGTTTCTCTGTTTCAAATTGCAATACGCGCCAAAATGACCCATGCCTTTCTTATCCTTTTCTTGTATTTCTCCTTTCAGCTTTCATCTAACTCACCAACCTTCATCGGCCACATGTTGTGATACCGATTTCGATTTTCTTTTGTCGATGAAATGTTCAATTTCCTGTTTGCTTCTTTGTATCTAAGAAAATTGTATTTTGCAAGTCCTTTCGCTTCTTTTGATATGATTGCGTAAATTAATCGATTTCTTTTTGATGTTACCCTCAATCTCTAAATATAAAGTAAGTAGTAAGAACTCTTTATTCATTGCATTCAACATTTATGAAGTGCTTTGTATTTATGAATCTAAACAAAACTATAAAACAAAAGGATAAAGCCGTACCTGTCGGTGATATTGTGAATAAATTTCTTTTCTTTCTAACCAATAGATTTGAATGTAAAACAACTGCACACATTTCAACACACAAATGTCGTAAAGAAGCCAAGTTTAAGTTAAAAGGATTAGAAACCCTCCATGTTAACTGAAGCAAAATGTCTGCAAAATAGAAAATAATGAAAACAATCTCCAAGCCATCATACATATTATTTAATTGTTAAGGCAAATGATCTATAAAGAACCAAAGCAAATGATTTTATCTCAATAATTGTGACAATTTGTTGCTTTTTACCCATTAAAATTTCTCCCAAAAAATTGTATTTGTTGACAGACAAATAAGTGCTTGAAACGATTTATTTAACTCATTGTGTTGCATTGACTGCTAAGGGGTTGTAGCAAAGGCACTTCATCAAATCGAAACTATTTTCGTATTACTTTCCTTTCTAATTTTTGGAAGCTTACTAAACATCAAAACTACCGTTTTTTGACAATTTTTTAAGGAATTTTTGATGCGCGCCAGGGCACGCGGCAATATTAGGGGATGAATGACTTCGATATAACAAATATGAAGAGAAAACCTTTAACAACTCTCATTTTCAATGTCAAGAAAAAACTAGGAAATGCTGTAAAGTTTCGTTTTAAACATCATTTTTTATGTTAAAAAAAATTCATGCCACATTTTGTGATTTAAACGGTATTATGCAATGAGGGTAGACGGTTGATTTCGTATGTTAAAAATCCATTCCAGCTGTTAAATCCATAAAAAGGTTTTTCTTTCTTATGAATGTTATGAATGCCACGATTTCTTACAAACTCTAAGATTTCACTAAGTTGTTTCGATATTGGTCAAGCAAGAAGCTTTTTATTCATTGTCAGATTTTTAATGCTTTCATCGGAAAAGGGTCTCAAGATGTGAACAGGGAAGAATTTGTAACATTTCATTGTTCCCTTAATTCTATTTTATAAAAATTTTAACTATGCAGATGCAGTTACCCATAAAAAATTTCCGAAAATGACCGATTGTGCAACCGTCAGATGCTGTTTTCCAATATTTTGATCATCCCTTTTCGAAGGGTTCAATCTTTTTGGCGTCGTCAATGAAGCAATGGACGAAGGTTTGTGTTTACCTGGTCGAAGGCAACGAGATGTCGGAAATTGCTTTTTAGTTTCTTTTGATTGTCATTTCACAACTTTACATCAATAACAATTTCTTATTTATTCTTTCCCCTAAATGTTATTAATTTTAGAAGAGATATTCAGATTTATTTTATTATTTCTCAAATTTTAAGTAAGAAAAAAAACATCATGTTAACATTACCGAGTACTAGAAGATGTTAAGGAAACATTCAAACAGAATGAAAACAAAAATTAAAAAAAGAAGAACTCAAGTTCCTGCCGTGACCAGGATTCGAACCTGGGTTACTACGGCCACAACGTAGGGTCCTAACCACTAGACGATCACGGCTTTCAACTCGCTCTTGTTATACTTTCAATCTGGCATATTGAAAACATGAATATAAAGTTTAATTTCACGCTATCCACTGGTTTATCTTGCTCTGCTTTATTTCACGTCTCAATGATCAACAAGAAAAACGAAAATAATTGTTGAGATTGAAAAGTAAAGCCAAATCCGATGAATAAGAAGAAACAATATTAATTATTACTCGTTTCAAAATAATTTATCTAATTATCTATTTCTTAGTTAGAAATAAAAATCTTTAAAAAACTAGTAATGAAAATAATTAAACTTCTTCGAAACTCATGCAAAATTAGACACAGCCATTCATAGACGTCATTCATAAGACGTCATTCATAAGCATTCATTCATTGTGGTATCAATTGAAAAAAGATAAATTTATTCGTTTATTCATCAAGATATGTTAAAAAACTGCTATTAATAAGTATGAGAGAACAGTCAATGAGATTATAACATTACATTTATTTTTACTTTCACTTTACCGCTACCTGGCAACCAGTTGCAGACACTTACGCCATCTGTTGAGCAGTAACATTCTAAAATGAATTCAAAATCTCAAAATCCGTTAAGTTATGAAAACATATTTCGAATATATTTTCCATTTCAATTTTTATTAAATTGTTATTTACAATTTTCTTTTCAATATTCACATGACGGTGACTACCTAACTATCTGTTTTTTATGCTTTTTTTTTGTGTTTGTGTAAAAATCTAAACCTCTCTTCTTATATTTCTTATCCATGGATTTTTCTTCAAAGTTAATGTCCAAAAGAAACTGCGTAGAAAAAGACTTAATTAAGAAGAACTGAAATCTAAGGGAAATTTTACTCCGAAGTCGTTTTGTCTCTTATTAACTTCGTCCTATGGCGGTCCGATGTCAACATTAGTTAATCTAATTGGAGGCACCGTTGTTCTTGGTGGAGGATTTTGAAGTGCAGCTGCTTGTTGTTCACGTAACTCACGACGTCGCCTTTTACTTGTCAACTCATGACAATCTTGCGATGTCGGTAAGTTTGGTGGTGGAAGCCTGTGAAGCATAATCAATGAATTCAAACAATTCTTCAATAAAACAAAGATAAACTCACGTTTCTGGTTCAATATTCTTAAGCCACTGACTTTTAAGTGCATCATCCGCCGTAATTCTCTTTTCAGGATCCAAAGTCAACATTTTATCGAAAAGTTCCAACGCTGAGTCGGGCATGTATGCAAACTCTTCACGTAGTCTCCTTCGATATTGTTTCTTCGGTGTTAAAGTGTTAAAAAGAGGCAACTTAATGACATTCGGCCACACTGCAGGCGTTGGACAACCACACAATCTTGAAATAATGTCCAATTGAACTGGCTCTGAATTTCCTTGGAAAAGTGTTTTCTTTGCGAAAAGTTCACCAAGTATACATCCAACGCTCCATATATCAATTGAAGGTCCATATCTAAGAAAATGAAAACAAATTTAAGAAAAATGATCTGTAAGGAAAGAAATAAAAGTTAAAACTTACTTCTCTTCACCAAGTAACAATTCTGGTGGTCGAAACCATAATGTTATGACTTTGTTTGTGTAAGGTCGCTGTCGATCTTCGGCATCACGTGCTAGGCCAAAATCAGCGAGTTTAACTTCGCCTCTGAAAAATATCAAATAAAATAAATTAAAATTGTTAAATTTTTTAAGAAAAAGGGAAACTTACTTGTTATTCATAAGAATATTGCTGCCTTTGATATCTCGATGAAGGAAATTCTTCTCATGACAATATTTTAACGCTCTCAAAAGCTGCTTCATTATGCTTGCGATATGAATTTCATTGAATTCAACTTGTTCGTTCTCCATCAATCCCATCAGATCATGTTCCATGTATTCAAATACAAGATAAAACGCTCCACGATCCTTACAGAAATCAACAGCTTCTTGCTTGTCCGTGACAATCTCACGAAGCTTGACAATATTTTTATGATGTAATTGACGAAGAATTTTAATTTCACGTACAGCTGTAATTGGAAATCCATCTTTCTCATGCTCAAGACGAACTTTCTTTAAAGCAACAACTTCCTTCGTGTTCAGATCACATGCTTTGTAAACCTGACCATACGTTCCTAAATTCAAATCATTTTAATTAATAAAAAATGTTCAAAATAAATTCAAAAATTTTTACAAACCTTCACCAATTTGTGCCATAATTTGAAAAACTTCAACGCATCTTTCGCCCCAATTACCGACAGCATTATCTGAACGTCTTCGACTAATAATTTTCGGTCTTAATGTCTTTGCTGTTCCATTTCCTTTGACACTTGGTCGAATACCGCGACGACCAAAAATGCTGTCATTCTCATCATTGCTGAGATCTTCAGTGCCAGTGATCATCGGCGGCATTGGCATGTCAAGCAGACGAATTTTCTTTGATGGACCAGGACAATCTCGAGGTGGTGATGGCGTTCTTAATTCTGATGGAACGACAATGCCTGGTGGCATTGGTAGCTCAGTAGCTTTGCTCTTCTTTATCACAGAGGGATGATTGGATTCGGGAGGGGGTGGTGGCGGAGCAACTATTGTCTTATGATTCGGCTCATTATTACTTGACGATGACGTTGAAGTCTCTATTGGAATTCCATTTGATGGCGGAATGGGAATGTCCGTGAGATCACCATTTGTTGATTCACCTTTCATCTCACTTCCATCATGCGAATCAACGTTAATCACTTTCGGATCGTCTTTCGTATCAGACGATAAGAGTATTTCCTGAAGCACTTTAACTCGCTTATGTTTGCCTTTAACGAGCTCGGCAAAAAGTGACGTGTCATTTATGTTTATTGATTTTTTCGGCACGACCTTAGCAAGAAGTGAAGGTGACGGTGATTTTGATGGAGTTCGACGCGATGGTGGTGATGGAGATCGATGATATCTTGGAGGTGTTCGAGTTCGTGGCTTTCGCTTTCGTGGAGGGGTCGATGATGATCTAGAAGAAAATTAAGAAACTTTCCATTCAAAACAATTCTTTTGTCTCTTTTTCTTTCTCTTTTAATTACCTTGATCGTCTTCTCCTGTCACGATGTTTGCGACTACTGTAAGGCGATAACACGCGATCCCTTTTACGATAGCGTCGACTTTCGTACTCATATGACGATCCATCTCTGCTACGAGTACGTTTCCGATATGAATTCGATCGCTCAGGTGTCGAATGTCGTTTTCTTGATGATGCTTTTTGTGAAGCGGTTGATGAGAGTGACGAATGACGTCCACCGGATGGGACGCCATGACTTCGTGATAAATCTTCAACGATGAGTTTTTTAGGCATTGGCGGTGTGTGAGGTGAACGGTATTCGTTACGTTTACCTGACATGATGCATGTTGCTGGTGCATCAGAAAGACTTTCAGGACTGGCATTGAGAATAGGAGAATTGCCTGCAAAACATCAATAAAACGATAATTGAAAGACATTTATGTTAATATTTTTAATTTACCTGGTGATATCGGCGTATATGCGTCGAATTTATTTTTTGGTGTGTAGGAGATTTGATCGAGTGGCGGTGTGCAACCTTCATCAATTCTCTTGTTGCTCTTTTCACTATTGACACTGTCCAGCAAAGCTTCATCATCGCTGATTTCTTCAATTGACTCGTCGCTGGATCGTCGTCGCTTTTTTCTCTTTTTCGACTTTTTAAGCTTCTTTTGTTTCTTCTTTTGCTTTTTCTTACGCTTTGTGGACTCGCTAAATGTCGTGTCACTAAAGCCATCACCGTCCATTAATTTTTCGAGCTCCTCATCGTCATCATCGATAGGCTCATAAATGGAATTGTTATTGTTGTTGGTGTTGCCGCCGATTGTAGAAATTTCATCATCACTGACGATAGAAAGACCGTCAGATGGAAGTTCACCAGCTTCGGGTGCAGACAGCTCATTGCTTGATACATCTGAATATTCTACTAGACGATGATTGTGTCCTGGAGATGATTTCGATGATTTTTTTGATTTCTTCGCGTGTGATTTTCCACTTTTCGAGGTTTTGTCCATGTCGAGTGGATTTTTGTGTGAAATCAGCACGAATTGTTGCAGAGACTAATGAAATTTTTATATTTTTCTTCCTGATTCTTCTTGCATAGGTCGAACTTGTTTATGTTCATAAATTTATTTATTTAATCCTAAAACAACATGAGACACTTAGCATTAGCAGGAAGAACATTGATAAGAGAAAACAAAAAAAAAACGGGAGAAGAGTTAAAATTAATGTCGTAAACTTTTTTGTTTCACACTTGGGCGACAAATCTTATTACGTAGAAACTTTTTCACATCTTTTAAGAATTTCACTATTACTTAGAATATTTCACTATGCAAATACTCACTGATATCATCAGAATAGCATGATGGCTTTAAAGCACACATAAGCATACAATAAAAATGTAACTTTAGGAAATGTGATAAAATATGTGTTGAAATATTTCTAACGCTCTTTTGCTATAATTTTCACTTTGTGAATAACTTGCTTTCACTGTCACTATTGAATTATTGACAAAATGTTTACTTAAAGCACATAAGAAATTACATTATTCTTGAATTAATCAAAAAATTTTGGATTTTTGCAGGGTCGAGTTATTAATTGCAGGGTTGAGTTATTAATTGCGAGTTTGAAAGGGGCAAAATACTACGATACGCTTAAAAACGCGGGGAATTTAAATTTAAATAAAATTATCTCAGGAAAATTTAAATTCATATCAATTTCATAATTTATTAATTTTAATTAGATATCTACCTAATTGATAAACATGAAAATTACTTTTAAAAGTCAAATTATAATAAAATGTTGCTTAATAAGTAATTTCTATGAGATGAAAATAAAATAAATATTAGGAACTGAAAAAATAAACTTCTCAGCATGTTTTACCTAAAATTTTATTTAATTTTTTCTTTTTTTATGAGGGAAATATTTTTTAAAAGAGCTTCAAAAGTATTTTCTTGAAGGTGTTGTTGGTAATCTTTGGAAAACAGTTGGCGCTGTTGCTAATGTTGGCCAAACCGTAGGGGCAGTTGCGAGAGTTACTTCTGTCGTTGACTCTTCTGTTGATTCCACTAAAGTTGTTTCTTCCTCTGTCGTTTCAGTCATCATTGTTGTTGTAGTTGAACCAGAAAGCTCACATCTTGCAATAGATGGAGAATCACATTGATTTGATCTGGGATTAAAGTGCCTTCCTTCTTCGCATCTGTGCACACTTATTATTCCTTGATTACAAGCATAAAACTTTTCACAATCATATTCATGCGGTATAAAAGCCAATTCATCTTCTATTGAACACCTTTCGTCTATATTTGTGTTTGGATCGCACTCTGCAATGTGTGGCCACTCACAACGATCATGAATGACGCTGTAATAAAAACTGTTAATATTATCAAGATTAAAACATTAAAAAAATCTTTTAAACCTCCAATGGGTACCACCAGAACATTGATTAAGTACAAGTCTTCCATTATCGCATATGAAAAATAATTCGCAATCATATGGATGTGGAATGTGCACTGGATTTTCTGGATCTTCAACCCACGGACATCTGGGATCGTGATCGGGTGATGGTGAAGTTGCAGGGGGGAGACTTTCAGTCGTTGTAACTAAATTTGTTGTGTCATCTCCCGGTGGAATCCCAGTCAGGGTGCAATTTGCACGTTCTGGCCAGTCGCACCAATCTAATTCAACACTCCAATGAGTTCCTGGTGGTTCACAATCGAATAACACTGGAACACCCCAATTGCACTTGTAAAACACTGAACAATTATATTCATGTGGAAGATGAACAGTTATGTCGTTATTAGGTGGGCAACGCGGATCCGGTGATGGTGAAGTTGCAGGGGGGAGACTTTCAGTTGTTGTAACTAAATTCGTTGTGTCGTCTCCCGGTGGAATCCCAGATAGGGTGCAATTTGCACGTTCTGGCCAGTCACACCAATCTAATTCAACACTCCAATGAGTTCCTGGTGGTTCACAATCGAATAACACTGGAACACCCCAATTGCACTTGTAAAACACTGAACAATTATATTCATGTGGAAGATGAACAGTTATGTCGTTATTAGGTGGGCAACGCGGATCAGTGTCCTGAGCTTTTAGGATAGGAATAAAAATGGCAAAAAATATAAAAATCTTCGATATTAAAAACATTTCTTTCTCGCAATTTTTCTTCACGAAGTTCAAACTTACTATGAGCAAATGTAAAGCGATATTAATAAAATTTATACGATAACTTATCGTCCCTCGATATTTTTTCAATTCTCATGAATTCAGATAAAAAGGCTTAAAAGATTTTTGCTTCCTCTTCTGTTTCTTATCTTCGAGATATTTTAAAGCAGGAAAGTATTGATTTACATTGCTGTAATAAAAGGATTTTATGATAATGAAACTTAATTGATGAATTTAAGAACTTTCATTTTTATTAATTAAAAATATTTTCCAATTCTTCTCAATGTCTTCGTTTATGTAAGATAAGTTCTGACTTTCTTTGAAATGTTCGAGTGCAGTTTGATTCATTTAAAACGTACGGTTGATTGCCCGTCTAAAGGGAAGAGAAATTACTTTAAATGTTGACGTTTGTTTCATGATTATTTACTCATACATGTTTCATCATGTGCCGCTTTTTATCGATGAAATGAATGAAAGTTTTCTCACATTCTGTACATGAGTAAGGCCTTTCTCCGGTGTGAATTCGTCTGTGAATTAACAAATTCTTTTTTCTTGAGAAGGTTTTCGTACATCCTTCGAATTCACACTCAAACGGTCTCTCCATTGTATGATATTGACGGATGTGGTCGTTAACTTCGTACTTCTTGTAAAAGCCTTGTTGACAAAACGAACATGTGTACTTCTTCCTTATATGCACATTATGGATGTGATTAAAAATGTAAGATTTCAGTCGAAACTTTTGTCCGCAAGTATCACAAATAAATTTCTTAATTTCGTCTAGAGGTTGTGAAGCCAAGAAATGTCTTTCCTCGTGATGTTTAAGGGAACTTTTAGACGAGAGAAGTTTACCGCAATAGGAACATGGATTTTTCTGTCTCTTTTTCAAAGGATTGTTTGAATGTAAGTTGCGGATGTGAAAATCGAGGTACGACTGCAATTTGAATTTTTTGTCACAAAAGCTACAAGAAAAATATTCAGACTCGGGAATGATGTCATGCTTTGTCCGAATATGATCACTGAGTCTTTGAGACGATGTAAAATCTTTCCCACATTCGCATTTGTGAATTCTGTTTCGTTTAACGGGTTTGGGTAGTGACTTGTTCTGTTTTTGTGGTTTGACTGGAACTTCATCATGATTTGAGTCTTCTGCCATGTCCAAATATTCTTCAATCATTTCCATTTTATCATCATATTCAATAATTTGATCAACATATTCTTCTGAAATTTCGAGTTCTTCATAGCTTTCAGTTGGTATTTCTGACTTCTCTTCTCTTAAATCAATTTGTTTCGTGAAGAAAGCATCCGCAACAAGCGCAATTCTTTTTAATCGTGCTGCATTTGAGACATCAATTACACAATTACAGCAAATTAATGCTGGATAATCGAGATGATCAGTTACCTTCGAATTGAACATTGAAATATCAGCGAACATTGAGTCAATCAGTTAAATATTATTTAGCTTACCGTAACGCCACAAACGTAAAACAATTCTTCCGAAATTTTACACTGGTTTTCTGTTATTGGTTGAAATACTTCATTACCCTCTAACGATAAACAAACACGGCAAAGTCTCTTCATTTTCAGAAATAAACAATAGAGCTACGTACGAATTTAAATTAGATTATTACCTACATTGGAAAAATTTAAATTTCTGAAAAATTGTTTTGATTTGAGAGGGGCTCTCAACTATAAGAAGATGCAGAAAAATATTTTTTCAAATAGACTGAAAAAAACTGAAAAAAACTAAAAGTCTCAATAATTTTCTATTTATTGAATATTAACTTTACAATTCATAATATCCATAAGTTTCCAATTTAAATGATTCCCATTTTCCTTTACAACAATTTTTTCTAAATGTTTACAATTATTTCGTATTAATTTTAAAGCATTGTTTGTAATGTTCCCACTTCTTATAATGGTCAACCGGCTCAGGTGTTTAAGAGAAACAACATTTTCTATTATTTCATCGTTAACAAAGGAGCAATTGAGGAATGTAAAGTCTTCAATTTTATCATTTTCAATGAAAAAGTTTAAAGGAAGGCGATCAACGTTATCCAGCACGATCGTCTTTAATGTTTTAGATTTCAATCCATCCACGATACCTTCAGTGATTTCTACTTCCACCAGTTCCTTCATGTTCTGTGACATAATGTCTAACATTTCTTCGTTTCTCATCCACTTAAGCTTGAGAATTTTTGTGAATGGAAATTTTGAGAGGCATCCTTTGCTTATGTTCATTTTCTGTCCACCAATTGACAAAATTTCTACAGATTCAAGAGTTTCCAGATTATGTAGAAAGATATTTGAAAAATCAAACATCCTTAAATTTGTTAAACAAATCAAACTTGGTGTAAAATCACAATATTCGACATCAGAAATCGTTAGACGTGTTAAACTGTCTGCATGGTTTTCAATGAAATCCTTCAAATGAATTGTCTTGCAGAAATTTCCATTAATTATAGTAAAACTTTCAAGATGAAAGTCAACTTTATCTAATGATTCGTCAATGAATAAATTTGTTTGGAAGAGTCCCTCTATGAAAATGCATTTTAAGGTTTTCTGGCTTTTGAGTAAGCTAGTTAAATGTCTGAAGTCATAAAAGTCGTCTTTGTCGTCATTTATCACTGTAAGTTCTTTGATATTGCACTCATTAAAAATCCTATAAACTCCAGGATCACATCTCGTGCAAACCAAACTTTTAATATCTAACTGCGGAAATGGTTTCTTCAATACTCTTGGTGCATCCAACAAAGTAAATTTAAAGAAATTGATTGAAGTTACGTTTGGTGCTGCATTCAAAATTGCTTTCAGAATGTTTAATTTTAATTTGATGTTTGAGAAACTCAAGGTCGTTAGACGACTGCTAATGCTATGAAATAATTTTCGGTGATAAGATGTTGAAAAGAATCCTATACAAAGCTTTGTATATTGCCTATCTCCCAATGTTGATTCGTCCTTATAATTTAATTTTCGGAAGCACATTTGAAGTTTTCTCACCAAATTCAATTCATTATTGATGAAGGCGTTAAATGATTTGCAAACACAAGATAAATTAATAAGATCCTCTGCAGATAAATCTTTAAATATTTCAAACAACATCTCTGCTGGTAGCAAATCCATTATTGTGAGAATAAAAACAGTTCAAGAATTTTGTATGAAAATGTTTTAGAAAACTGTAAACAGATGCGAAACTTTGCATCATTTTATTTGGAATTTCATCATCACATGTAACGTGATATGAGGATAAGCCCTGCTGAATTATTTCTGTAAATAAACATTTAATAATATTTTGATGGATGATTTTGGGCCCTCATAAAAGAAAATAAATAAAAAATATATAAAACAAAAAGAAGAGACAATTATTGTCTCTTGCCGTGACCAGGATTCGAACCTGGGTTACTACGGCCACAACGTAGGGTCCTAACCACTAGACGATCACGGCTATGAACCATTTCATGTCGTGATTTCGCCTTGACAAAGTCAAATTATTAATCAAACATTGAAAGATATTTTTTGAGTTACTGTAATCAAACTTTACTTTCTCACTTTGCTTCATTAAAGAGAGCAAAAGCGAACTCGTAAATCAGATCGAATGACTAAGACATAAGAAATAAAACCAAAAACAGTTTTGCGTTTTTATTTGATTTACGGAACACAACGAAAATGAAATGATGATGCTTGCAATTGAAGAAATAAGAGTCTCAATACGAATATGATGGAAAAAGAGAAGACGATTTCGCATTCTGTGCAATCAGATGGTAAACAAAAAGAAAGTACTTTTAGCTATAACATTTATGCTTTTTATTTCATTGTGCTTTGTTTTACATTGTCAACAGAGAAAAAAGCCGTAAGATTTTACAAACTACATTCGCTTTTTCTTTACTAAAACAACCACCTAGAAAGAATGTAAGAAAATTAAAAGTCGTTTGCAATCCAAGTAGTTACGTTTTCTTTCAATTTTACCGCCAAATCCCAAACCAGCTCTCGCTCCACCTAGATAAGTCAATTAGCGTCATACATGGAATTGACGTTTCTCTCGTAATAAAAAGAAATGTTTATGTAACCTATTATATTCATACCTTTCTATCCCTCCCCCACTTCCCGTTTCCTGAGTCATGGATAATTCGACAATCAGCAGAACAACAAAAATAAACATTGCAAGTCTTTCCATGTTTTCGGCAATTTTTCCTATCGTCGAATTCAGAGAACAAACTGATTTCAACAATGTTTTACTTTTTCTTTTATAGAATTCCAGAAACTTATAAAGAAAGTTGCCAACATGCAATTCAAACATCATGCAAATAGATAAGAAATGTTCTATCAAAAATAATTTTACCTTTAGCTTAATGAGAAAAATAATTAACTTTATATCGGTTGATTAAACTATTGATAAAACTGTCGATAAAATAAATAATGTTTAATGACACAAGACAAGATTTTAACTGCTTTAACATAAATTATAAAAATGAGAAAACGAAGTGATTTACAAAATCGTCTTGCACGGGAAGTATTTAAATAAATTAATTTCTAATTATAAACAAATTTTTCTTTTTCAACTCCAGTAAAACAATTTTAAAAGAAAAGTCAATCTCGAGACGAAGAAAACATAAATTTTCAGATATTTAAATTGAAATTCTTCAAATTCCTCATGTTCATAAACTTTCGCCACCCCCGCTCTAGCATCGAGTGATGGAAAAGTGGAAAACAAATTTTAATCCTTTTCGCAAACAAGTCTCGCTCTCGACGTAGCCTTTTTATTTTTTTTTCCTCGCATCAAACGCTCTTCAAATTTATGATAATCAATTTTAAATAACAAATTTTTTGCTGTTTTGTACTCATTGTCGGTTCACAATAAGACGATGTTAAAAAAGAGTGAAAATTTTGTAAAGTAAATAGCGCTGAGAGGCATTTAAGCAAGATATGGCAAGTTAATGAATATTATTTTACCCCTTTTTTGTGTGCAGAGCACTGACTGCTTCATTGTAATGTAAATTGTAAACGTCAGATTTCTATCAAAAGCACGCAATACTGAAATGTACATGTACATGTTTCGAAAATACATTCGCCTTCCTTATCAAACAATCCGTAAAGATTTTTCTTTATCTTTTATTTAAAATATGACAATATAATTCTTCATCTTTTTCTCATTCACACATTTTTCTCCAGTCTTGCATCCTCCGCTTCATATTTTTTATATTCAATAAAAAAAGAATAAGAAGTTTGAGGACGTGAGCGGAAAGTTAAAAATTGTCACGTTTTTTTAGCTTTCCTTTACTTGGTGTGTGAATGTTCCTTGCAGGTTGTTAATGCTCTGTTTGCACAGCTTCATGTTCTAAGGCATATGGATTCATTCTTCTTTGCAATTTCATGCATGAATGATAAATAAGATTTATGTTTTAGATTTCTTTCTCGCCATCACAAGTATTTCTCTCAACCAGCGAGGTGCCGATAACGAAAGGTAAATGTAACGTTTTATTATTTCTTATGAAATGCCAACTTTATTTATTTTGTCGCGTACGCGAAATATCGCGCGACAATGAAAGAAAATCTTGACTTTATTTAACTGAAATACTTTTTTTTCTCCTTTTATTTCTTCTCTCCTAAAGCACTCAATCAATAAAATTTATTTTTGGAAGGAAGGAAAAAAGAAGAAGAATAAAACAAGAAAACAAGTCAAACGTTTTGACTCGTACTAGTTATTTTATTTATAGAGCCATTGTGTGACAATAAAAAGTTGATATTTTTTCTCCAAATTCACTTACGAGAGTCGCTTATGTGACTTAAGTTTACTTAATTGAATAAATTTTCAGTCTAATCGATGACCATAAAAAGAATTGAAAAGCAATAAATTTCTATTGACAATAATTCACATCAGTTTAAGTAGTTTAATCAAAAAACTATAAAATCGATCGCAACAGTTAATCATTGAGTTGATTGAAATTGCTGTAAATCAAGCAGATGTTGACTGAATTTCTTTTTTCTCAACACCAACCAACCCTTATCGGTTGACAGATGAGAGTAACGAATGTAGATTGGAATTAAATAAAGTTAAGTGGATGGGAAAGGGTGACGCAAATAAATCTATCGATTAATATATTTTTATAAATATGTAAGCATTAAATATAAACTGAGATTGGGGTGAAGTCTTATCAAGGGCAAAAATGGCGATGATGTTGTCATAGGCAACATTTATCAGGGCGGAAAGAAATGCTAAAATAACGTTGGAGTTATCGAATCAGCACCCACTAAAAGCTTAGTTTAAAGCCTTTCCAATAATAACCCTTTTTCAAATTTTCCACAATGAATCTAAATCCCAGGTGACTTAACTGACAAATAACCCTAAAGAAAGGAAAAAAAAAAGTTTTCCAGCGAATTTATTCAAGAAAAAAGAGAAGAAAGGAAAGTTTTCCTTCGCTTACAATCACTGATGGAAATTTGAAATTCCAAATGCCTCTTTTACCCCTCAACCTTCAAAAGAAGAAGAGAAACAAAAATTTGGAAATCATCACAAAGACTTATTCAATAACATCGATTTAAAATCAAATCGGGTCAGAAAATAAAATCCTCTTGATTTTGTTTACTTTGAACCCTTTTAGTTGATTCTCAAGTGGGAACATTGGCAAATGAAAAAAAAGTGAAATAAAATAAGAAAAAAATGTGTAAAGGATTACATCGAAATAGTTACAAAATTTTTGGGTGGGAAATTGACTGTTGTTATCAAGAAACGGCTTTTCTACTTTCTTAAAAAGTTTGCTGAAATGTTTCTGCTGTTACCGGAAAGAAAGATTTCTAAGTAAGTTTTGATCCTTCTCTTTCAACGAGGGAATTAAAATCATTTCATGTTTATTTGGCCGAAAAAATGAAACATAAAGTTAAAATAAATACAAAAAGGGGTGACAAACGGAAGCTTTCAAAGTATTTATTTGAAGAATTTTTAATTCGACAACAACTCGATACAAGATGGGGAGGGGATAAAAAGTTTATAGCGACGACATTCAATTAGTGTCACCTGACAACATTCACAAAGTCAAAATCTGTAACATTTGCCATCAATTAATTGTAAATTTCTCGCTTCAAATGACATCACATTCGACACCGTGAGTTGAGATTAAATCAGTATTCAGCTAAATGCTTCCTTTTTTCTCTCTTCTCTTCATGCCCTTTCTCTTTGCCCTCAACCGTCAATTGGTGAAATTAATGAAATCGGAATTTGATTATTCCATTCAATTTCCTTTTCTCCCTCCATCGAACACATCGCTTCGTATCAAAAGCGTACACGTTAACAAAATCATGAAAAACTATTTAATCACTGTACGATACACGATGAGTTGCGTTAAGCTTTATTTGACCAGCATCGTAAAATCGTGTTATTGAATAGCTAGTAGAGAAAGAATTCTATCGGAGTTTTATCGAAAGGAAGAATCGAGTAAATGGAGCATACAATTTGCCAACTAATCGATGTTGCTTTGAAAATTGCTTTTGTTAGCAAGTTTTTACTACCTAAAAGCTTTTGAGTTTCTCACTTTCTCAATGGACATTGAAAAGCGAAAAAACTCACAGAGGCAAATTGCGATCAACAGTAAAAGGTCTGTTATTAAAAGAAAAAGAAAATCAGAGTCATGAAAATAATGAAAATACGTCTCGGATAAGATTTCATTCTGACTAATTAAAAGCTCAATTAAAAGAACACAAAACTTTTCCTTCTGAACGCTTTCAATCTTTTCGTTTATGTTGTTTTTTTTTGAAAACGGGTCACCAGCATCGGTTCTCGTGGAAACAAGTCATCTGACATTATCCAGAATAAAAAAGAAGAGATGACACTCACCAACAAACCATAAAACCATCCAACCTTTCGCTTTAATTTAATTGCTTTTCTCATCTTCTTCATTCGTCGTCTTAAGCATTTTTTTTCCTGTTTTCAGCTTTAATCTTCATATTGTGCTGAAGAAGACAAAATGCCCCAGCATCGACCGTTATGTTTCGCCAAATGCTTACATGTACAGCAGATTGCATTTTAAATTCTCTTTTTTTCTTCCTTCTCATTGCAGAATCTTCTTCGCTTTTCTGCAATTTATGTCATGCTACTTTCTTTTTATTCCATGTACAATCTTGTGAGATGATTGAAAAATTTTGTAATATGTACAACAAATCAGCTTTGGAAGTGATTTCAATAGTCATTGAATGTTTCTGTTTCATTTTGTTACACAACTTATGAAACTTTCCAACCCATGTAAATTGCAATCAGTTTTGTTTTGCTTCTTTAGAAGATTACTTTTTAAAGACGAAGATTGGAGGTGAATTTTGCATTATTTCTCGAAGAAGAGTAATTGAAAATTTAATTCAATAAATTTCCATCATTTTTCATGTTCAACGAGAAAGAAAAACTTTTATAAACTGCTTCAACCTGTGCTTCCAAGAACTGATATGCTTGCGTTCAAAGCCCATTTATTTCTGTTCATTCTCCTTTGACTGTATGGTTGTAGTCTTAAATTGAGTGTAGGTTTCGTTTGTCAAAACGAGTCAAGTCGATTTTCCTCAAGCGGAAGCCTATTGACTCAAATAATTGGTTTAACGCATTCACACGAAGGAAGGTTTTGTGACGCGCACGTATGGCTTCCCTATCAGATATAAGAATGTGCTTTCTATTTGGAAAATAAGAACCGACGTAGACTCTAAATTGAATAATTTAGCAACGACTGCCTTTGACTAAATTGCTTTTAATAGATTTTTATTGGCTTTTTATGAACTCAATGAATTGATATCAAATTTCGGTTTACGACATTTTACATTCTGTTAGACATAGAAATTACAATGAAACAATGAAGATGTTTGACAATCGGAACTACAAAGCATCGGATTATGATGCAAATTATCTAGCTCAATTTAAATGGAAACTTTAATTAATTTAATTCAAATGTTTCGTCATGGTTGTAAAGTGATGTTAGAATCAAACAGATAAATTAATTTTTTTGTCTCATATTCATAAAACTAAAACAAGCAATGCAATATTTTATTATTCAAAATTCAAAATTTATTTCTATTCTCAGATTTTCGTATGCAGTAATTTACTTTTGTGGTCTGATGTATGGGAATCAACAGGATTTACATGTCAGGATATGCTGTCATGGTTGCATGGTTGCACAAGCATAAGAACACTAACTCATCCTTTAAATTATTTCTTCACAAACACATGAGAACTTTCTGTTCTTCTTCTCTTTCAAGATACCTATTTTGTTTTAAACTAAGTTAAATATTTGCCACAGACTTCCATCATAAATATTTTTTGGTGTTGGCATATGTGAAATTCGTTACATTCATATATTGCATGTGTACATTCTGCAACGTTCACAAAGTTACATTTTCATTCCATTCTTAACAAGGTATCACAATTAATGTCACGTCAGAACGTTAAGCTCGTCGTTTACTATCGTCAGTTTTCCCATTGACTTTAGAACGTAAGCGATGTGTGAATAAAAATCGCTTTTAATTTTCAACTTCGAGGAAAAAATATAAGAAAAGTTTATCGTTTGAAGTTTTTTTTTTCATTCTTTCATTCCTTTTTTCTTCGAGGGTTGGAATAAGATGGATCCACGATCTAAACGATAAGGAAAAGCTTTTAAGTAAAGCACAATGTTAAGGAAGATGAAGGAAAAAAAACATCGAGCAGGAAAACTTTCCAAATTAATGAAAGTCACAAAGAAGTAAATCACTGAAGAAGAGAGAAAACTAACGTTCAAGAAGTTGGTTAAAGTTTTATTTTCTTCCTTTTTCATCGTTCTAATGCAAATTTAAAATAAGCTTAAGCTTCAATGCTCTTCAAAAAACATTATTGGGATTTAATGTTAAGTGACGTTCAACGTTGAAAGTTAAATCGTATATCAAGGAAATTAAATTGGCCAGAGAAATACTCAGCTTAAACGTTGCTGTCATAAATTTCACTTACTCCACTGAAGTGGGATAATATTGTCCTTTAATTTATTTTATGTCCTAAATTTACATGATTTGTCTAGTGAAATAAACTTTCAAGAGATCCACAATGCAACTTTTATTGACGTTGAATGATGCTTGGAAGTTGTAATGATACTTACTCGATAACTTTTAAATCTAAAGTGAACTCTAACAGCACCTACGGGTTTGAGAATAATTTCTGACCTTATTTCTTGAAAGAAATGACTGCGATTTTGCATTTTCATCGAAGACGCAAAATCAGAAAATAAAAATAATTGTGAAGATGCACAGAATGTCATAATACCGTTAACGGATTCATGCAGCAGTAAAAGTATACCATATGGTCACTTCCTCGTTGTTTTGCGTGCGTTCTTTCTTCTCTCCACTTCATGTACTGCTTTCATGTTTTATATGTGCAAAAAAAAGATGAAATATATGCTACTTGAGGTTGTTGAACCTGAAAAATACGAGGAATCGTGATAATGTAATTTGATGCCGCAAGCATTGGTCTACTTAAACTTGCATTTATTTTTTCATCTCATTGTTGATTATAGAATTAAGCAAACGCATTTCCCAAAGCGATGAATGTAAATACATTAAGAATGTGAAGTCCAAATATAGCCGATGACAACTTCTCTTGATGCTGAGAGAGTTGCAACTCATTCTGCTGACTCATCTTGGGAGAATTGATTAACATTACAATTATGAAGCTTCCAATGCTCTCATGAAATTTGTCACCGACAATTTTATTGCATTAAGGAGAATATTAAATATGTAAGCACGAGCATTTCGAACACAGACCATACAACATTGTTACAACGCCCACGTTGGCATTTTGCTTTTATCTTAAATATTTCATTTGCAGATTATCATCTTTAATGAAACTTTGTCGTTTCGTTGTCGTGTAAAAAGTTACTCATGTCATTAACATAATGCAAGTTGAAACTTCTCGATGCCTTTGTTGGAAATAAAAGATTGAATCGAGTGTAATGTAAAATTTTCTTGAAAAATTCTGAAATTTAATACAAAATGATGAAACAAGAAACATCAGAGATCATGATGACTCAGATTACTTGTATTGCAATCAACAGCAAATTCTCGCTGATGTTTTTTTTTTCTTCTTTGTTGGCATCTTGTTGTGACCGTTCGAACCCAATGTCACTAGAAGCTCTTAATTTGCATGCATCTGATACAGAATTTGCATATTTTTTAAATTTTAATTACGCCAACATTCTTCTTCCCGACGTTTCTCAGCGTGCACAAGCACAAGAAATCTCTTGCGCTTCTTTTTTGCATATTTTTCTTCTCTTATTATGCTTAGTGATAAAATGAAGACAAAAAATCAACGAGAGAAAGAGAGAGAGACACGTAATTAATTGAGGTAATAAAAAAAATCATTCGAGATTATCGCGGATCTTAAGAGAAGAAAAGAAAACGAAATGCATTCGTAAGAACGCGATGGAAGGCAAGCAAAACGAAGCAAAATAAAATGTGAAATAAAATAAACCTCAAAAGAAATAATATGAAGACAACAAGGCGATTACGAAAACAAGAGAGAAGTAGCGAAACTAGTCGCTGCTGCTTTTTCATGGCATCATGCAAATTCAATTTCCCTTTTTTTATTCTCCTTTTGCAATAAAATTGCAATATCATTAATTAGCATTTTTGCTTGTTATTTTTAATTGATATTATTTTTCATTTTCATTTTTATTGCTGCTGTTGTGAGTTTGACTAAGGCAAAACTGCGTTGAGCTATTTGGTTGCGTTGTGCTTACAAATAATGTAATTAAAGAAATATTCACTGAAGGAACTTGTTTTGTGTGGTTTTGAAGATGAAGAAGAGAAGACGTCGCTTTCAAAGGATATTGTTAGGCGAATTAATCTTTCTTTCGTTATTGAATGAAGCACAATTTCTTATACGTTAACAATTCATGTTCATCTTTTCATTTCATTCATTGTTCATTGAGTGAAAAAGGAGGCTGCTGCCGACAAAAACCTTAAAAAGAAATGAACATATTTTCTATTAGCTCTAACGAAAGTAAACATATTGCGATTGTGTGGCTGAAGAAGCGAGAAAAGCTTCTAAAGTGGCCTGCATATGCGGTACTTCGTAATGTAAGTAAGTAGATGTAAAAAAGAACAGTGATTTTAAAACTCTTGGGTTGAACTGCGAAATCGTAAAGTTCCGCGTAGTACGAGCTTCATATTTCATCTCTGTCAAATGGCATGCAGCAGCACAGAGTACTTTGTCATGCCAAACTTTAGAGAAGCTCTTCAGAGTAGAATTTTATAATAAAAACATGCAGGTTTGGGAAGCTTTCATGAATTATGTAACGCTTGTAATTAATGACGAAAGTAGCTTGCTTCACATGACACTTTCAAAGTTGTTTTGGACTCACCGTTTTGATAGTTCTACCGCTTCTATTCCCATTCTTATCACGTTTCACATTTCACGTAAACGATATAACATGTCATAAAATATCGTGACTTAATTTATGTATGAATCCCCAAGAACCATAAAACTAGCAGAATTTTTCGTTTCTCTGGAATTTTTTCTTTTCGAAAAACGAGAAAAAAAAAAGAATTCCATTCAAGAGAAATATGTGAAAATTATGTTGGAAAAAAGAAACTTTAGAGCTAAAGAGACAAGAAAAATCACCGAAAAAATCATTTTTCATCACCGAAGAGAAGTTTCTTTTCCCAAATGCACATAAAAAACGAAGTCTTTATGATGTAAATATTTGTTATTCAATTTTTATTTATTCATATAATTCAGTTCGTGAAAAGGAAAAGTGTGGAACGTGGTTGCAACGATGGAGACTGTCACGTTCCCTAATATTTATACATTCCTTCATGATCTTTCTCGTTGCTTTTTGAAAAATATTTGAAGGCAAATTGACGTTGTTAAAGTTAGAAGAAAAAATAAAAGAATTATGAAATATTTGTCTTTGGACAAGAAGAAATAAAATGCTTTGCACACACAACGCATTGAGTAAGAGAATTTAATAAACGTTCGTTTACCTTTTTCCGACAGTTTCTTTAGCTTCGTGTAAATTATGACAAGAAGCTCCATGAGAGACCATTTCGATCGCATTATGAGTGAAAGGTATCGGCAATTTCCCATTTGGGATAAAAACAAATTTCAAGCTGAGAACCCTTGAAGTCGTTTTGAGAAATGATTGCAATTTCTCCATTCGTCGATAATATTCAAAAGCTTTTAGATTTCAAGAGATTTTCTCCTGCATGAAATTTCCATCAAGCGTCTAGGGTTTTTGTGGCACTTCTAAGTAAAGCATTACAGGCGATGGGAGGTGATTTTCGAAAGTGATTTCAAAAGCGAACGATTTATTGTTGAAAACTTTTCTTCATTCAACTCCCTACAATAATTTGTGGGAAATCGATATTTGTTTGCGCTTCCTAACACGATTACTTCTTGCTTCGGATATTTTATAGTTTTTCCTGTTTTTTTATTTTCTTCACTCTGCCTCAGGAGTAAAAGGAAAACCAAAAGCCATCAACAGAGACTAAAACTAAACCCATTTTTAATCAACAATAAATCAACTTGACTACCTCCTTAGTTATCAATCTTTCTATTCTTCTTATGGCTTTCCATTACTGCGTTCAACTCAACTCATTGTCGTTTCTGTCTAAGAAGGTCTTTGATTCGAAAAGGAAAGAAAGAAGACGCGTAAAGCGTTGTCGAAAGCAACATGAAGATTTGACATTGACTAAATCGGAATTAAATAATCATTTTGTTTACCCAATGATAAAGTCATGGCAGGCAAGGGAAGCCCTCTGAACCTTTATCAAAATCAAAATTGACAAATTACGTCCTCAAGATAACGAGTCTATTCTTTCTCTTGAATCAAGAAGCAAAAGATAATAAAAAAAGCATATAATGCTAAAAGGATAAATAGGATTAGAAATGAATGGAACAGAAGAAAAAAGAAAAGCGACGGAAGATGAAAAAAAAACTTTTCCTCCGCAAGTCTTCTCGAATGTCAGTCCCAAGCTGAAGGGGGGACCGGGGATATGATAAAGATGGAAACTTTTTGTCTTTTCTTGTTTAGGTTAAGATAATTGATTGGCGGGGTGAAATGAGTTTCGATTTGCGTCTCTGGTGTTTATCACAACTCACGAAACGAGCAACGTCGGTTGATATTTCTTTACCTGCACAGTTTCTCATTTAAATGCTTAAGACACTCTAAAGAACATCTCAAATTTATCTTCATTTGCATCGGTTGGTTTCTCTAACGCACGAAGCACGACGAGATAAATTTGCCGCTTCCTTTCTTTAAGTGGATATTTCCTGTAAAGAAGATCTCCAAAAGAAGAAATGAAATCTCGTTCACTTCCTGATCAAATGAAACACACGATTAAATTTTCTACAACTTTTATTGCTTGACGTTTATTGAGATTTTTAATTTCTATATCACAGTTATATTTCTTACAGGTTTAGTATCAAGATTTTTTATCGATTTTAAATAGTACAATAGCGGGGAAGTGTTCATTATTTACGTCATTTTTTCTTCTTTTTAATTATTTTTTTTTGTTCTAGAGAAACATGAAAATGTTTGGTGGGCGGAAAAATTAGCTGTGATGTAATTTCCTTTTGTTTCTTCATAAGACTATTTCAACATAAACATTCAAATAATAATGAAAGTTTATTGTGACGCAACATAGCAACAATTTTATGGTGAAAAGTCGTTCCATCAACAATAATAAAAGCGTAAAAGATCCATGGTCAGAAGCAATTTTCATTTCCACTTCGATAAAAGCATTGAATAGCCTTCAATTCGGTCCTTTTACTTCTCTCATGATGAAATCATATAACAAAGATCATTTACATTAAATATATCAAATCCTGTGTTGTCAATTTTTCACTTTATATTCACTCCCGGCAGCATTTTGTAAAGAAAATGAAAATCATATAAGAACGAAAGTTAAGTCAACAAATCTTCGGTAAGAAGATTGTTCAAGTTTCCTAACGACATCGGGATGGGAGCTTCGAAGAAGGGAAAATATTCTAATATCATTTTCTACATTTTTTTTTCTTTCTTTTTTAAAAGTAAATCTACGATTTTGGATTATGTTCTTTTTTATCTTTTCTACATTTTTTTTTTCATTTCTACACATCGAAACACTTCTATGGTTCATCATTAGATTTTTTCTTCCATTTTCTTCATTTTTTACTACAATTTATTTTCGACCAAAACAAAAATGCCTTAAGGGTTTCTTCTTTCTAGGATTGTCTGGTGGATGCTCTCATGAAAAAGAACAGAAAAGCTACAAGAGCATTGTAAGTTGTGAAATTTTACTTTCATATCTCTTCATCATATTTATTCTCGATACTTAAAATATCAAATGTTTCTTACTTTCGACTAGTTTATATTCGACCATAGTTTTCTTTCTTTTTTATATCATGATTTATTCTCGAAATATAAAAAAAAATCCCACACTGAGATTAAAAATTATTTGCTTCAATAAAATATTACACAATTTTGTAATGACAATTAAATTTAATTCTATTTTAAATTTTTACAAAATACTTTATTGCGACAAATATTTCTTCATCTCAGTGTGCAAAGGAAAAATATTGGAAATAAATGAAACGAGAAAATTCATGTCGATGGACGCACATGATGATGCTTTGCGTGTTTGTATAAATAACCGTTCATCTTTCTCGACAATAATGAGTTTAACAACGCATCACCTTTCGTCTTCAGTCTTCATTCGATATAAAGTATAATAATTAAAGGGAGTTGTACGTAAGTAACGTTGAAAAATATCTTTCCATGAATCAATTATGAAGTTTCTTTACAACAAAATTACTTTACTTACGTACAATCTCCTTTCAACACATTACGGTTTCCATACATGCGAAATCAATCAAAAATCTCTTGATTAAGTATAACGAGCTTTCACAACAACACTTCTCAATTCAGAAAATGCACGAAACATAAAATAAGGCATGATATGAACGATAAAGTGCTTCTTTGGGAATTGCTACTGAGCTCGAGTGAGAATGTCGACGGATTGCTTCTTATTGCTTTTCCCTTCTCGCCATCTTCAATCAGATTATCCCCAATACTCTCATCATTATCAGATCGAATGAGTTTGTAAGATGGATTCATCGGCACATCTCTTGATGGGCAGGTAATGTCAGGTGGACGGTAAGGTTTTGTGATGTTCGGTGGCATTCCTGTTATCTGTGATGAAAGAAACTTTTCTTATTATTATAACAACAAAAGAAGGAAAATTTCATTTAATTAAAGACAAACAAAGACAAACCTTGCTTGATACAAAAGCGCTATTGCATAAGCCATCAAACGAAGACGTTTTGATGGTTCGTTCGAAAGTATAAAATTCATTTTTCCAATCGTAAAGCCTTAAATGCTCTTCCAATGTTCGTCCGGCGTATTTTTGTGGACTTTTTATAATCATTTGATCTCCAGATTTCCTAAGAAAATATTCAAAACATTTTTCATTTCATTCAGTAATTGTTTTCTTTGAAATCTTACCCAAGATTCTCAATTCCCAATGCTTTTAAAAGATTCGCAATATTCGATTGCGAGTAACATGACACCAATTGTTCTTGCCTGGGATAGTACATCAACGTCGCCATGCAAACCTCTTCATCCAACGATTCACCACCGAGCGTAAATTGTTCTCGTTTGAATGTGTTGTAAGTACATTCAACTGTAATATGATCGCCAGGAAGAACCTTCTTGACTCTGTCAAAAACTCGATTCTCTAAGTAATCGAAATTTAAATTTGTTTCTTGAGCAATCGGTTCAATTTCTTCGCCTTTTCGAACAATTCCAACTTTTATAATCCGACCCAAACTATGTGTTTGCATATTGACGCCGAAAATGTTGAGGCCTTCAGACGAAAGTGCTTTTTGAGTGCAATCTGAAGTGCAATGTGCAACTGATATGACTCGTTTGAATCCTGGTGCAACAATATGAAGAAAGTTGGGTCGAATTGCAATCGTAAGTGTTCCAGCATCAAATTTCCGTCGATTTGGTGTGTGAAATATTCGAAAGCCTGAACTGTCTTCAAATTGAACTTTCTCATTAAATTGATAGTGGACTTCAAGTAATAAATGATCGCTCGATTCTGATATTGAATAACCGACATCTTTTGGATACGAAAAACCTTCCGAGCCTATCGTCCACGTCGCAAGAACTGTGAAGCATTTACGACTTGCTTTTAAACGTTCACTGCATTCTTCGTCATCGTGAGATTGTAAACTATCAAACGGCGTCTTGCATTCATAAATTCTCATTAATTTTATATATTTTTTCGATTCTTCTGATGAGAATAACGGCTCATTGCGAATTATTTGATTCCGTTTCTCGTCTTTCAGTTTATGTGCATGACACCATTTAAGTAAATCAAGGGACGTTGACTCAGATACCGAAAGTTTAACTTTCTCATTACGAATCTCAAGTGTTTCTATGCCATCGGCCTTGGGCTTCTTTTGGGAGCTTCTCTGAAGCAATAAAAGTGATTTAACTGGGTGAATTGCCATCATGGGATCAGGTAAACTGTCCTTTCTGATTTGACCTCTCTTTGGTTTCTCCGTATGATACAAATAAATGACATTCATTGTGTCATTCTAGAGAGAAATGAAGGAAGAAAAAGAAATGGGCCGAAATTAATTGCGTTCTTAATTGTTCATTCTTTCCTATCGTTATCTATTTTACGAGCATTCTTTACGAGCGGACAAACAATTTTTCTTTTCTTTTCTATTCATTCTATCTTTTCTTTGTGTCCAACACGCAAACGATCACATAAAAATGTCACCAACTCACCGTGATAGGAACATCAGACTTCTCATCGCACGTATTGAGCTTCCGACGAAAGCGAAGAATTGTGTGCGTTGCATTTTCACTTCCGGACAACAGCACATAATCTTGTGATGTGTCAACGACTGGTTCACCAGTTGAGCTGTGTGTTTTGATATGGCAATCCTGCAATGACAGTTTTATGGGATTACTTTCAGTATGAATAATTAATTAACACTCTCACTCATTTTAAAAGTGACGAGTTAACTTTATGTTGTCATCTGCGACATTCAAGATGTTTAATAAAATAAAAAGTCAACACAAAAACAGAAACTTTGATCGTGTTTTTGAGTAGGAAATGAAGTTGGAAAACTTTTTTGTAATGTTTTATTGCAAGCACAACAAAGAAAAAACCCTGAAAATGTCTTTTTCGCAAACTTAAGTCAACTTTGGCTTGAAGAAAACAACTTTTTGGATAATTTTCTATTAAAATACTTTAAAACACCTTCGTCGTTCAAGCGCTTAATGCTTCTTGTTATAGAGAAAGTTAATAAACTTACAGAAGTTGAAATTCAAAAACAAACATCGAGAAAACTAATTTCAGTTCTAAGTTCAGAGTTCACAATTGTTTAAACTCGAAATGTAAAAGGTTTAACCGCATAGCAGAAGCAGCAACAGCAGCATATGGGTTGAGTGAAGGGAAGTAAGAGAGAGAGAAGAATTTTTTTATCTTGAAATATAAATTTGTAACCACCCAATATAACTGTCAACAATTGTTCTCCATGCCATGCTGCATATGACTCAAATTAAAGTACTTAATAAGAGAATAAAACAAATGAGGGAAATTCCAAAAATCCCTTCCTTTCTTTCCCACAATGGCAATATGGTTTAAAACAGTAGCGGATCGTTGTGTGGGTGTCACAAAAATGTTTAATCGAATGTTAGAAAAACTAAACTCATGATTTCAATTTCAATTTAGCTAATTTTGTGTCTATTGAGATTTCTTTCTCTCTCGTTATCTCCGACACTGATTATAATGCCTTCATGAGAATGTAACTTTAAATTAATTTTTCAACCATAGATTCCACTTTTCTGTGGCCAGCAAATTTTTTTGTTCCTCGAAATATTGTAAGGGTAATTGACCAATTCATTTTCTTTCCTTGTTAAATTGGATATGGGATATTTATATGAATGAATGACTCGTAATTGGATAATAGGTCGTAAACACTTTCGCATAGAAATTTGTCTTTTATTGGCAATTGAGTTAAAGAAAGGCAATAAATGAGTTCTCGTGGTTTTCCCTTGTCGTCGTCGAGAAGTTCGCTTCGGCTATCAAAACGTTGAAAGACGAGAGAGAAAGAATTTTATTTTAAGTTCGGAAGGCGACGTGAAAAATCGATAATTTTTAACCTTGGCTCACATTTCACTAGTCGTTGTAAATATCAGAAATATCAGAGATAGAAGGAACCATGTAACCATTAATAACTTACAAAACTGGAATTAAATCGTCAATCACTGTCGTAATAGGAGAAGCTTGAATGTAAAGAAGGCGATAGCGAGACAAAACAAGAAACAAAAAAATATGCGAAATGAAAGCGATAAGAAGAATTTAATTATGCATTTTGGATAGACATTGAAATTGATTTATTGTGTCTCGAGTCTTAAATAACTCCCATTACTTATAATTATATCTGCAAAAATATTTATTCATTTTTCTTTTTTTTTCTTTTTATTTTATTTTACTTTTATTCTTCTCACGCGCATTGAACTTCTCGGACTTTGTCTTCTTCCCATCTAACTTCACTTCTCTTTCATTCCTGTTTTATAATTTGTTGCGGTAAAACCAGCAGAAGTCAATGAGGAATTAAACAAAATGTAAAAATATCGAAACGAATCATAATTGGATGAAAAACGATGAAACTGAATCGATAAAAGTTATGATTTTATTCGCAAATGATGCAAGGAAAGACGATAGTAAAGTAAGTAAACGAAAGCGAGGTCATTAAAGAAGTTTCAGTTGAAGACCAACTTCATTTGTTGTTTTTGATCATCAATATCAAGTTATCAATTATTAGTTGTTTTCTGTGTGCTTCTGCACAACTTTTCTCATATTTAAACACAGCATTTTAACTCCAAGGGAATTCTTCATCATTAATGTCAACATAAATCGCATTGAAAAGCTTCTAGGAAGTTATAAAATGTAAGCACAATGGAACTTAACATTCATTTATCCCCATTCATGTTCCTTTCTGCCCATTGTTCGTTTTACTTAGTTATTAAAATTTTATGAAGCACTAACAAAGGGTTTTGTGACATTAAAGCCCTTCGCTGTTGTCGTATGCACACATAATAATATGCACTTTGTGTCGTTGTTTCATGTTGTTTATATTGTAATTCTGTCTTTAATATTTTCCTTTTCTTTCGTCTGCTTTTTTATGAAAGATTATCATTTAAGGGCTTTTTTTATTATCTTTAAAAAATGAAGAAAAGAGTTGAGAAATACTTTTACTTACGTAGAAAAAAATGTGTCCTTCATCGATCCATCCGATGAAAACATCAGCACCGTAGATTGTCGTTCCATCACGTGAGAATCCAAAGCCCACATAACCATGTGATCTCACTTGCACTTCAAATAAAATGTCTGGCTCTTTGACTGTCCATTGAAGTAAATAGTTTTCATTTAAATACACTGAGTGATCCCATATTTGATTAGCATGACTTTGTGCAATTAAAATTGCAATTAGAATCAACACTTTCATTTTTATCAACAATTTGGTGTATGACATGTTCCACTTTTGAGATGCCATTTGTCGATTGAAATTCGATAAGTTGTAATAAGCGATACAACATATGATACTCGATGATAAATCTCGAGTTGCAAAACTGTTGTGGTGTGGGCGGTGACTTGATGTCAATGATTTGATAAAAGCAAATTAAATCTTTTTCATGATGATGAGTTGACTCCAAATAGAAAAAAAAGTTACGATGATTCTCTAGAAACAGAAAATGAATAGAAAAGAAAATAAACTCTGATTAAAATTATATATTCGAGCATATTTTGTCGATAAATCTTCATTAAACATCAGCAAAAGTTAGAGAATATTTTCGTTATTTTAGCTTTCGTATTTAGTCTCGTGTCTTCTTTTGGAAACTTTTTTCTCTTTTTTGTGTTTTCTTCAAAACTTTGTCAAATAAATTCCACTTCAATTGATAAATTCCAAAAGGAAAAGCGAAATGACGTAAAACAAAATATGCGATGCTAGGAAAAAGTTTTCCCATTATCAAGTCGAAATCTAATTTCGACGTCAATATAAAATAATGTGAGCGGCAAGGTTTGTTATGAAAGCTAAGCTAAGACGCAGGTGAATTCAAAATGTAAAAGTTCTTTTTAGAATTTTCAAAGATTTCTTGTAATTTCCGTTTTCAAGCAAAACTTTTGGAGTTATTCGTTACCATCATGAAAGCTCGGGGATCGTCGCTAGTTATAATACAAAAGAAAACATTTTTTCGATTTCCCTCTCATCTCTTGTCATTCTTATTTGCCTTCTTATATTTTTTTGTTTATTTATTCAATCAAATTTTCCACTTGGCACAATTGTCATTGCTCAAGGTACTTCTTTCGTATTTTTTTTCGTCGACACAATTGAAAGTCATGTAAGACCAATTTGTGTTGTAGATCGATACATGAAAAGTGTAAGGGGGAAGGTGAAGATTTCACACAATGCTCTTTGTTGTCACAATACTTAAACATTCATGGTAAGATGTCATGTTACAATGAAAGTCTAAGAGCCTAAGGGAAAAGATGAGAATTTATGGTTTCCCAATTGATGTTGGATTCACATAGAAGAAAAATTTTATTCAAGCCTTCATGGAACGAATTTCCACTTACTTAACATCATCCTAATGATGCTCAATTATTTCATTAATTTGAAAAGTAATTAAAATCACTTCCATTCATACATCTTTCTTTTCCCTCCTTCGAGCAATTAATTAATTTAAGTCAGCACGGAGATTTAAGAAATGTTGACACTGCCAAAGTTTTTAAGAGAAAATTCTCGTAAAAAGATTTATAAATCTCACTTACAGACTGCCGAGAACAGAGAAATAAAAAAACAAAATATGTCACCGACTTGTGGAGCTATAAATTAGAATCATAACGTCAGCTCCACACAGCGGGCGAGCAATATATCGGAGAATGATCAAGAGTTGAAATGAAAAATAAATTGTTTGAAAAACGGCGCGAAACCTTCAAATCAATGGTGACAAGAGGGAAAAGAAGCGCGTATAGAGACGAAATAAAAATAAGCATCATAATAATATCTCGGGAAAAGAGAAGAAGAAAAAAAAGGTATAGAAAATTCATATTTTATAAGTTGTTTGATTTATGATATGCCATTGCGCATTTTTTTCATTCTTCATTCCATTTCGCTTGTTTCGTGCATGTTGAAATTATTCCCTCGACTCGACTGATTTTCTTTTTTTATTTTTATTATATTTTGTTATTTTGGAGACAGGCTCGTGAACGAAAACGATTATCTAGGTGAGCGATTTTCCATTCTGCGCGACAGATGAAACATTTCATTCCTACGCGCTATAATTAAAATTTATCGTGATTAATATTTATGAGATCTTTCACGAGGATGTTGATGGAGGAAGGAGCGTGCTGTGATGTTTAAAATGTCTCCGCAAGTATTTTTTTGTGTGTCGCTTCATCTCACTTCTCACTCAATTGAGGTGGAAGTTATTTTCAGTAATTTGAAGTAATATCGAATAATAAACACAAAAAAAAGAAGAAATACTAAAAGTAACATGAAAATAAAAAAATATTGTTTTGATCTCAATTATAACGAGTCATTTAAAAGAAAACGTTTCATTAGCGCGCGTGGGTTTTACTTACATCTCTATTAACATAACGCTATAGGTTGTTGTCATTTGCTTTCGGCATTTTATTGAGGTTGAGATGGAATTGTTGATTGGTTAATTAAAGACCACCTTGATCATCATCAGTTGCCCAACCACTTTATGTATTTGATGTACAAACAAGTCGAACATCACATGCTTAAGCATTGTTTCATCAAAAGTACTCGATTTGAAAAAGGAGAATGTGGGAGTGAAATGGTAGTTATGGAAAAAGAGAAGGAGAGGAAGAATGTACATGATTACATTGTCTGTTGTCTGCTGCCGCTACTATTGTTTCTGTTCATACTCCGTTTATTGATTTTTCTATCATTGAACATTCTTCCTTTTCGTTCGTTCGTTTGGTAAATGTAAGTGACTCCCACATAAAGCATTACATGGAACGGGTAGTTTTATTTGCCTGTTTTTGGCATGAAAATCTTCTTTTCCTTTCTCTTGAGAGGGAGAACACGAAAGAAATAAATAGTATAGTAGATAGAAAACATGTCACAAAATGACATTTTCGCAGAGAAGAAAGAGAAAAAAATTGCACCTGTTTTTTATTGAAGGAGTGTATAAAAGTTTAGTAACTTGAAGTGTGTTCAAGAGACTATGAAAATTATTGCACGTAAATATAAGTAACAGTTCTCAAGTGATTACATGTCAGACATGTGACTAATCCATGAATCAGAGGAAAATTTTTCGAAACACAAACAAATGTAAGAAATCATAAGAAAATTCCATTTGAAAGGAAAGCAACAAGAAAGAATTCACTATGAAATTTTCTGGATTTATGAACATTTGCATTCTGATATGAAAGGCAAGAAATTATTTGAAGATTTTATTGAAAAGAATTTTCTTATTAAGAACTGAAGATTTGAAAATTTCATAAACGAAAAATCTTCTTGAGGTTACAAAAAAAATCTTTAAGAAAACTTTTTTCAATGATATTCAAATATTTGCCAGACCAAACTTACAAAACTAGCCAAAAAACAACCTGAAATGTTTTAGAAACATTTTCTCTATTTCCCTCATCGCTTTCGGCTTCTATTTCGTTTTTCTTCGACATTTTCAAAGCAAGGAAGCAAAAGATAAATAAGTAAATAAGATAGTGTTTACTATTCTTACATTTCCATTTGAATTTTTCAATAGACATTTAAGCATAAGCGAATTTACTCCCGTGTGAGAAGACGATGAATAAATTAACTCTTATCAGACTGAAGCATTTCAAAATGTGGAATGTCTTGTTAGTAATGCTCCTTCGAGAGATTCTCGATGTATGATATGAAAACTATTTTGTTGTTTTCTTTTAGTTTGGATTTTTCGATTCGCTTGTCTTCATTCGTATCATCGACGTTCACATAATTAAAAGACGAAGTTTCTTATTTGAAGTGATTCAACATTCAGTGTCGCAACGTGGCTTTCTGAAGTGGACATTAATTAAGCGGCTCATTAATTAATATCATTTCTTTAGATGATGTTCGCATGAACAAGTTTTGTGACGAGAATAAAAGTTTTAATTGATCGAAAACGTTTGATAAACAAAAAAGGTCAACATGGTGAGAAGACGAGTCAACTTCTTGCTGCTCACATTAATTTATCAGGGTGGAAAAATTATTTTAAAAACTATAAAGTTTAGATAAGCTTCTTTTCTTACCTTCTATGGACAGCACAACTGTTTTTGCATTTTAATCCTTTAATCCATTAATGCTCTCTGCTATGTAGTTTCAACATTAATTCTTTACGAAAATGGTTTGTTTCTTCACACAAATATTATGAAAGATTTTATTATTTTCACAATTTCACTAATTTTTTTTCTTTTCAATAAAAAACTCCAATCAGAAATTTAACAGAAACTCTTTTAACTGCAATAAAAAGCATTTCATTCCCGGTTATAATAATTTACATTCTTTTTGAAGCAAATAAAAATGTCTTTTTATTGTACACAAAACTCTTTTTTTCCTTCCTGCAAATCGAATTTGCAGCAAAAATTTTTTACGTCTTTTCGAGATCAGTTCACGCGAAGGACTGAAAACATGCGGCAAGTAAACTTACTGCGTCGAACGTTGACTATAACGTAACGAGAGATTCTCTCAACTCTCTCACGTTCTCTTTAACGTTACATGCATGTTTACGTACGTCAAAACTCGCTTATTCAATGTCAGCGAGAAAAGAAGAAAGAAACAACTTTTTCATATGATATCGCATTGCAAACAATGCAATCCAAAGGATGATGGCTCTACATAAAATAACCTGATCGTATAGCTAACGAAATTGATTGAAAAGTAAGAAGATATTTTAATAACAGAGGGAAGCCGTAAAACACTCATAACTGCATTTCCATCGGTATTTCCATAAAAATTAAATTCTATCGCTTTTGTGTAATATTATATGAGTATTGCTAAGTGAAAATCTTAATCGACTTATAGCTAATCGTATGAGGTGTCAACTCAAATGAAAAAAATCGTTAAATTGTCTGAAATCAATAGAAAGGCAACCGCGCGATGAATTTCATATTAAGAAAATCGAGTGAAAACTTTTTTTAAGAATTGAACTTTATTGAACACAAAAATAAAGAAATCTATTGTTTAGGGGGAAATCACAAGATTCAACTTTTGGCCAAAGAATGTGAAACATTTGTTACGAGAAAGAATAAGAAAAGAATAAAAAACAGAACAACTTTTTCAAATTGTTAAATTTGACGGAAGAGAAGAGAAAAAGAAAAAAAAATCCTCACGCAAAAGTCTAATCTGAAAATCCCTTTTAGCTTCGTCTTCAAGGATTTCTTTTGTGTGCTCGTCTGATAACAAGTCAAAAATTTCTTTTTCCAACTCGACACATGATGATGGAAAATTCAAAAGGAAGTCGGAAAGAAAAACTGTTGAAAAATCCTAAGCTTTGAGAATTATTTCGTAGAAGGGCTTAACAATGAAAAACTTGGAGACCAATTCTAGTTTTTCATCACGATACTCATCTATAAATTAAGTTTGTAACTTCATAATTTCATGTTTACATGAATATGTGTTTAATAAGTGTCATTTACTTCCAAACACGAGTCACAAACTTTTCCTTCATTATCCGTAATTTGTCACGCAACAAATATTCATTGAGCAAGTCCAAAACGAACTCAAGTATCGTTGGAAAACAAACAATATTGTCACGTAATTTGATTGAAAGTTATCGCAACTTGAAATCTGAGCTGAGTAACGAGCACATATCATCACAAAATGACGCATTGTCAGTTGATAGGAATTTAATTGTTAGGAAATTAGAACTATTTGTTTTATTTTTTACCTTGCATGATGTTTTTCATGTTGGCTTGAAAAAGTTCAATCGTTAAATTCTCAGCAATGTTTTTTTCCTTGTTGATATTAAATCTCTTTACAACTATTCATGTGGCTCGTGCTGAGATGACTTTAGAAGCATCGGAAGCTCCATTCAACGAATCATTATCGTTTCAAACTAACTCAACGTCTTATCTTCTTAATTTAATTTATTTCTCCTCCATTCAAAGCTGCACTAACCTTTTATAAACTCTTCTCTTTCAATTTTTCTTATTTCTTATTTTTTTTATCTTAAACCGAACGTCATCAATTTGCATAAAATCGTTTACCTCAAGGATTACCTGGTTTGTAATCGATGAAATTGGGAAAAAAAGAAACCATCAGCAGATTGAAAGCAAATCGAGAAATAAAATATATGAGAATAAAAAGCGAGGAAAAGATGGAAATCGAAAAGAAATGTTTTTGTTTGTCATTTTATTTCGCTTGCTTTGCATAAAATAAAACTGCAATCAATAACAACTTTTTTTTTTATTCGATTCTAATTGATATTAATTTGCCTCGGCTCTTTCATTCCTCTCGTTCCTTCCAACAATGTGACAATCATGGTAATATCTTCAGAGAACTATGAACGTAAGGAAAAGAAATATCTACGAAGAAATAAGAGAAGCGAAAGAATGAGTAGATAAATAGTGGATGGGATATTAATTAATTCTGAATTATACATGAGGATGGGAAAGAAAAGAAAATTCAGCAAATTGATGAAGGTTGACTACCTCATAATATCATTAATTTCAAAATTGTTCTCTAACTTCAGTTTTCATAATCATGTCGAAGGTAAAAATTTCCAATTTAAATACGACATATGTAAAATATCAAACTTTCATAATTGAATTTTAAACTTCAACTTAAATAGTCTTTCATTATTCATTAACTTTCTATTCTTCTTCTCTTTGCATTCCTTACAAGATTTAATAAAGAACTCCTTTACCATTAAAAATGTCAAACTTAAAAGTTTTTTTTTGGTTCAAGAGACCCTTTCAATATTGTTCTAGATTATTTCATGAATTTGATAGAAACAAGTTATTTTACGCCTTTTGCGTCTAGAATTCATTTCAATTAAAATCAATTACGTGTTGAATTCATTTCCAGATGGGAATCTCAATGTGAGTGATAGGTGTCAGATATCCTTATTCACAATAATTAAAAAGGATAACGGAAAAGGAAAGGCAAAGAGGGAAAAAAAACCAAAGTGACATTTGAAATCCCATTTGATTCTCTATGCTTTTAGCATCACAAATTTGTTTGCTATTTAATTTGAAATAAATGAACAAGGGATATGTAGATGAATTCTCTCTCTTTTCTACGAAAACACAATTGAAAATGTTACAATTTATTACAAGTTTTTAATGATGCTTTAAAATTTGGGGAAACAAAAAGGATTTATCAATGAAAACTTCAGAATCTGAAATAAAAATCAAACAAATGTGGTTTTTTAGGAAACTGCGCTTTTCACCAATTTCCTTTCCAACATTTTCAATGATTTTGCATTCATTCAGCATCGTTTCAAAGCTATGAAATTGGTTCCATTGAAACAGAAAATATTGATCCACATAAATCTACAGCATTTGCCACACGTTCCCGTTTTTTTCTTTCTTCTCTTTTTTTTCTGCAAAGCAGCTTGAGGGGATGGAAAACGACGATAGCAACGTCATAAAAGAGAACAGAATGACATTCAGTAATAACTTCATTTCAATTTTCATGAAAAATTGTTAGGGTTGTTCACACGCAAACCTCAAATTTGATTCGAAAAGTAGTGAATAAGAAAGTGGGAGAATTGCATTTTCTATAAATCATTCCGTCAAAGGTTTGTTTAACTTAACTCAAGTTGTGATATTTTTAATATAACTGCCACTTCATGCCATGTAGAGAGCTCTTTCCTTTCCCTAATTTCATGCACGAGTTCCCACAACATCCTCTCGTTAAGAGCTGAAACATATAACAAAAGAAGGAGGATAAAGCACTGAAACTAGTAGCAGTTACAACCTACTTAGGCTAAAACTAGCAAAAGAAAGAATCGATTTCTGAATTTCTTCGCATCACAAATGAAAATTGCTACAAATTTTCTTTACATTTCTCTCATACATATCCAATTTCATATTCCACAATATATCCGGTCGGAAAATTGTTTCAAGAAACTTCTCAAATAAAAAAAACTAAAAATAAACAAGTGGTTTTGTTAATTATGTTTATTGAGCACGAAGTGCAAACAATATTTTACTTTTTCATCATCATAAAGAGAATCTAAAGTCATGAATTTAGGGTAAACAGTGATTGAGTGAAATACATGCATGTAAAGAAGACTAAAAAGAAGCACACTGGAATTAATCTTCGAGAGTTTGTCGAACATGTGTGTAAATAAATATCTTTTTCAAGTTGACTCTTTTTTTTTATTTCTATTTTATTTGTTTAGTTAAGAAAGTTGAAACCGAAACATTAAAACGATGAGAAAATCTTTGATTCAAATATAAAATATTGGACAAAGCTAAGGGACAAAGGACGTCAAATTGAAAATGATTGGATGAAATTGGGAACTTAATTAAGTCGTTTTATCTGACATTGAAGATAAACACTTCATATCAAGGGACACTTGTATTTGATTTTGTTGAGGGAGGATAACTTTTGATGTCAAATGTTTTGTTTCCCTGAAAAAATTACAAATGAACAAATTCGTTCGTTATGCTACACATCTGGTGAAGAATCCCCGAAAATATTTCTTAATACCTAACTTTGGCTCGGCAGCTTTGCCAATAACAACCTATTTTGACATCGTCGAATGCTTTGTATTATTAAGTCATGAACAAAGCGATTTAAAGGTAAGAAAAGGAAAGAAAAAAAACGTCAAGGAATCATCAATTCTTCTTTACATTAATGAAATCATTTGAGCGAAAAATGAGAAATTAATGCCAAAGCTATTAAGCCAAACGGTTTACAACAGCTTGAACTTGGAATTTATTTAGATTTTAAAGTTTTTTAAAGACGACAATGTCGACATCAGAAGCAACACAAAAGCAAAAGCCCAAATTGAAATATTAAAAAAAATTATATCTTTATTATGTAAATTGAGTCTCGAGTCTCGAAGGCCTTAAAACTTCCAGTCAAAGAAGTTTAATGAGTCGCGCGGCAATATTGATTGAAAATAATCGCCGCATGATATGTCCAGTAGGATTATTCGTGCCATCTCCAAATTGAATTTCTGAACTAGATGCTTATTAATATTCAGATTATTTCTCTATTTTCTGCTCCTCTCTACAGTTAAACTTTTGAATAAATTAAAGCTGAACTCCAGTCGACGAGGTCTGTTGAGATTATAGATTTTAATTAAATCGATCAGGTTTCTGCTTCTAAAATGAAAAATAAATAATTTGTGTGTATAAATAAATTTGAATTTGCTTTAAATGTGATATCACTAAATGAAAAAAAATATTTAAGACTGAAAAATGATTCAAAAGTCTGTTTCGAGCATTTCGTTCAACCTCCAGGGGCAATTCGGCTGCATAGTTTATTTTTCTTGGATTCTTCTCTATAAATCATCATTCAAAATTGACCAGCCCTCAAAATTTGCAAGTTCATTAAAATTCTCAAAAATAAAGAAAGAACAAAAAATCCAACTTATTACTTCCTTCGATTCTACGAAACGCTTAAGCATTTCGCTTATTCTCTTCTTCTTCTTCTTCCTGACGAGCTTCACCTTCTGCATCTTAATGAGAGTTCATTAAATGTTTGGAACATTGACTGTTACGCTCATCAATCATTCAGTTCAGTTTTTTTGATGAGCAGAAAGACTTGAAGAAGAAGAGATTCGATTGCCAATAACTTCGGACATTAGTTATGCATAAGCTAAACGACTTCAAATAATGGATTTTATGTTCATTTTTAGATATTTTTCATGTTCAATGCCAAACTTTAAACCGTGCCGCCGCCTTCGCCATATCTACCTAGGAAAATAAACTGAGAATTAAATATTGTGTGAATTTTTACCTCAGAAAATTGTCAGGAAAGTTCATCCACTGACATTTTAATTATGTGAAGTTACTTTCTATTTGAAACTTCCATCTGAATAATTTATTGTCGGTTATCGCTTCACAACCATTTCAATAAGATAATCTCAAAGGACTTTTTGTGCTTCAACATTTTCTTTTAGTATAAAAATTAAATCAGTGTAAAGTTTCTCAATGAATGGCTGTGCAGCTATGTTGATTCATTAAGAAATTTACAACAGCAATCAATGGTATCACGTTTCTCTTAGAAAGAACTTAATTATTATCCTCTCGCTAAGAAACATTAAGTGCTTCGAGCGAGAAAAAGATGAAAAGGATTCTCTCATCCCGGCAGTAGAAAAAATGACTGTGAGTTTAGCGTCAGCTCGTTAACAAGCTGCAAAAACTATAGCGACATGGTTTTTTTTTTTAATTTAACTTTCATGTTACCCCTGGCGAATTTTGTTCAACTTTTACATCAATCAGCTAGAGTAAAGAGAAGTTACACGTTCAAAGTTGAATTGGATAAAAGAAACTTTCATTTCACTATCATTGAGTGGAATTTTTACAAATTGAATTCTCTTTTTTTCCTATTTTCATCTCATGAGACGCATCCATCAAAAAGAGAAGTTGAAGAAAGATGAAAAATGATTTGCCTTAATATTAGCATGTTTAAATGAGAACACATTTATTTATGTATTGTTTTTCTGTAGAAGTCATTAATCTTTAGCATAGTCATAGACACACGATAACACTTCATAAAACATTATTTTCAATTTAATTTTAACTCTGTAGACACAAACAATTGTGGTTGAATTTTTTAGATTTAAATCTCAAAGTTGCAAATTCTTCAATCTTATTTAAAGTTATTATTAAGACAATATTAATTTAAAAAAGTTAAAAGAAACATTTCACAAAAAGCATATTTCAATGGAAAAGAAAATCATTTTACCTCAACACTCAAAAGCTCATTAAAAATCTCAAGGAGCAAACAATGAGAGTTGTGATTAAAGAAAGCACAAACCATCAAATTCTCTTTTAAATGAAAAACTTTTAAGTTGTAGACTGTTTGACATTTATTTTTAGCCTGGAGCAATAATTTAACGTTAACTATCACTGTGATATTCTCGTTATGAACGTAGATCTTAAATGAAATTGTTACCAAAAAAACTTTTGCAAAGATAGATGTTCATTAAATAAAGTTTTAGTTTTAGATTTATTACACCAAAGTTCAATCGGAGAGGAAAGTTGCACAAAACTAGCTCTTCACTTTTTATTAAAAAGGAAAAAAAGTTTCAATTCCTTGAAGTTGAATAACTTTCACAAACATTTGAAAGAATTGTTACAATTCTCTTGATTTAAAAGTATTCTGGAAAGTTTGTTTCAAACAGTAAGAACAGTAAAATATGCATTGAGTGTCATTAAAATAAGAGCTATGTGAACAATACGAAATCATTCTTTTTGAGCATAATTTTTGCACTTTACAAGGATCCAACATTGGATTTTAATGAAAGAAGCTACTTACTTTCAAATTCTTTCGCATAGCGACACTTCAATTCACGATTGAAAGATCAAACGCTTCAAAGCAACGCTCTTTAACAATACATTTGGGTGACAAAGCGTTACAAATATTGAAGATTCTTTTGATATTCTCTTTCAATAATGAGTGCATTTTTGAAGATGCCACTTATGGCGTTATCACGTAAATGAATATTCGCAGCATAAATGCTGTAAGATATTAAAATTCTCTAGTGAATTCATCTCAAGAGGGTGTTTCATTTAAACAACATAAGATCGACACGAAATTGCAGAAAATTTCTCATCAGATAATTTAAACATTTTTAATCTGAAATCTTAAGACATATCTAACAAAATTAACTCATCAAAAATATTTCTCTTTTCACCTTTTAGAGCTTAATTGATTTTTTTTAAAGATTTGCGTCACACGATGAACAATTATATTAAATTATGCCACCCATGTGTTCCAAATATGCTCGTCCCTTCATTACAAGAAACGATCGTTGAGAAACCGAGAAAGTATTGCATTGGAATGAAGTCTAAATAGATGGTTACTGATGTTTCCTAAATAATAGCTTATTATAAACCTTAATAATGCATAAGATGTTCCGTTTGAAAAAGAATATTTTTGAAATAAAAATCCTTGAATTATCTGAGAAGTCGATTGACGTTTCAAGTTTTACAAATATTAGTTTATGGATGATTTTTTTGTGTTTTAAACTACAGTTAACTTTCTTTCTTGAAGTATGGTACTTAAGCACGTGCGGGTAGACAAATAAAACCAATTACGATGAGAGCAATTGTCACAAATTATAAATTATTAAACAAACGAACAAGATTCTCATTGAATTTATTTAACTTATCTTAATTAGTTTAAATTAGTTTAAATTCTTTGAAGTAAGAATAAATCATTGAAGGAAGGTTTTCTTTTCCATTCAAATGTTCAAAGGTATTTAAATAAAGTCGACAACAACTGACTTAATTCAAATGACTGTAATTATCGTTACCGACTATTGAAGTTGACAGAAAAATTGCGGCATGTCGTTTCAATTTGCCATCATCAAATGCATGTCACAACCCGTCAAAATTTACACTCGTTTGACTATTTCAGAGAATTTGTCACGCCACTACATTAATTTATTAGACGTGGTGTAGAATGAGCAGTTCATTGTGAAAGTATGTTTGAATTGAGTATGTAATTGTGCAAAGTTATCATAACATGAAATCTTATAACAAATTCATGTTACGAAGGTAATCGCTATGAGTCAGCTTAGGAAAACATTTCTTACATCAATTAAAAATGAATTGGAATGAATAAAACTTTACAACTTAATCACGCTAGTAAAAGTCCTTAAGTTATGTGGTGACATGACACCTTTTGTTATGTTGTGTAACTTAACAACGAGTTGATTGATTGCAACCTTTATAAAGCTCTAAATTTAAATGTAAGCTTACATAAAAACATCATAATGAAGAAATCATGTGAAAATAATCGTTCGGACTACAAGAAGTAAAGGAACAAAAGAAACAATTCGATGCTAATTATTAATATCATTGACTTTATTATTCATTCTTTCCCTTTTGTAATGTCATTAATTCACTTATTCAAGAAATAGAAAATAAAAGTTTATCAATTTTAAAAAAGAAAGCAAAGAAAAAAACTTTTCTTTCAGCTTCCATAAATTTACTCCCACAAAATGCCAAATCACTTCAAAACTTTACTTTTTCCAATATTAAAAAAAGAATTCAATCTGCTTTGCTCCATTTGTTCAACAAATTACTTTTCTTTGTTTTCGCCATTTTCCGTCGAATTTTTTGGTGTAGCGAGAAGAAAGTTTAGCAAAAATAATTCTTGAGGATTTCTGTGGATATCTATTTATCTAAAAATGAAATGAAGAGTGTCTCAAAAAAAGCTTAAATATGTTTGTCATGATCCGAACAAAAGTATATAAAAAGTTTATCGCGAGTTGATACTAAGATGTATTTGAATGGCTTTCTTTAATGGGAGTTTGAATTTCAACTTCTGAACGAGCTTCACAATTTATGCTGGCGATTATGTTGAAAATATTTTCTCATTTGAAATGAAGATGGCGCTAGTTGTCAGAACATCATTGATGGCTGTAAATGTCGGATTCCATTTAAATTTCATTTATTAGAAAGAGTTTAAATCCTCATTGCAAAAACTAATATTTTCACAAATATAAATATATCACGAGATTTAATTAAACATTTTTCTACAAAAATTCTGAGTTGCATAAAAAATCTTTATTTGTTCATATTTTAAGATAGATAACATGTTTTTTGTGACGCTTGTAAATTTGCAGAAGTTTTTAATTATTTTTTTTGAGAGACTCGTATTCACAAAAAAAGTATTAATTAAATTAATTGTGCTAAATTCAAAATGTTTAAAATTAAAAAATCTAAAAACAACGGGAAAAGGCCTTCAACATATCGGCCTGTCTCAAGTGAATTCTTCACTTCACCGGAAGAAACGTTTAACATCGAAGGACAAATCCAGGCCATGGATGAACAAATCAAAAATTTCTCGAAAAACTCGAAAATAAAGTTTTTCACTGAGAAATTTTATTCTTTAGCCAGGAAGGGCATAAAGAATTTCTACGCCACCAGGAATATTTTCTAGAAAGCAAACTAGAAAATAATAAAGTTCAAAAGAAGAAATTGGAAAAGAAATCAAAACTCTCAATCAACTCAGCAGGAAGTAGCACTCAATAGGACGTGAGTGCCAGGAAATACTTTTCAAACTTCAAAACGGAGTGAAGAACAGCACATCGATAGATTTACATAATCTATCGGTGAAATTTGCATTGACGAAAGTGGAGAAAAAATTTCTTCATCAAAATGGCGTCTCAGGTTTTAGTCAAAGGTTGAAGATTCTGTTTGAAGAAGAAAAGCTTAGAAAAAATAAAAAATGTTATTGAATTAATTACTTACAGAAGATTTCGATGCATTCTATATATTATTAGATATCGTTACCATTAATAAAACAGCAAACAAAAAACACATTTAAAACGCGTGTCTCACATTGTTAAGTTTGATAAATTATTGTGCAGCACATGTTAACACTTTCACTGCTGTAGACGTTCTGATAGTTTTGACTCGAAGCTGTGTGTGATGCAAGGAGATGCAGATGAAGTGAAACGAGATGCGGATTTTAATTTAAAAATTTTTATACTGTTGAAAAGGATTTAAAAAATCGAAATATTTTAATTTCCAATTTCAACACAAAATTTATAAAAATTAAGTTAAATATTTTTATTAATTTATTGCTAATTAATAAATAAATAAACCTTATTTATTTTAGTTGCCTAAATAATTATTAAATTCAATAATATTTTTCTCTGTAAGCAAAATAAATAAGAGATTAGAAAATGAGAAGTGGATTTATTGGATTAAGATTAAAATGTGTTCACTTGTTTTCTCTTTGCTTATTTATATATTACTCACATACTAAACTTCACCAGAATTGGCTGCATTTGTGATAACAATAATGAGAGTTCTACATTTTATTTACCTGGTAATCGATTCATTGTCTTATCACTTCTCCTTTTATTCATCTACTCTAAAATTGATTTCAAAGATCCAACCAAAGGATATAAATTTGTAATTGTGTTTGTTGCAGTTTCGACTACTGAATTTCCGATTTGATTGTTATTTCACATCGATGTTTCACTTTTATCACTCAAAGATGCACTTTGAACAGGAATAGGCAGGTAATGTTACATTTGAACAATTGCTGCTAACAGTAAAGCAAACGTCACATTGTCGTTTACATGATTCGTATGCAAAGCAGATTGCAGCAGTTCTAGAATTATTTAACTTTCAAAAACCAACAAAATTTAATTAAAGTGGTCTAGAATTTCAGCCGAAACTATTTTGTAAGTTCAATAAATTTTATGATTTTAATTGTAGTTTATTGTCTAATTGATTTTTTGGATATTCAGTCATCAATAAAGCATCCGGACTTAATTCACAAAAAACCAGTCAATTTCGGAAGTATGGAGACAATAACAATAAAAAAGCAACAGGTCTCGAGTGATACTGCAGAATCAAATCCGATCAATCTCGTCAAAGAAGTTAAATCAGTGGAAAAAGTTTTCAAGAATTTTCCAAAGCTTATTTCACCCATGAAGTCATACAATAAAAAAGATAATAAATCATCAATTGAGAAACGTGGAAAACATTCAAAGTCTAAGAAGGTGAAATCTAAGAAAGAACAAAAGACAAAAATTGAACCAGCTGAAGTAACTGAAGTAAAGCCAATAGGAGAACGGTTGATCGACGCTAACATTAGACGTATGATTGATAACTACGCAATGAGTATTGAATATTTGGCACTTCGAAGTGCTCATGAAGAAGCAATGAGACGTTTCTTGTTAAACGCAAACTGCGATAATATTCTTTACTGGTAAACTAAAACCAAAGCCATTATTATGAGTAATGTGAGCAAATAGAAAATGGCAATAGCATGGAATGAGATAAAGATTTTGTGTATCTGTTGAGTAATTTCCAATCATATTTGTTCTTTTCTTAGAACTCATTTGAATTCTTAAATTTTTAATGATTATCTATAACTCTGTAACGGTATTATGAATTTCAAACTTAAATTTTTTTTTTAAATTTTATTGGGCCGTTACAGAATTATAGATTCTTTTACAATTCTTTTACAATATGTTTGAATTTTTTTAAGAAACAAAGTTGTGCATCTTATCATCATGATATTTACAATATATTAAGCTCTTCTAGATGCATTGAGAGAATACACAAAATACTTTTTATAGATTGCATATGAAATCAATGCTAAGATAATGAATAAAATAAAGATAATTGGGATAATAAGCCAGAAAAGACCAATCATAAGAGTGTCCAAGTCGTTATCATTCTTTTTAGTTTCATCATTTGGTGAAGTTAGGATATAATCATTTTCACTTTGCGAATGATTCGAGTTATGATTAGTACCATTGTCTTTTAGCTCGCTACTATTACAGAATTGGCCTTGCAGTTTTGAAGAAATTTTCATCAGCCCAACAATGAATGTAAATAAATTTTTTTCTCCACAATTTGATGTTAGCATTGCTTTCAAGTCATCTTTAGATATTTCAGGATAATTGGAGTCAACACAAATATTTCCATTGAACGATATGAATCTTAAATGTGGCAGGTTGTCAATAATGTTGGGTGAAACTTTAATTATTTTGTTATTAGAAAGGTCGATATGTTCCAGGATCTCGTTCATCAAAAATAAATCGCCTTCTAACACTTCCAACAAATTGTATCTGACAGTTATTCTTCTTAAATTGACAAGGTTGTAAAATACATGAGCTGGGAACATTTTTAGCTGATTATTGTCCAGAATGAGTGATTGCAATAGATGCAAATTTTCAAAATATTGTGATTCTATTTTCTCAATTCGATTTCCACTCAAATCAATGATCGTGCAATCAAGCATTTTATCAAAATCTGTCTGACTCATGACATATGATGATATATAACTGATACAGAAATCAGTTTTTGAAAACCTTGGTGGCTTCACAACAGCATAAGTAGATAAATAATTTTGTTCATTTATGCTTTTACTGTTTCCAGTGTCAGCAACATTAATCTCACTGTGAACATTTTCAATATGCTGATCGTATCTGCATTTAATAGTCCCACAGTAAAGGTAAGTGGTTTCAGAATGCGACAATTTAGCCAAAGTAAGTAAGATGACTATGATGAACCTTAAAAGAGTTTAATTTTCATTTTACCTTTGTGAATTACCTCACAGCTTAATTCTAACATACCTCATGACTTCTCCAATTAAAAAAACTTTTCACACTGAGACTTAATGAACATTTAAATCTCAAAAGATCAACTTATGCTTTCTGTTGCAATTTGCATTCGAATAAATAAATAAATAAAAGAGTTTCGCGGTCACAAGAACTTTAACATCAGCAATATTTTGACATTGATCTCACACTACTTAAATATGAAATCATGTTGATGCAGTTCCCTTAATTAAGAAAGTTTTTAAAACTCAAAAGATTCTCGTAAATTAAAAAAGTGAAAATATCAACGTTAAGATTTTCTCTGCTCGATTTCCAAACATTTAATTATTGTAAACCATCAGGTAGATTATTTTTCTGATTATTTCGAAATATTGAAAGCCTCAAAAATTAAATCAATGTTGCGGATTCAATTAAGCATCGGTAAAGTAAATTTAATTGTTTTAACATCATTGAAACCAAAATTTGAATAATGTGTTGTGTGAGACTTCATTATTGTAAATTGACAGAAACTCGTGTTTATAAAGTACGAATAAGTAGTGACTGTGAAAGTGTCAATGACAATGTATGACGAGAATAAACTCTCAATTTTAAAAAAGACAAATTTATGAATAAAATTTAATCAATAAAAAAAATTCGTCCTTGTAATTAAATTGTTAGACACTACGAAATGAGGTTTAAAAGATTCCAATACTGATTATGTTTCTACTAAAATGAGAGCAAAAATCTCTTAATTTATGGACTTTTTTATTCTTTTTCCATTTAATTATTTGAGGCTAAACAAGAAAAAAATTCAAATTATGATGAAATTATAAACGTTAACAAAAGAGCGAAGATTTTTGTTGCTTTTCGCGAGTTTTTTTTATCTCGCAACCCTTTTTGATTAAATATGCAAATTTTCATTTTTTTTCATTCTTATTTCTTTCGTTTCACCGAGTATCGATTCGAAAGTAATTACAAAACGCTAATGCCATTTAATTATTCTCTGCAATGTCATTTGGTATTTTTTTTTCCGTTTTTATCTCGCCATGAGCTTGATTGCGGTGAATTTTAAAAAATTTCGTGGCGATCAGATTTTTTTAATTCACTTAATGACAGACTAAAAGTTCTATAAAATAATATAAAATCCAAATGAAACATTCACTGGCAGTATTTTAAAAAGTATTTTCTAAATCATATCCAACCTTCGTCACTTAATGTGTTTTATTTCTAAATATTCGTCATCCATAATCTGTTTTCTGTAGTCTCTCACACATTTTGGCAATGATTTAATTGTCACATTAAATAGTTGAACCTGTGATGATTTATTTGTTGTCCATTTAGCATGCCGCCGCTTCATTGTTAATAATTTAAACATGTTATCACTTCAATTTCATCTCATTTTAATTGAAATCAATAATTTGTAATTAATGACAATATTGTGGCTTTGTATTGAAGAATATTTTTATTCAAGTGAGTTAATGTTTTAGTGATAAAAAGCCTTTTGACAGTGCTTATTAATAACAATAACCCACGTGTACTAAATCCATTTAACAAAGGTGGGATTACACATATGAAGATCTTTAAGATAACTTATCAAATTTTATCGAGAGTTCTTATATATTCAAAGATATAAAATACAGTCTGAAGACAATTTTTGTAAAATTTTCATAAGATTTTCACATTTATTTGCACATTTTTGTTTATGACCAACGAGGCCAGGTTTGAATATTAGAAAACAAAGCGTTACCGGGACAAGTAGTTGCAACATCTTGTCTGTGACCAAGAAGACGATATGTTGTTGTCAAACGACCCCAATCGCGAGCACAAATAACGAAAGCTTGAGCTGTGTTGAGAACAGCTTGTGATGGTAAAACTGTATGAAAAGCTCCCATGAAGCAAAAACCGATCGAGCGCGAATTGAAACCTGGTGAATGAGCTCCAGCACGGTTCCAACCACGACCTTCGTATACTTGATTTGTGTCACCAATGCAGAAATTGTATCCAATATCAGCCCATCCATTTGTGTTCATGTGGAAGTTCTGAATATTTCTCATTTGTTGATCACAAAGTGCAACTGTCGAACAACGAGCTCCATCAGTATGATGAACAACGAATGCATTTGGAGGTTGCGTAGCTAACCAGGCAGGATTTGTCGAACGTGATCCCCATGCACCACGTGTACGAATATTAGCACATGGACCAGTTTGCCCATTTACCCCAATTGCCAAAACAGCAACAAGTAACGCAAGGAAAGCCTTCATTTTATTTTTACACTAAACCAAACTGACGCGTATGAAGAAAAATTTCCTTCTTTTATACTTAATTAACCGGAATCTTGGGAATAAGATAAAAGTTAGTGGTGCTACTTGCAAACTTTTTTAATTTTGATTTATCGCTTTATCAACTTTTTTTATGAATGGAATTTTTTGAAAATGTGCAATTAATGGAGAGATTTGAATCAGTTGTTTGTCATTCATTAAGGTAAACAATTGATGGGATTTTGAGACATTTCATTATGATGAATTCTATGAAATTCTTGAAGAACATTGAATGAATCTTGGAATGAATTATGATCATGGTCATGGTCTTTAAATGTAATTATTTGAACTAATATGTTATCAACAAATATTTATCTTTTAAGTGGGCCACTTATCGGCTTATTGATAAGTGATTTAGTGATATATGAATAGTCATTCCCTCAAGTAAGTTGAATTAAAATTAACTTCTGTATGTACATATAAAGGAAGTTTCGAGAATGTTTTTGTTAAGTGCTTATCTTCAAATCCGATAAGATTTTGAGAAATTTCTATAATGTTCACCATTGGTTATCAATCATAATGAACCTGTTTTGATTTCATATAAAGACATTTAAATTCACAAGAAGCAACATCCACTTGAAATTTAATGTTAATTGTTTAAATCTTTCATGTTTGACATGCCCATAATTCATTAAAACGACGATTAAAAAAGTTATGTTTATGTTAATCATCAAAGAAAATTTGAATTTATAATTTAATCTCGCGAAGTTCTTCCGCAAAATGAATTAACACATTTTATCCTTCTTTCTGTGATTCTTTTTGAAGCGGGAGTGAAATTAAAAGAAATTCGTTTAATTTATGTGCTTTTTCTTCTTCGCTTTTTCCATTTAATTATTTGAGGCCACACAAAAAAGAATCATTCGAATTATGATGATGAAATTATAAACGTAAACAAAAGAGCGGAGATTTTTTGTTGCTTTTCGCGAGAAAATTTTTCGATGTTACTTTTTTTTTTATCTCGCAACCCTTTTTGATTAAATATGCAAATTTTCATTTTTTTCATTCTTATTTCTTTCGTTTCACCAAGTATCGATTCGAAAGTAATTACAAAACGCTAATGCCATTTAATTATTCTCTGCAATGTCATTTGGGATTTTTTTCCTTTCGTAGGCTTAAAGAAACGTCACACTTTCTTTTTAGGGATATTTATGCTAATTTTCTACGTGCTTTTTTATGTTTTTTAAATAATTTTTATTCACAAGAATTGAAGTCTTCTTTCTTGACCGACACTCTGCACATTGGAAGATCATTTTAGTGAACGTTTTAATTTATTCTATCTGTCTTCAATGTTATGTTAAAAATAAATTTTAAATTTATCAAAATCCTTCCCAAGCTTAATTTTCATCGTCCGGTCATAACAACCTCATAAACTTATATAATATAAACACCACCCACATCATGTGTATTGCATTTTCGCCAAGCATAAAATTCTCGTGTGAAGGATGGTAAATAATAACATAGAAATCGAATGGAATGAGTGTGTGTGGAAGGAAAATAAAGGAAAAAGTATGAAATGAAGGCATAAAACTTTGAGAGAAATACAAGCAAAATTTTTAGATAGGAAAACTTTGTTAGTGATGGTTCATCAAGTTCTCAGAAAATACTGAAACACATTTGATTGCCATGCACAATATTTGTCGTCAAAAATTGAAAAGTCAAGATATCATTAAGTTCAAATAATGTTACCGTATCGACGTACAATAGAAAAGGTGTGTTCTACATCAAGATCGGTCATTCGATGCACTTGGTAAAGGTATTGCAAAATCTATTGAAATTAATTAATTATATTCGAAAGAGAATAAGTCCCAGTTTTCAACCTTTTTGCTCGTGTCTATAGGTGGAAGTTTCTCGTATAAAATTCTCATATTCGTGCTAGGAGAAGACGGTATTGGAATGAGACGAAACCACATACTTCCATAGTGGAGACCATAGCATTAGTTTAGAAAATTAGAATATGCTAATGTGTACTTATAGATAGAAAATGGAAAATTTACAATGTACATTATTGTGTTGGAGAGTGGAAGAAAACACCAGCAAACATTGAGGCTAGAAAAGGATGATTTCGAGAGTCATTGTTCAACTTTAAACCTCTCCTTACTCATTCCAAAGAAATGTGTATTAGAAAATTTAATGAGTATGAAAGGATGTTTCGTTTCATTATTCATCATCGCCTTGGCTATATATTTGAAACATTGTATATATTTCTCTTTCTCTCTCTTTGATATTTTTTTGGTCTATGATATTAATAATCTTCATATTTAAAGTTTAAATATTTATGACACAATTTAACAGTTTGATTTTTATTTTCGAAATATATTAAAAATTTGTGTTTTCCTCTGACATCTAAAATGCTGAAATAAAATAAAAAGTTTATTTTTTTCATATAATTTAAAGGTAAAAGATGAATAAAAATGAGCAAGTGAAGACTTTATTGCTAGAATAGAAAGAAAACCAAAAACAAGCTTTTAAAGTTTCTTAGATATCTTCAAATATTCTGAGAGAGAAGCGAGAGAGAAAGAACAAAGAAGCTTTTCGTCTTCATATGTTTCCATTCAAGGGGTTAGTCAGAAAGTTATGTCAAAAATTCATTTTAAGGATGATGATGCATTATTGGAAATCTAATTAAAATTTAAAATCAAACTTAAGTTTCTCATCCGGCAGAAAATCAATTTTTGTTCTGAAGAACCCCTTAATTAAATGCATTTTTAAAAAGTGAGAATGATTTTCTTAAAAGTTTACTCTCAATTTTTACTCTCTCGTTGAAATCTTTCTCTCTGAAAATTTTATTTCTTTTGCAATTCTTGCAGCAAGCAACACAAGCCAATGTTCAAAATGTTCAAAACACATGGAGGAAGATAATGAGAAAATGTTTAATTGTGTAGAGGGAGAATGAGGTTCATTCATTCTTTGCTTCTCTGGCCGTCATGCGGGCGAATATTTTATACACAGAGACCGGTCTCTTTCGGCTCAAAAAGGGGTTTTCTCCGATATACTTCACAAAAAAAAAGAAAATATTTATTTTTTTTTATTCAGTAATCAGTTAATTTTTAAGTTTCGTTGCATACGGAATGTTTTTCTCGGTGCTCTCGCTGTTGTCTTGGCCGGTTATTTTATTTTATTTGTGATGAAAGCACGCAAATGAGAGAATAATATAAACACAGGCAGGCAATATGTGTGCACATATATTCGAATAAGGAACCCTTTTAAGTATTCCATCGTTGAATAACAATAATAATTATAAGTTTCTTGTTTCTGATGGTGAATCAAATCCGCAGTTTGTTGTTTAAGTTTGAGGCGCGCGGATCGAAGTTCAGCTAGGTAGTGAATAATATTCTTTGGATATCTGCACATTTAAATAATGCAAAAAAATATTATTTATGAATTGCAAATAAGTTCAGAACAAAAAAAATAATTAATAAATAAAAAAACATAAAGAAATAAATTATCAAAATATCTAAAAAAGAATTTTTGTGGATAATTATAATTCAGAGCGCGTGAAAATTAATAAGCAGCATCAACAAAAAGTGATTTAGTGTGGCAAGTGGTGGAGCGAAATCAAAATTAAATGGATTTAAAAATAAACAGCAAGAGAATTTCTCCATCGACTTCACGACACGCATAATTCTTCTTCACTTTACGTAGGTGTCATCATTAAGTTGATATTTTTAATTTTTTGTGTTTGGGTTAACCTTCGTCATATATAAAAGAAATGTTTGAAGTGACAACGATAGCCTTTCATGTAATTAATAATTGTCATATAGCGAAATTTTATGTGTGAAAATTGAGTTTGAGATTGAGATCAAGAGCATAATCAAGTGTTAGCGTGTGTTAAAATTATTGCAAATATTTCTTTTTCTTTCATTTGGTTCCGTCGGAAATTCATTGCAGTTTTAATGACTTGAAGTGGAATGAAATCAAAAGCTTTTCATGTTGATTTATAAAAGCAAACCTAGCATAAGGTAGTTTAAATTCTAAAAAAAATAAAAAGAAAAATCAGAGCTTGCAAACAACTTTATATTCAACACAACGATACTGACAAAAATTATACAATGTGCCACAAGACCTACATCAACATTGTCGCGTGCTCGTCTTTCTTTTTTGCGGCAAAAACTTTTTCCCTCGCTCACAGAAAAAAAAAAACAGTTTCGTTTGGGAATTCCGGAATTTCCTTTTCTTCTGTCCATTGTCTCGATTTGACTTGTTCAGCCTTTTAACTGTTGTTGGAATTATTTTTTATCCATTAACGTTTAAATATATAAAATTTCAGTTTGCTTCCACATTAATTAATTATTATTAAAAAATCAATGACCGATTAGGTATACAGATAAATATTTAGAAATTTTAGGGTCAAAGATTAGTAAAAGCCTCTGAAAGTCTCGACACAATATTCAAATTAGCAATTAAACGCGAAAAGTAAAATCTTGAAATAACAAGCAAGGCAATCGAAAGTCGCGCTGCATAATCAGATCGATACACAATTATGCTTTTAATGTAGTTGAATGTATTTCTCATACAGAATTTGCAAATGTTGTTGGATTAAGACGAATAAGAAGAATGATTTCTTAATGAAACAAGAGGAAGAAAGAAAGAAGAAAAATAAAATGCTCAGAGAAGAAGAAGAAAAAATTAAACACAAATAACATGAAGCAAAGTCGATCGCAACTGCATGAGTGGGCAGCGAATCGAAAACTTATTAAGGAGCAAAACTGCTTGAAGAAATTAAAACCAGATAAGATTATAAGAGTTCGTAGCGAGAATTAAATGAGAGCCGAAGTTGAATCGGGAAATGTGAAAAGACCACCGGCAGATGTAAGCAAAGAAATGGAAACATAAGAAACATAAACATTTGATTGCAAATTGCAAAACAAAAATAAAAGAGTTGAATTGATTATTGAAGCTGTTAGAATAAGTCGAAAGTCAAAACATCAGAAAATAATATTTAAGATATTTATGATACGTTCTAAAAATCAATGAGAGAAAGACAACATTTCATCAGACTCTGACTCTGACTCAACAAATTCTTTCTGTGACATGAAAGAACTGTGCATGTTGAGTTGTACTTTACTTTCATTTCGATGACTAACTAATTAAACATACTTTGAACCGTTAAATTGGAGCGATAATTGTCACAAGCGAGAAAATGCGCCATATGCGATTTCTATGTTCATTATTTCATTACGAACTTGCTTTAAAGAACCAGTTGGAGCATGTTTAATCGGCAATTATGCATTAATCGAGCTTTAAATCAATTAGTTGGGATTGTTAAGGCTTAAATTACAGCAAAAAGAAAGAAACTGCAATGATTAACGCATTTAACATTCGATTAGAATTGAAAATTGCATTTGAAAGTATTTATTTATAGTCGATTGACATTGTGGTTGTGTGAATGTTTGAAGTCATTTAAAATGTAGATTTTGATATCGTTTACATAAAGTAAATTCTCTAATTGAACTCTCGTCTCGTGTGTAAGCAAGAAAGAATAAAAAAAAATTAAATGCCTACATAACTGGCAACATTGTAAAAATAATTGTTCCATAACTCAGTTGTGATATTAAATGTGATTAGAAGGATGACTAGGTTTCGATTATATAATTGAAGTTCATTTATACAGTTAACTTTTAAGTATTTTCCTATCTGTTAAGTTTTTAATGTTTCTTTCAAATTGCATTTGACTATTCAACGAAATAACGTAAAACACGAGAGTGTGTCGCTGCAATTTAATAAACAAGAAATGTGTGAATATGAATAAACGTTGAGTTAATGGATGGAATTAAATATTCTCATTTAGATAATAACAATTTTTCTTACAAAATTATTGCGATTAATAATTTCTGTCCAAATAAAATGCCTCAATTTTCTCAGCAAGTTTTTTTCTTATTTTTGGTTGTCGCATGGTAAAAGAGTAAATTAGCTTAACGGCCACCATATGGCACAAAAAAAAACAATGAAAAGATCGTTCGTAATAATTGAGACTAATTAAGTGAAGCAATTCATGAAGACGCAAAGTCCAAATACGGCGGTTAATTTATTTGTTCGCTTGAATAAATTTCTTCTCTTGTTTTTCTCCCCATTTAATATCATTCTAATTATCTGTCAAGGATTTTTTCATTAAGCATAATTAAAGTCGGCCATAGAATGTTGGCGCACGAACGTAAGTAGACAGACACTTAAACAAGTTTAGTCAGATAGTCACAAAAGTCGACTCGCACGGTTAAAAGTAATAAAATTTTGATATTGCTGATTAATTTATGAATTCAGAAAGTAAATAAACATTATACCGTTTTTTGTTCGTTTGTGGGAGGATTCATGTAACTTAATGAAAGACTTGAAAATGACTACAAATGATGGGGAACTTGATAAAAATTATTCTTACTTAAATTTAAAAAATTTACATCATTTCAACACAAAACATGAGTTTTATAATTACGCAACAAAAACATTGTAATTTTGAACAGCATTGATACGATTTGCCAGTAAACGTAGTTACTTACTTATTAAATTAACACAAAGTTGCATGCTAATTGCTGAAGTTAGTTAATTACAATTCCTGTTATAAAATTTTTAGCTTTACTCATAATTTACTTGTTTTTTCAATGATGTTTTGATTTCAATCTTTTTTCTATTCCTTTTCATTAAGTTTATTTCATGTTAATGAGATCAAAAAAGTCGCATGACGCACAACGAAAAGAAAAAACAGAAAAATATCAGCAAGAAAATGTTCCACGAATTTTGCAAAGATAAAATGCCGAAAATATTTTTAATTTTCAATTTAAATCCCACACAAAAGTGAAATAAGAAGAAACTGGTGACAATAATGAATGAGGCTGAATATGTGTTTGTGATTGTGCAACATTGAAAATTCGGGCGAATGAGGTTCTCAAAGTTACTTTATTGCATAGCATAATCACCAACAATTTAATATATAAAAAAGCGGCTCGAGACTCTATTAAAACACTAAATGTAATTATATATTTGCGCGCCAGTATAATTTCATTCGAAAAAAAAGAAAAATGAAATAATGAATCGTGGAAAAATAAATTGAGGAGAGTCATCGACGAACTGTTCCCTGACTCGCTATTCTCGCCCCTTTTTTTCATCAACGAAACGAGGTTGTCGAGTTGGATAATTAATATTTTTTTTCTGAATTTTTACAACATTATAATCACTTGAATGTTAAATTTGTTGTTAAGAGTATTTCTCTTTGGGAAATTGTAATTTTCGACTCGAATTTGTATGTTCTTAAAACTAATTTTATTAAAGTCATTAAAATCATAAAATCTATTAGAAAAGTTTTTAAAGAAAAACTTCACCAGTAAATTTTACTGCCAAATGAATTTCTTCTTATCAAATCACGTTAATCGGAAGAAGACGAAAGGGTTGATGAATTAAACTTCTAATTCTTTCAATCAACAGGGGGTTTCAAAACTCAATCGATTTTTCACATTTCCTCATTAACTCAATTTTTAATTTGATTTTTTTTACGAATCGATTGCGATCATCACGGCATTTGTGTCGTTTTGAGCGACCCTTTTTATGCAAATGTACGAGTCTCATCCACCCTTTCATTATAATTTGTAATTTTAATTTCTCATGTTGAGTCTAATTAAACCCTCGCTTCAGCTTTTGTCTTTCCTGCTTTGGTCGATGCTTCTAATTTTCAATGATGATTCATGCGGCATGAGTTGCTGCTTAATTTCTGTTGTTGTGTCGAGAACTTTTTATTTCTTTCTTCTCATTTTTTTACTCTTCTCAACTGCCTGATTATGCATTCACATTTTTATTTCATTTCGTGCATTGTCGTTGAACATCAAGCCAACTCATCTCGTCCCATTTCTCGTCCCCGGATCCATCCACTTAGCAAGCATCATTTTTGTCGTTTTCATAATTTTAAAAGCAGTTTTAATTATTATTTTAATCAGTTTTTTCCTCCGCCTTTCATGTCGTCAGAGGAATGCTTTGACTGCTGTTGTTTTGACCATTGCTTGTTGTTTCTCGTTGGCGATTGTAAACGATGAGGAGGGGGTGAGAATAAAAANCTCCCATCAACGCAGCAGGAAGTGGCACTCAATAGGACGTGAGTGCCAAGAAACGATCTTCAATCTTCACAACGGAGTGAAGAACAGCACATCGATAGATTTGCATAATCTATCGGTGAAATTTGCATTGACTAAAGTAGAAGAAAAAGTCAATGCAAATAAAAATGATTACAAATTTCTCAACTTGATTGTTGGGAAAGGTAATCACAGTCTTGATGAGCCTGTCATCAAGAACGCGGTTTTATGTTATGCTCAAAAGCATAACATAAAACACCAAATAAATAAAAATAATACAGGAATAATTACTTTTAATTTTTCCTGAATGAAATTGTAAAAATTATTATGACTTTAAATATTGTTTTATATTAAAATCAATTGAATAATTTTGTTTCATATCAAATGTGATAAATGTACAAATAAATTATTTTAAACAAACATTCTGATTCTTTATTTCTTACTTAGATAAATATTTCTTTACAGATTAATTAATTTTTTCAGGTAACATATCACGCTTCTATTTAATTTAAATTTTAACTTAATATACTACGATAACCAAAAATGTCATTAAAATATTCATAAGCAGTTTCATTTACATACGCAAAATTCCATTTTTGTGTCATTTCGTTATTGCACTCATCAAGAGTTAATGAATCATTTACAAGAATTATTGTTAAACACTTTTTGGTGGAAGTGTTCATGATGATTTCTTTGGAATCCTGAAAAATGGAATAACAATCATTATTAAATGTCTTTTACACCACTGATCAATTCACTTTACCTTATCGTATATCCAGAATTGATTTCCAAATGATAAATTGTTACATCCAGTTAATCTTAATTCATAAGAGTCCAAGCAAAACTCGTGACGACCATGATCTTGTCTTATATCTTTGAGAAATGAATAAATGAAATTTTGATTCAAACTGGGATTCAGCATGTCATGAGAACATTCATCAAGTCCGATTTTCTCATCATTTAACTTCCCCATGTTGTCAATACAAAGACGAGGATTGGCAACACTTTGAATTGCACCAGATGCAAATTTAGGTGGATCAGCCAGTGGTGGAAATCTTTCAATCATATCTGGTGCAATATTATTCAAAAACCATCGAAATGGTTTACAGTTTAATCGTTTTTTCACAGCTTTAGGAATTGTAAGGTCCCCGGGATCGACATTTTCATATCGTTTTGGTTCAAGTTGCTTTGGAAGAGTTTTATATTCGTCAAGCCAAACCTCAGCGATGCGCATAAAGTTTCTCGCCACGTAATCGTCTTTGCTAACCCTCGATGGATTAATTTGTCTAAAATAATGAGCTACTCGCGAACATGGAACAGTTAAAATTCTATTTGCACACATCCACAGTTTGAAACTCAATTCATAATTCTCGCCATTCCATATTTGCAAACCTTCATCGTAACCACCAAGTTCATCAATAAAGAACTTTCTGTCAATGGCAAAAGCAGCTCCAAGCATAATAGGATTTGGATATGGTTTCAAATCATTCATCTGATCATTTGGTAATTTGGGAAGTTCTTGAAAATCGAGATACCAATCGATGACTCCTCGACTTCCTAAAAGAAAACTTCCTTAAAAAATGTTCGAAAATGTAAAATTTATTATTTTTACCTTGGAAATTGCTTTGTCCTGGCAAATATTCAAATGTAAAAGGATCCAAATAATCAATAATTGGAAGAGTGGAAATCTTTCTGTCGTCTACAATAGGTTGTAGCAGCGGTGGCAACCAATTGTTTTGAACTTCAATATGAGAGTCGAAAAATACAAGAACTTCCCCAGATGCTGAACGAGCGCCTTCCATTCTTGTAACGATTAATCCGCTTCGTTTTTCTAAATTCTTAATTTTTACTTTTGGCGGAAAATTTTCCAGCAAATATTTTTTTAAAGGATCGTAAAGTTCTGCGTTAGTGCTGTAATCATTAACAAGAATAACTTCATGAAGAAGTTCAGCAGGTGTGCGATTAATGACGCTGTGAATTGTCCGAAGCAACACACTCAAAACTTCATTGTGAAAGATGATGATGACAGAAACATTTGGCAAGGTTGCGTAATATTTAACATTTGAACAATTTGAATGGACCACCGAATCTAACGAACGATTGACAGAAATTTTATTAGAAACTACGACAGAAAATCCAGTCTCGTGGTAAAGTTTCTCGTTCAGATCAATTTCTGATGAATTTGTCAAAATTGCTGCAGCTCCATGCTCACCAAAACCATTTCTTGTTTTTTCTTCTTCAGTAAGTTTGTAATCATTCCAATCACGAAACCTTGATTTTTGATTATTGTTATTTTCTCCATCTAAACTAATGAACAAATCACTGTCAACATTTTTTGCTTCACGATTACTACGAGTTGCACGTAAATAAATGAAATATATCACAATAATCACACTAAATCCAATAAGAGATCGTCTCTTAAGTTTTATTTGCATCGTAGTGTCAATGGTTCATTGAATGATGAGCTTTATTGATCATTAATACAACTTGCGAAACATTACTGATGATTACAAAGTGAAACATTGTTTGGATGTTTCATGTAGCATTGAAAAACATTGGAAAATCATTGCACAATGTTTCCAAAACATTACTGATTTCTTAAGGCAATGTAAATGTTTAGAGAACAAACTGAGAAATTCAACAAGATAAGCTAAGAAGCTACTTTGTTGCCTAAACTCTCTTTCGAATCGATTGATAATTGTTCATTTGAAGTTTGAAAAAAAATAAATGAGATTTCATTCATTTTTCTTTTGACATTCATTTTAGAAAGATCGCTCGAAGAAGATCCACAAAGAACAAAAATGAAGTCAGTTTGTAAAGATTTTGTAACCGTAAAAGTTTTATAATTAATTTTTAATATTTATTTTAGGACGATTTCATTGCTTTTGATATTATGCTTTGTGGCAATTCCATCGATTTGTAATGCAGAACAGTCCAATGATTATTTCGAAGAAACCACAACAGAAGTCAAGGAATCTGTTGAAGAGACAGTTGAAGATAGCATTTTTATGCTTGGTGGACTTTGTGCTGTTGCAATAATCTTGTTTATCATATTTGCCTGTGTCTCATTCTGGATTGGTTGCGCTTTCCTAAAATGTGGATTCTCCTTAAATCAACAATATGAATCTGTATAAATCATACAAATTTTCAAATTAAAAAAAATATAAAAGAAATTTTGATAAAATGTATTCAAATATCGGATTTTTCGTTTCATACCTCCAGATGATTGAATTTTTTTGTTGCATCGTAAACTTTTTCTTCCTTCTTTCTTCTCTGCCTGATTAATCATTCTCCCTTTTGTTTGGTTTACTGGCATTGTCGTTGAACATCAAGCCAACTCATCTCGTCCCATTTCTCGTCCCCGGATCCATCCACTTAGCAAGCATCATTTTTGTCGTTTTCATAATTTTAAAAGCAGTTTTAATTATTATTTTAATCAGTTTTTTCCTCCGCCTTTCATGTCGTCAGAGGAATGCTTTGACTGCTGTTGTTTTGACCATTGCTTGTTGTTTCTCGTTGGCGATTGTAAACGATAAGGTGGTGAGAGTAAAAATTGAATCATAATTTAATTTAATATGTAAGAGAAGAAAGCAAAGATAATTAAAATGTGTTGATGAGTCGAACAAATGATTATTCTTCTCCGTCGATCTCAAAACGATAAAATTTATCGTAAAATCACAACGTTGCAAGTCTTGTCATCGCATGGAATATTTTCATAGCAATTTGAGTTGATTTCTTCCTTAAAATCTTTTCTAAACTTTCTTCTTCTCTCGTTCTGTTACAAGTCATCATGAATGTGTTGGTAGCTGTTTGTGTGGGTGGATGGCTGAGGTGCAGGAGAAAATACTTCGTCGTTGGTCTCTGTTTTACATAATTTTCTAAAATTTGCATTTTCTAAAATCAGGAATTGAGTGTGGGGAGTGAGAAAATGAAGAGAGAAAGGGTTGTGGAAGTTGGCATGTGGGGGAGGTTTAGTGAAACAAGATTAGGTGTCGGTGAGAATGAGAATCGAGCAAGAACATTGTCCATGATTGAAATTAGTTTCTCCAAGAGTGGGCCAATGGTTTTATGATTTTCGGCGAGATTTCCATGCTTCAGGGAGGTGACGGGAGATTTAATAATTTCAATTAATGGTTTGAGAAGGGAGAAAATTATAAAAGTATCTGTTTGCATGTTTTCCTTTTTGCTTTGTGTAAGTTTGTAAATTTTTCGGTATTGTTTCCCATTCTCATTTTCTAATGAAACTCAAACCATTCATTGACGAATATCCTTGCACATATATTTTTCTATAGACAAGGAAGTGTAAAAACATCGTTTGGAATTTTGCTTAAAAACTTCTTGCTTATGTTTCCTATTCGACCACCTTCATCTTAACTCAAGCTATGATTAATTTATCAAGTTTCGACATCAGAAAGGAAATTTTCCTAGATACAAGCTACAATTTTAGTTCAAACAATGAAGGGTAGTTTAAGAAAATCCATCTAATTATAAGATCTCATTCCAGTCCTATTCAAATTTTATCTCTCAGCCTTGCCGCATCATAAATATAATGTAAAATCCGTAATTAATTTAAAGTGAAAATTCCATAAAGTCTCGAAATCTTTGGGATGTTAAATTTACAAAACTTAATGTTGAGAAATGGAGCGATGAATTAAATATTTGAATGTGGATCAATAGTCAGTCCCAAAATATTATTTCGCATTAGAATTCGAATGAATGTTGAAGAAATTAAAATCTCATGAGAGTGATTTAAATCATTTTAGTGAAAATCTGAATTTCGTTTAATTTTTTTCTCTTTTTTATATTTTCAGAGAATTGAAAGTTTGTTCAGATATAAATTCGACAAATTGATGATGCTGTTGAAATTCATATTGAGTAATGATCAACAACATCAATGATAGAAAGAAACGACACAAAATGTTGTGATTTTTAAGTTCACAGACTATGGAGATTGATGTCAAAGACGAGGAGCTGAATAACAATAACAATTGTGAAAGTAATAACAGTTCAACGTCTAAGATTATTATTGATAGTATCAACAACAACGTAAATGGTTTATTAGACAAGTTCAGTGAAGGTTCAGCGAAAATTGATGCAGATGAGAGCTCATTGCCATCGCCAAAGGCAATGCTAGAGACCATAATGCCTTGCGAGAAGCTCTGCAGTAGTTTTCGGCAAATTGCTGACGACATAAGTGCTAGTGATGTGATAAAGACACATATAAAGCATGAAATTAGTGAGCCAAAATTGGCATGTGAAGGTGAAGATTTGGGACGTGAACAATTTCCACTTAACTTGAAGTCAATGCGTCATGGCACTGAAATCAAACAGGGAATAAATGTGAGTAAAAAAATATTTTATTGCTTCACTTGATTGATGAACTCGTGAATCTTAAATATTTTCTATTTCAACCAATCAAATTGTTACATCAGAAACCATTAGAATATTTATTCCTTAATTTAAATTTTTAAACATCAGCATACATGGAATTGGATGAGAAGATTAATGAATCTAGGCACGAAAGTCACCGCCAATGTCGTTGTGAATTTTCCCCTTTCACCTGCTTTTAATTCTCATCCCTTTCGCTTTTTTATCCTTTTTTGTTATTTTTTCATCATCTCATTCCATGTGAAAATTCGATCCATCGCAACGGGTCCATCGTACGACAAACAACGTGAAATATTCTGATGCTTCATATGCGATTTAATTTATATTCAAACTCCCTTCACGTTTCCCTACCTTCGTCCCTCACCTCCCAATAAAAACCTCCAAGTCACGAAAAAAGAGTGCGCGGAAAAAATTCAACCCCATTGTGACCATCATTGTTGTTGATGATTTTTTTTTGTATGCTTTGACTCGTCCATCGGTCCATTCGCTTTCTGTTACTCGCCGTTTCTGATTCTCCAAAGTTTTTTTTTGTTCGTTCATGAAATGAGAAAAAAAAGTTAAAAAATTAAAATAAAAATTCGTTTCGTTCGCCAAATGGGGTTAAATTAACGCCAAAGCCAACGAGGGAAGGAGTTGAAAACGAAATGGAAAAAATTCGACGCCAAAACTTGTGCAACTTCACCGTGTGTGTTTATTCATCTCCTCAAACTCTGCAGAAATTTACTCGCCCGAATTTCATTGTGTACTCAACAAAATACGAAGTTCGCGGAAATCTTTTGTGTTTGGAGTGAGACGAGAAGTTTTTGTGTTTCATTTTGATTCTTGTATGGACGCAGCAAGCTACAATTCTACTGACTTCGCAGATCTTCCAGGAGATTCTTCAACTTACCAACAAATTTTGTTTTAATCGATCTGAAATTGAAAAAATTCTTTTTTATTTCATTTCAATCCTTTTTGTTTTGTTTCTTTTTTATGACTGTCAACCTTTTCCCCGTTCATTCAGCAACTTTTCAAATGTTCACACTTGGTTTATTCCAACAACCCGACTCGATCCAGGCAAACAAAAGCGAACAAGTGAAAAAGGCAACACAACTGATGTTGATGTAAAATATTTTCCCTCTGAGGTATTTTTCTTGCTTTTCCACATCCAATATCCAAACAAGGCGTTCGAGGGAATCCCAAGCGGAAAAATACGGCACATGACTCAAACGATGAGAAAGGAAATTCCTTCGATCCTTTTTTCTCGGAGTTTTGCGAAAACAACGGTAGATAAAAATTAACCAGACCAACAACCTGTTGAGTAATCACAAAACTGCTTTCTTTTACTGGTGGATGCGACGAGGGATGTGCGTGGGTGGAAGGGGAAAAGGAAAAAAGCTAACAAAATGATTCGCTCGAAGAAGTTTTTGGTGCATTTGTGAGTTGGCGAATGACGCTGACGTTGACGACAAACCACAAAATGAGAGAGCGACGTTTATCGTTAAATGTTTCGCGAGAAATCTTTTCGCATAATTTAATATCATCTCCAAAGTCGTAAGCAAGCATAAATTATGAGCTTAAGCAGTCTGATAATGAATTACCGTACCGACCGACCGATGCAGCGACGAATGATGCAGCAACGCAAGAGATGAGATTTATTTAATTTCTTCGCCTTGCCTTGTTTCTTCGTTGGGATTCAGTTTTGCCACCAGCGATCATTAAATGAGATTTTTTCTCTTCTTTTTAATTTCATTTTCTTAAATTAATCAGAAGGAAAATTAAAAAAAAAAAACACTGCGAAAACATTTTAATTCTCATTTCGAGAATAAATTATTAAAAATATTTCGTTTCGAAGGTTTGTAATTATGCTGCCATGAAAGCATCAAACGAAAGACGACGAGTTTAAGTTGGCTGCATTTGTTTCACTTCTCGACTCGTCGAGCCCTTGAGACTCATTAAAATTGTTACTCATTTTTATTTCATTCTTAACTTCGATAAATTTATTGCTAATAATTATACATTTCCAAAACAGCGAGAAATTCAAAATAAAAAAACAAAATTAAGAATGATGCGAAATGAGAACATAAAATGAATGAATTTAATTAATGCTTTCGATGATATTTTTCGGATCCTGTGAGGGTCTAAGTATGTGTGACGATATTAATTCTAATTTCACTTCCAACATTGCTTACACGAATGAAATTCCACCCACGCATTAACAAATTTCGAAGATACTCATAATTGATGGTGCTTCAACATTCGAGTTGAGTTTGCTTAAAAATATTAATTATACATGCATCATCTTATTTCAGCATTATGGGCAATGGCACTTAATCATCGTGCGATTTCTTCTTTCACTTCGATCTGTCCATTTTCCTTCCTCTTCTCTTCTCGTTCCTTCTTCTCGCACATGCATCAGCTTATGAAGTCGAGGCTCTTAATAACCGTTAATGTTCATGGAGAGAAATGGAATCATTTAAAAGTTATTATTGCATTAATGCGATTTGTAATGAAGCTGGAATTTTATTACGGAATGTCTTCGAGATGTTGTGGGTCAGAAGCACACAAACACACACAAAGCGAGCAAATCGAATTGAATTTAAAGCTGAACTGTCGATTTGTAATTTAAATGATGACATGAAATCGAAAGTGAAGGTCAACATCGAAAATCTATTCAAATTTAATCATTTGTGGATCTTTAAATTTAATTCGTGATCACAGTTGACGGAGAATATCTGAGAATATGTGCATAGATTTCCATCACTTACTCGTCGTTCTCATAATGTTAATATCGATAAAACTTCTGCCTTATCAAAAGAATCTTTGGTGCATAAAAAACAAAACTTTTACGTTTACAAAAATGATCAGCAAGCTTGCTTAAAAGTAAGAAAAAAGTCACTGAAATGATTTTTAATTTAAATTTTTAATTGAATTTCAATGCTTGTTCTGGTTGAAATTTTCTTTACTCATGTCGTATGTAAATTATTGTTCAATTTGAATTTTATCCTGCATTTAAACAACAGACATGACGGGGTGAAGCGAGAAGAAACAGAGAAGAAGACAAATGAGTTGAAGATTCGAATGAGATTCTCATTGAAAGACAGAAATTGTTGGTCCTAAATTAGGAATAAATTTAAGTTACGAAATTTGATGATCAATTGAAGGGTTTGATGAGAAATTAGAATTGCATTTTGATCATCGTTCAATCTTTAAGATGATTCGTCGTCGCCTCATCCTAATTGTCAGATTTCCATCAACACCTTCGCCATTTATTCACGTCACATCAATTATTCAACAACTTATTTATGCTCCACGCTCATTGGCAGTCATTATTCAGAATTGTTTGTTCTCGAATCTCAAATCGTGGAAGAAATAAGTGAAATCTCAATTCTGATGTGACCACCAATGTGAAGCTTCTCATTAGCGTAGAACATTTCAACATCATTATGCAAAAATAAAAACTTACAGCATGAAATTGAATTATTGAAATTTATTTAAATTGTCCGCGAAATGAAACTCGAAGGAATCGAAATCATTATCAATCTTGAATTATTTTTATTCCTTCACTCGCTCACAACTAACAGCCATTGAATGACTCCAAGACGATTCAATTTAATTAATGAACTTTCCAACTCCATGCTGCATAATGATCTACAGAATAATTCTTCAACATTTCTTTTGCATATATGCAAATTTCTTCTGACCATTCTTGGGATTGAATTCATTCAATATTTCAGTGCAGTTGATCAAACGTTGACTTAATACCGACCACCAATTTACTTTAGAGATTAATTAATGCTCGATTATTCAAGTCTATCAAATTAATTTTTAAAATTTTCTCGTCTTTCACCATTGGAAAAATTTCCAGCAACTGATGAATTTTATTTATTTTATGCTTCAAGTTTTCCACCTTTTTCAAATATCTCAATGAAAAATGAATAATTTCGACAACTTTGTTGCAATATCAATTAATAATTTTATCATGTTAAAGATTTTACATTGAATTATTAATTGCATACAAAGCTTAATTCAACATTTTTTCTTTTTTACACTTCACATGACTTGGGCGTTGATTTTGTCTAATGTTTGCTTAGGATTATTGCGTAAAATGCTGAACAATTCTCATATTTCCTTGAAGAAAGAATTTCAACAAGTGCTTCTGGCGAAGCAAACTTCACTATTTCTCTTTGTTTCCCTCTTTACTCTTTGCAATAAGTTTTTAAATACCCAACAGTGTCCGTAAATAGCGATAATGTGCCAATGTACAATAATTCATTAAACGTTTTTTTAGTTCATCGCAAATTATTTCTTCTTTCTCCTCATTCATTTCTGTTTCTGTCTCTGTTCTCTTCTCATATACACTCTTGTACTTTCCATATACATTAATTACATGTCCATTGTAATATATGCGCGCAGAGCTGTTTTAATGACATAAATTATTAGTTTAAAAGAGAATGAAAGATGCGGAGAAATAAGTTTAATTATAATTTATGAAAATATGGGCTTAATCTTAAGAATAATAAGAAGGATGTATCGAATATCTTTTACGAGTGAAATCATAGGATTTAAGCTTTATTAAAGTATAAATGTGGGATGACCAGATGTATCATAACTTATGATAACAAAACTCACCAATCACATGTCAGTCACGTTTTATCCAATTTTCCAATTCAAAAGTGAACTCTTCCAAATATCTTTGAAAAGAGAATTAAAATAAATAATCGATAGTCAATTAGGAATAACACATTTTCAAACACGGTACAATTCTTGCGTGTGCTTTGCATCGTATAGATGCCATTTGTGCCACCACCAACGTTCTACCAGCCCATTTGTGTAGCGCATATGTATTGCAAATGTTCAATACAAATTTATACCAAAAGCATGCAATGAGCTGTTGTTGTTTTAGTTTTTTTCTTTTTCGCAATCTTCTCAGTTCCCGATGTACGTACACATTTTTCCAGAAACAATTTTTCATGCACATATATTGATTTATATTTCAACTTTGCAACTGAATGTCGAGAAGCAAGAAATCACTAAAGCGATTCAATTTATTAATTGGAAATGAAAATTAAATATGCAAAGGAATTTTTCCTCTTTTCTCTTGATTTCATATGCTTCTGGTGCCTTCTGTTGGTGTCATGTATTTGTGTGTATGGAAGTATGAATTATGAAAAATCCTATGAAAAGAGTAAAGTCAATAAGATTGAAATGATTTCACTTCATTTGGTCGAATAAACTTAATTAAGAAAAGCTCTTTCGATCATTTCATAAAATATCAAATCAAAAATGAAGTCTGACGAGCGTTGAATTATTTAGAACTTTATTTAATGTAATTCATTCGAAATAAAACAAGAATAAAAGAAAAATCTTGCAATGACTTTAGTTTATGCGGGTTATTATTAAGCAACACTCACAAACGTTCACAACTCATTTAAATTAATTTAAATTTCTGTAAATTAATCACAATTGAATGTGACGAATTTAATGATGGGACATGGAAACAAAGACAAAGACAAAGGCAAGATGATGTCGCGAACATCAGCCAGCCACATAACGACGAAATAAAAAGCATGAACAGCTTCTCCCATTTGTGCTACATTTTAATTTCTTCCAATAATTCTCAATCATTAAAAGCTGTTAATTTATATCAATTGAAGAGGTTTCGGATTCAATTTATTGTACGCGAGTGACTTGAGTATTAAAATGATGACGAAATTTTTTTTTCTTGTTATGATCATTAAGATGAAGTGAGAAGGGAGAAAAAATATTTAAATTAATAGCGATAACTTAATGGGTTGAAATTATTTTTGAATTGACAAGATTTTTTATTAACGATATTTCATGTCAATAAAAGTTGTTTTAGGATGTCTGAAGATCATTTAAATTTATTGATAATTTTGGAAAGTTATTTCGTGTGTTGCGATGTAAATTATTTATCTGAGAAAATAAGCTCAATGATGATCCGATGCTTACTCTTTTGCATGTCAGTACATAAGTAAATTATATGTTTATGTTGAAATTTTCTGTTGTATCAGACCCTATTAAGACAATTTATTACAATTTGTCTTAATCAATCATCTTACAAAGTAAGATTTAAATCATAAACATGAACAGAAATTGTATGACTGACTGAATGAATCTTTATTTTCATTTTCCTATCTTGACCACATCACTCACTTCTTGACGTTCATCTAAAAGTTTATTGAAGGGAGTGAAAACTCTTTAAACATTTTCATAGTTGAATTAACAGAAACATTTCATCAGGAATCTTTCTGTGGACATTTTCTGTAAGTTAACAAGAAGATGTGGTGGTTACTGCTCATGGAATGAGATTGATTTATGGGGTGTGATATTAATTAATGGCAGGGAAATTTTCCACTTCTTACGCTCGGAAGAAGAAACATCGACAGACAACTAACAAGAGTCAAAATTTCTCATTCTCATATCTCAAAATCTCCGCAACGAACCCTCAAAAACCTCTTTACCTCCCATCCAATCTCATCTAAAATGCAAATTTAGGAAAATTGAGAAGATTTTCCCGGGAGTGAGAAGGTGAATGGAAATTTTCCATGTAGCCTCAACTCTTTCTTTAGATGCTTAATAAAATTGAGTTATGCATATTTTCGTACCTTAGACTCATCGTGTACTTGAACTATTATTAATAATATGAGACGAAGCATTACGAAACTAGGAAAGTTTTCGAAAATGGACAAATTTTTGGGAGAAACATAAATTAATTTATGAACAGTTTTCTCTACTTCTTCTCACTCATAATACAATAAAAAAAACTATCTTGCCTTAATTTTCTAGGGAGACGATGAATAATTTTACTCTCGGATTATAATCTTGTTATGAAAGGCCTTACTTTAGTGCTTAGCTAGACAACTGCTTATGATGCAAATCATGTAGACCTCTTGCTGCATGCAAAACATCGTCTGACGCATTTGCTTTGCAAGTTCAATTTTTCAATTTCAATTTATTGCACTTTTGCAATGTTTTGTGTTTCGTGAAGGGGAGAAATTGTTTTTTAATGTTGAATCGAATCAAATAAAAAAAAAGCACGCAAATCTGTGAGATTTTAAACAAATGTTCTTTAAGCTTTCAAATAAATTTAAAATTCATTCTGATGTGATGGTTTTAGTCGTTCATTTGATTTCATATTCGATTTTTTAATTTGATGTTGTGTTGAATTTTGTAGTGTCTTCAATAATGATAAAAACACGCGGCTGTTACAACAAGATTTCACATATTGAAAAATTAAAACATTTTCATTGTAACCATCAACGAATGTTCATTTTCAGATGGAGAAATTGGAATCAATAAGAGAAGAGGATTACGGTCAATGCGATAGTCCTAAAGCGAAGAAAGTATTCATAAATATGTTGGATTCTCACATGCACTCACCGATGCAATCAAAAGCACCAAAGATGAAACCGGTCGATGGAAAATCAATCAATTTGTCATCGCCATGTTCATATACATCATCATCGCCTTCATCGACTTCTTCTTTATCTTCTACGTCAAACGTTCAACATCAGAAGCAAGCGATGGTCAATCAAGCTCTCAATGGATCTAGTGAGTACATATCATGAAAATATTAAGTCACGAAACGAGATTTCTTCATTACTGATGTTGTTTACTTCTTACTTAGTGCACGATATTCTCAACATGCCAAACTTCAATCATCTTCAACAAATGCAGCCACTAGCAGCGGGACTTCAGAATCTTACACAACGTTCAACGCCTTTAAACTTAGGAGGAATGAGTGGTGGGGGTGGAGGCTCTCCTTTAATGTCAACTGGATTACCAATTGGATTGGGACTTCCACAATCGCCACAAATGCCTCAACTGGTATTGGCTAGTGGACAACTTGGACAAGGAATTCAAGGTGCCCAAGTTTTAATTCCAACATCTCAAGGTAAAAAGAAATAATTAGTAATTAATGAAGACATTTAAATTAATATCAAAAATCAATTTTTTCTTATTATAACTTTCTCTCAGGCATAACTTCCCAAACAATTTTAACAATTCCGGTATCGCAACAACTACCAACAAACCTTACAATTGACCAATTGCTTCAAGCACTTTCGCATGCATCACAAAAGCAGCAGTCGAATGAAGCAGCAAACAACACAAATCACGTACTGTCAAATGTTCCAAATTTATCGCCAAGTAAGCTTAAGAGTTCCATCGTTTTTATGTTTCCACATTTCCCACATTTTCAACTTCATTTTTACAGATCCAATTCTTCTCAATTCACATCTGCTAGCGAATGGTGCTCAGCAACTTCTCTCTATTCAACCTCAACTTCTCGCCCTCCAACAACAGCAACAGCTACATCAACAACAGCAACAATCACCCGAAAGCCATCCGTTCTATAGAAAACTTCATCATGGTCATATGGAACCACCCGAGATGAGCTCACCGCCGCTTCATACAAGAAAAGATCAAATGAGTATAAATACTTTTAAGATGAGAAACCGCGAAATGAACAAAAGATTAGCAAGAATGTCGAGACCATTAAATGGTCATGGAGAGATGAATCAACATCAACAGCATCATCATCATCAACATCATCAAATGGAAACAGAATCTCATTCGCCACAGACATCGCCTAGAGTTGCGACAACAAATGGTGAAACGTCTCATTGTACAGCTAAGCCAGTCGTTGCTGAATCATCTCATCCCTCACCAACAACACCTAAATCGTATCACCAACCACCTTCGCCATCTAAAAGTTCCCTCGATTATCGTGCTATGCGCGAACTTCTGGCAGAAGGAGATAAACGAATGGAAGGTCATTTTACTATGGAACAAAGCCCGTCACAATCACAAAATGGATCACAATTGAAAATTAATCAATCAATTCAAGAGAAAACTGTTGAAAAGACGGAAAGAGAATTATCGCCACCGACGGAAAATCAACAACAAAATGCTTTATCATCATCACCTATGCAGTTCTCAAACGATTCAAATTCTGGCGATGGAAATTTTGATGAGCTGCAAAGTGAGTATGAAAGATTCCAACTTTAAAAATCTTGATGAACAATATTTGAAGATGGAGATAAAAATTAATATTTTCCGTTCGATTGAAAACAGATGAAGGTGTCAATATTCAACGAGAAGGTTCCATTCCTGAAGGCATCGATCTTGATGAGATCAACGAGTTCGCTCAAGCTTTTAAACTTCAACGTCTCTCACTCGGTCTCACTCAGACACAAGTTGGACAAGCACTTTCTGTCACTGAAGGTCCAGCTTATAGTCAAAGTGCCATTTGCAGGTATGTCAGAAATTCAAACTTCAAAAACCTGGTCAAAGCTCAAGAAAAAGAAAAATTTCTTCAAGTTTCGAAAAGTTTTGTTAATTTTTTCTTTAAGATTCCAGTTTGAATTTGGATGCCAGGATATTTTTATAAATTGCATATTTTGCATACTCGTATGCAATGAGAAAAAAGATTAAAACCTTTTACCTTATTCATTCATTATTATTTTTCTTTTTTCTTCCATAAATCTAAATATGATCTAACAAACAAACAAACAAAAAAATAAAATAAATAAATAACTTTGCATACGAATTGAAATATTTTCGCCATGCGCAGTGCCCTTGCCGCACGAATGTATGCCGCTGTACAACTCTCATCGCAACAACAGCAAATGTACGTAAATAAGAATATAAAAAAGTAGAGAAAAAAAATAGCACGATTAATGAAATATCAAAGATTTATCAAATAGTTTCTCCTTTCGATTTGCATTGAAAAGAATTCGTCTTTTTTTTCTCTCCAACGATGCACTAAAAAGAGTCTAGAAAGCAAGTGCAAGCCTTCGTGCTGAATGGGAAGTGTGTGCGAGGAGGATGCTTATTACGTACACATGATGATGATGATGAGGTGAACGAGGGAGAAGACGAGTTGAAAAAAAGTCGGGAAATTCTTTCTCATTTGCGCGCTTAATTTTTTTTTGCTCTGCTCACGTTTCTTTCTTTCTCTCTCACTCGCATTCGGCATCTGCACAATCGCACGACGAGCTTTAGGTGGAGAAAGAAAAAAAAGTTTTTGTTCTTCTGAAAAAAAAATCAGAAGCATTCAATTGATGGACAGGCGATGAAAATTCTTTTGGCTTTAAAAGTTGACTTTCTTTGATGATTTCTTGAAGAAGTTTGGAAGCATTTTCATCAAATTTGTTGATAAAAACTCTACAAGAAATTTCTTCACACCTTCCACACTTGCAAAGCTTCGTTTTTTATTTCAAAATGTTTCTCGATAGAATAAAAAAAAGAAGCTTTCTCATTATTTTTTCATTTATTTTTCGCGAGATGGAAAAATATTCAGCTGGGTGGAGCCTTGCGCTAGATGACTATAGGATGTGATGCTATCCTTTGTCCACATAATGCATGCTTACATTTAGTTTTTTATTTTTAGTTATTTCCTCTATTTACTATTTTCAACTACGTTGTAATTGCTTCGCTAGATTCGAGGAGAGAAAAAAAAAAAGTCCGCATAAACATGAAATGAATAGCCAGGGCATTGCAGGAAGATGACAGAAAAAAATTGCGTTGAATTAAGTTAAATAAATCATTAGCAAAATAAAAATCGTTAGCAATCGTGATAGTTTTTAACAAACGCATTCGAAAAATGTCCTGGCATTCATTTTAATGGGAATTAAATGATAAATCTTTGATACTTACTACTTTGGATTGGTTTCTGGAAGATAAAACTTTCTCATGAATATTTACATGTAGGTTTGAAAAGCTCGATATTACACCTAAAAGTGCCCAGAAAATTAAGCCCGTACTAGAGCAATGGATGAAAGAGGCTAAGGGAAGGTAAATATCAATAATCTTTACATTGATCGCAAAATGATTAGCGGGAATATCTCGTCTTAGCAGGTTCAAGATGAGCGAAAGCCCATTGACCGATTTTATGGGTGTAGAAACATCAAAGAAAAGAAAACGAAGAACATCATTCACTCCACATGCACTTGAAATTCTTAATTCAAGTTTTGAACGAAATACTCACCCTTCTGGTAAATTTAAATTTAAATTAAATTATTTTATAATTTTATTCTTTTTTTCCTTATCATAAAGGCACAGACATCACATCCCTTGCTCAAGCTCTTGGTTACGAGCGTGAAGTCATACGAATTTGGTTTTGTAACAAGCGTCAAGCTCTCAAAAACACCGTCCGAATGATGTCGAAAGGAATGCCAAATTAGGTTTATGAACTTATTCAATAACATTCCTTCTGATCACGGTTACATAATTTTCCACTGCAGCCTCTCATAGAATTGAGGCCGGCAATGCAAAACTTAAATTTCTGTTAGTTCAAACAGCCTAAATATGTTCAAAAGTCGAACCATTTTTTGCCATATTAGTTTTAAGCTGTTTATTTACAACCGAACGTACTGTAATGTAATAAAAATATTTCTGTAAATTAATTATCGTAAATAGATTTCTGTAAAAAAAAAAGAAATTCCCTTCGTTCCCAACGTATTCAAAGAAAAAGAAAAAAAATTAAAAAACATCTTTCGGCCAAAAGTTCCTAAAATTACCAGCTTTCATCATTATCTCGATGAAAGCTTTTTTTCTTATTTTATTTTATGTTAAGATTAATAAAAATATTGAATCAAAACAACCCTTTAGGCAAATGTTCTAATTAACTTCTTTATTTTCATCAGTTCTCTGTATAGAAATATAAACAATTAGCGCTTTAGGAACTCTTTTCAAGATTGGGTTTAAAATAATGTGTAAGGTTTTCTTATGATTCTAAGAAGAGAAAAAATCAATTAATGTGTATAAGCCACAGAAGTTTTTAAATGTAGATCAGAAAAAAATGATGATGGAAATAAAATTTATTAATAAACAAATAAGAGAAAGCTTTTATTTTTTAAAAAACTTCATGAAATTTCATGTTGAATAATTTTCAATAATTTATTTTATAAAGGATGCAATTGGCAGAGTATTTACAAAGTTAAATTAAACTTTAATGTTTTTTAGAATAAATGAAAATAAAAAGAAATATTCAAGAAATGAAAATATGTACGAAATATTCAAGAACATTTTCATTCGTTGAATTTACATATTTTTGATCACAATAAAATCGAATAAGTTTCGATAGTCACAGGTTTGAAAACTTTATAATTGGAATTTTCTATTTGACTTTGCTTAAGTTTAGATTTTTTTTGTACTTGACTGTTAAGGCCTTTTCTGATAAACCAGAAATATTTAAATACGATCAAGAAACCAAGTAAAGAACGAAACTGACATAGAAATTCTAAGTTGAGATGCCATTCATGACTTTCCAATTTCCATTGCCAATCTTCTTAATCTTCATGACGAGATTACCCTTTGGCTTGTCGTTGGTCACGTGTTTTGGAACATTCGGGATGATCCTTTCAGCTGGTTTGTGCAAGATTTTCTTGGGTTCCATGACACCATTGAACGATCCCAAATTGTCAAGCTTTCGTCTTTTAACAAACGGTATGGAAGCTTTTACAGCTGGGTTGGTTCTCTTCACAAGCATTCCATATTGAGGAATGATAGGTGCAGATGGGGCGATATTATTGGAAACGACGCCATTTGGTTTCTTGAATGCATAGTCGGCTGATTTTGAATTCTTCGTTGGTGGTGAAATCGTTGCTTTTGGTGCTGCTTCTTTAGATTTGGTATACGTGTTATGGACGAGTTCAACCTCATTATAGGACGGAATTGATTTTTTCTTGGTCGTTTTCCGAGGCTTCTTGTTTTGATGTTGAACGATTTGTTTTGGTTCCGTTGGTGGCATAATTTGAGATCTTTCATTGGCTTCGTTTTCGGGTTGAGTGACGAACATTGGATCAGCATCTTGAATTATTTCATCATCCATTACCGATCGAAGATGGCGATTTTCGATATGCTTCGCCAAAGCCTGAGGTTTGATCATCATTCCGCAGTATCTGCAACACGTCAAACTGAAATTTGCATCTGGTCGACTACCGTAGAGAGACATTTCAGTTGATTCTAGGCGCATTTGTTTGTGAGAAAATCCGTTCTGCACAATATTTGGCGATTCTATTGAAGGAAAAAAAAATAAATTAAACTTTTAATAATTTTGAATATCAGAAACACTTTTGCATTTAATTTAAACATTTTCAATAACAACACTCTTTGAAATTAACTTTAACTAACAAACTTACCATTCTCAACTCCATCAGTGAAATTATATTTTTCCCACAAATCATATTCTGTTTCTTTGATGCTGATCATTTTGCTTTAACTTTATATTAAATATCACAAATGAAATAAATTTAATAAAATTTGATTAAAATTTCTAAGAAGAACTTTCTTCAACAAGTGACGGTAAAATAATGAATTATTTGATTCTCAACAGCGGCTATCTTAGATTATTTTCCACCACTTAATAACACACACACACACACACACATATTTATAATTTTCACGATCTTTACGCTAATTAGGGGAAGAAGTGAATGAGAAACATCTTACATATTTATTTCCTTGGTAGTTTAGCTCATAAGCAGGTAGTCAACTTTAGGAAAAGGCAAAATTGAAATATCAATTAGGTGCAATAAAACTAATTACGTCGCGAACTTTAATGTGCTTTCGAAGAATATCATCTGTTTGTAATTTCAAAATATGTGCGGAAAACTTGTACTTTATTCATTTTATGTAGATTATTTTAAAGAAAGTACAAATTTTCAATTGGGAAAATTTTAAAAGGAATCTGCTTTCATTGACTACTTTCCTTCTATTTCCTTCTAAATATCTTCTTCTGCCCAGTTTTCTGTCATGTCATTGAAATGATAATTGAGTTCACTAAATGAAAATGATTTTTTTTTATTTCTTCAGAAAGGAACAAACATAGAAACAGCTACAAATACATAATAAATATCCAAAATTTCCTTGATAGTTATGTTTATCTTAATTAAACGGTTAACTTATCAAAATATTTGCAGCTTTTTGGGAATTCCCAGTTTTTGTTTTCAACATTTATTTTAACAACAGCAATACAAACAATTAAATATCAATTAAATACCAATTTTTATATTCAAATACGATTTTATTGGATTTAATACAAATTATTCTTTTAGATCATTTTTGGATGAGATTTTTTTTTTGAATCTCAGCAGAAATTTATTGACTGCCAAAAGAAAGCTGAAACATTTCTTAAATCTATAATTCCTTCTAACTAAATAGACTAAAAGTCATGTTAAATAATTTTCAATAATTTATTTTATAAACTGGCAGAGTATTTACAATTTACAAAGTTGAATTAAAATTTAATTCTTTAAATAAATGAAATATTCAAGAAATGAAAAAGTGAACGAAATATTTATCACAAAATGGCTTTAAGGACATTTTCATTTGTTGAATTTACTTTTGATCACAATAAAATCGAATAAATTTTGATAGTCACAGGTTTGAAAATTTCATAATTGGAATTTTCTATTTTTTTTGCTTAAGTTTAGATTTTTTTTTTGTACTTGACTGTTAAGGCCTTTTCTGATAAACCAGAAATATTTAAATACGATCAAGAAACCAAGTAAACAACGAAACTGACATAGAATTTTTAAGTTGGAATGCCATTCATGACTTTCCAATTTCCATTGCCAGTTTTCTTAATCTTCATAACAAGATTACCTTTTGGCTTGTCGTTGGTCAGGTGTTTTGGAACATTCGGGATAATCTTTTCAGCTGGTTTGTGCAAGATTTTCTTGGGTTCCGTGAAACCTTTGAATGATCCGAAATTGTCAAGCTTTTGTCTTTTAACAGACGGTATGGAAGCTTTTACAGCTGGGTTGGTTCTCTTCACGGGCATTCCATATTGAGGAATGATAGGTGCAGATGGGGCGATATTATTGGAAACGACGCCATTTGGTTTCTTGAATGCATAGTCGGATGATTTTGAATTCTTCGTTGGTGGTGAAATCGTTGCTTTTGGTGCTGCTTCTTTAGATTTGGTATACGTGTTATGGACGAGTTCAACCTCATTATAGGACGGAATTGATTTTTTCTTGGTCGTTTTCCGAGGCTTCTTGTTTTGATGTTGAACGATTTGTTTTGGTTCTGTTGGTGACATAATTTCAGAACTTCGATTGGCTTCGTTTTCGGGTTGAGTGACGAACATTGGATCAGCATCTTGAATTATTTCATCATCCATTAATGATGGAGGGAAATGGCGATTTTCGAAATGTTTCGCCAAATCCTGAGGTTTGATCATCATTCCGCAGTATCCGCAACACGTCAAACTGAAATTTGCATCTGGTCGACTACCGTAGAGAGACATTTCAGTTGATTCCAAGCGCATTTGTTTGTGAGAAAATCCGTTCTGCACAATATTTGGCGTATCTATTGAAGGAAAAAAAATAAATTAAACTTTTAATAATTTTGAATATCAGAAACATTTTTGCATTCACTTTGAACAATTTCCACTAACAACACTCTTTGAAATTAACTTTAACTAACAAACTTACCATTTTCAACTCCATCAGTGAAATTATATTTTTCCCAGAAATCATATTCTGCTTCTTTGATGCTGATCATTTTGCTTTAACTTTATATATTAATTATCACAAATGAAATAAATTTAGTAAAATTTGATTATTAATAAAATATTAAAATTTCTAAGAAGAACTTTCTTCAACAAGTGACGGTAAAATAATGAATTATTCGATTCTCAACAGCGGCTATCTTAGATTATTTTCTACTTTTTAATTTTTTAATAACACATGCACACACACACACACACACACATATTTGTAATTTTCACGATCTTTACGCTAATTAGGGGAAGAAGTGAATGAGAAACATCTTACATATTTATTTCCTTGGTAGTTTAGCTCATAAGCAGGTAGTCAACTTTAGGAAAAGGCAAAATTGAAATATCAATTAGGTGCAATAAAACTAATTACGTCGCGAACTTTAATGTGCTTTCGAAGAATATCATCTGTTTGTAATTTCAAAATATGTGCGGAAAACTTGTACTTTATTCATTTTATGTAGATTATTTTAAAGAAAGTACAAATTTTCAATTGGGAAAATTTTAAAAGGAATCTGCTTTCATTGACTACTTTCCTTCTATTTCCTTCTAAATATCTTCTTCTGCCCAGTTTTCTGTCATGTCATTGAAATGATAATTGAGTTCACTAAATGAAAATGATTTTGTTTTATTTCTTCAGAAAGGAAGAAACATAGAAACAGCTACAAATACATTGATACCAAAATTTCCTTGATAGTTATGTTTATCTTAATTAAACGGTTAACTTATCAAAATATTTGCAGCTTTTTGGGAATTCCCAGTTTTTGTTTTCAACATTTATTTTAACAACAGCAATACAAACAATTAAATATCAATTAAATACCAATTTATATATTCAAATACGATTTTATTGGATTTAATACAAATTATTCTTTTAGATCATTTTTGGATGAGATTTTTTTTTGAATCTCAGCAGAAATCGACTTAAATTTATTGGCTGTCAGAAAAAGCTGAAACATTTCTTAAATCTAAAATTCTTTCTAACTTAGATGATTAAAAGTCATATTAAATAATGTTCAATAATTTATTTTTATTTTATAAAGGATGCAATTGGCAGAGTATTTACAAAGTATTTACAAAGTTAATTTATAATTTAATTTTTTAGAATAAATGAAATATTCAAGAAATGAAAAAGTGAACGAAATATTTATCACAAAATTGCTTTAAGGGCATTTTCATTTGTTGAATTTACTTTTGATCACAATAAAATCGAATTAAGTTTCAATAGTCACAGGTATGAAAATTTCATAATTGGAATTTTCTATTTTTTTTGCTTAAGTTTAGATTTTTTTTTTGTACTTGACTGTTAAGGCCTTTTCTGATAAACCAGAAATATTTAAATACGATCAAGAAACCAAGTAAAGAACGAAACTGACATAGAAATTCTAAGTTGAGATGCCATTCATGACTTTCCAATTTCCATTGCCAATCTTCTTAATCTTCATGACGAGATTACCCTTTGGCTTGTCGTTGGTCACGTGTTTTGGAACATTCGGGATAATCCTTTCAGCTGGCTTGTGCAAGATTTTCTTGGGTTCCATGACACCATTGAACGATCCCAAATTGTCAAGCTTTCGTCTTTTAACAAACGGTATGGAAGCTTTTACAGCTGGGTTGGTTCTCTTCACAAGCATTCCATATTGAGGAATGATAGGTGCAGATGGGACGATATTATTGGGAACGACGCAATTTGGTTTCTTGAATGCATAGTCGGCTGATTTTGAATTCTTCGTTGGTGGTGAAATCGTTGCTTTTGGTGCTGCTTCTTTAGATTTGGTATACGTGTTATGGACGAGTTCAACCTCATTATAGGACGGAATTGATTTTTTCTTGGTCGTTTTCCGAGGCTTCTTGTTTTGATGTTGAACGATTTGTTTTGGTTCCGTTGGTGGCATAATTTGAGATCTTTCATTGGCTTCGTTTTCGGGTTGAGTGACGAACATTGGATCAGCATCTTGAATTATTTCATCATCCATTAATGATGGAGGGAAATGGCGATTTTCGAAATGTTTCGCCAAATCCTGAGGTTTGATCATCATTCCGCAGTATCCGCAACACGTCAAACTGAAATTTGCATCTGGTCGACTACCGTAGAGAGACATTTCAGTTGATTCCAAGCGCATTTGTTTGTGAGAAAATCCGTTCTGCACAATATTTGGCGATTCTATTGAAGGAAAAAAAATAAATTAAACTTTTAATAATTTTGAATATCAGAAACACTTTTGCATTTAATTTAAACATTTTCAATAACAACACTCTTTGAAATTAACTTTAACTAACAAACTTACCATTCTCAACTCCATCAGTGAAATTATATTTTTCCCACAAATCATATTCTGTTTCTTTGATGCTGATCATTTTGCTTTAACTTTATATTAAATATCACAAATGAAATAAATTTAATAAAATTTGATTAAAATTTCTAAGAAGAACTTTCTTCAACAAGTGACGGTAAAATAATGAATTATTTGATTCTCAACAGCGGCTATCTTAGATTATTTTCCACCACTTAATAACACACACACACACACACACATATTTATAATTTTCACGATCTTTACGCTAATTAGGGGAAGAAGTGAATGAGAAACATCTTACATATTTATTTCCTTGGTAGTTTAGCTCATAAGCAGGTAGTCAACTTTAGGAAAAGGCAAAATTGAAATATCAATTAGGTGCAATAAAACTAATTACGTCGCGAACTTTAATGTGCTTTCGAAGAATATCATCTGTTTGTAATTTCAAAATATGTGCGGAAAACTTGTACTTTATTCATTTTATGTAGATTATTTTAAAGAAAGTACAAATTTTCAATTGGGAAAATTTTAAAAGGAATCTGCTTTCATTGACTACTTTCCTTCTAAATATCTTCTTCTGCCCAGTTTTCTTTCATGTCATTGAAATGATAATTGAGTTCACTAAATGAAAATGATTTTTTTTTTATTTCTTCAGAAAGGAACAAACATAGAAACAGCTACAAANATCAATTAATGTGTATAAGCCACAGAAGTTTTTAAATGTAGATCAGAAAAAAATGATGATGGAAATAAAATTTATTAATAAACAAATAAGAGAAAGCTTTTATTTTTTAAAAAACTTCATGAAATTTCATGTTGAATAATTTTCAATAATTTATTTTATAAAGGATGCAATTGGCAGAGTATTTACAAAGTTAAATTAAACTTTAATGTTTTTTAGAATAAATGAAAATAAAAAGAAATATTCAAGAAATGAAAATATGTACGAAATATTCAAGAACATTTTCATTCGTTGAATTTACATATTTTTGATCACAATAAAATCGAATAAGTTTCGATAGTCACAGGTTTGAAAACTTTATAATTGGAATTTTCCAAGGAATTTTCTATTTGACTTTGCTTAAGTTTAGATTTTTTTTGTACTTGACTGTTAAGGCCTTTTCTGATAAACCAGAAATATTTAAATACGATCAAGAAACCAAGTAAAGAACGAAACTGACATAGAAATTCTAAGTTGAAATGCCATTCATGACTTTCCAATTTCCATTGCCAATCTTCTTAATCTTCATAACAAGATTACCCTTTGGCTTGTCGTTGGTCACGTGTTTTGGAACATTCGGGATGATCCTTTCAGCTGGTTTGTGCAAGATTTTCTTGGGTTCCATGACACCATTGAACGATCCCAAATTGTCAAGCTTTCGTCTTTTAACAAACGGTATGGAAGCTTTTACAGCTGGGTTGGTTCTCTTCACAAGCATTCCATATTGAGGAATGATAGGTGCAGATGGGGCGATATTATTGGAAACGACGCCATTTGGTTTCTTGAATGCATAGTCGGCTGATTTTGAATTCTTCGTTGGTGGTGAAATCGTTGCTTTTGGTGCTGCTTCTTTAGATTTGGTATACGTGTTATGGACGAGGTCAACCTCATTATAGGACGGAATTGATTTTTTCTTGGTCGTTTTCCGAGGCTTCTTGTTTTGATGTTGAACGATTTGTTTTGGTTCCGTTGGTGGCATAATTTGAGATCTTTCATTGGCTTCGTTTTCGGGTTGAGTGACGAACATTGGATCAGCATCTTGAATTATTTCATCATCCATTACCGATCGAAGATGGCGATTTTCGATATGCTTCGCCAAAGCCTGAGGTTTGATCATCATTCCGCAGTATCTGCAACACGTCAAACTGAAATTTGCATCTGGTCGACTACCGTAGAGAGACATTTCAGTTGATTCTAGGCGCATTTGTTTGTGAGAAAATCCGTTCTGCACAATATTTGGCGATTCTATTGAAGGAAGAAAAAATAAATTAAACAATTAATAATTTTGAACATCAGAAACATTTTTGCATTTAATTTAAACATTTTCAAAAACAACACTCTTTGAAATTAACTTTAACTAACAAACTTACCATTCTCAACTCCATCAGTGAAATTATATTTTTCCCACAAATCATATTCTGTTTCTTTGATGCTGATCATTTTGCTTTAACTTTATATTAAATATCACAAATGAAATAAATTCAAAAAAATTTGATTAAAATTTCTAAGAAGAACTTTCTTCAACAAGTGACGGTAAAATAATGAAATATTCGATTCTCAACAGCGACTACCTCAGATTATTTTCTACTTTTTAATTATGCACACACACACACACACACACATATTTATAATTTTCACTATCTTTACGCTAATTAGGGGAAGAAGTCTTTGACCACCTGTTTTGTCATGAAAAGAGAAGAAAATTGAGTTCACTAAATGAAGATGATTTTTTTTATTTTATCAGAAAAGATACAGCTACAAATATAAAATTTATAATAAATCTCTTAAATTTCCTTAATATTTATGTTCATACTTTTTAAACGGATAACTTATCAGAATATGTTCAGCATTTCGGGAATCCCAATTTTCGTTTTCACCGTTTTATGTTTCCCGCGATTTTCTCCTCTTTCCATCGAAAAAATCTTTTATAAAAATACCAACAATATTCTAATAAGAATTTCTTGGATTTAATTCAAATTATTTTTGTGATTAGATCATTTTTCGATCAGAAATCTTTTTGGTTCTCAGCAGAAATTGACTCGAATTTGTTGACCTCTAAAGGAAAAGCTGAAAGATTTCCCCTAATCTTGAATTCTTCGTAACTTAGATTAAAGTTTGATCAAAACTAAAAGAGAGTTTTAGATAATCGCTATCCGTAAATTCCCCTCACTTCAATGTTTGTTTTTGATTAAAAAATTCAAAAACGAATTAAAGAGGTTTTAATAGCTCGAAAGAAAATGGCAAAGAAAATCAACGAAAGTTCAAAATTATCGTCCCTAGGAAATAAATATTTTTAAAATATTTTACACATTAACATCAACCATTTATCACTTTGAAGCGTTTAAATAATGTTCACACATTTCACCAACAAAAAGGTGTTTCTCTTTGAAGTACGCTCGATTCATGTCAGAAAGGGTTCCACTGAGATTTTTTTCTATCTAAAAGTATCCACAATCTCGTGAAAAGTTAAATGGAGAAAAATGTTATGTGAAAATTTTCTCATGGGATAATAAATTGTGAGAAATCTCGTTAAATGAGATTTTTTACGTAATTTAATTTCAGTACTTTTCTCATCATACTAAAGCATTTAAAATGCTTCTTTTCATTGTGATAATAGCGAAAGGTTAAAGAAGGTATTCGACCAAAAGGCAAAAGTTGACGAAGCAAACGGCACCGAGGGACTTTTTATAAAAGCCGCTCTTGATTCCCTCACAACACGAGTGTCGTCTACCGATTCTGAAGAAAAATCCCCTAAATAATGTTTACAAAAAAAATGCAGTTGGCATTCGTAAATGAAAAAAAGTCGAATATAAAATATGTATGAAGGCGATGGTATGAAGAATGAAAATGACTGAAAAGTCCACATAATAACAAAACATTTTTTCAACCATCGTTTCGACTTTTTTGGCGATATTTTTTCCAACATCCCTCTTCAGAAAGCATATAAACAGATATACATGCAAGTACTGGACAAAGCAAATAACGATGATGACGTTTTGGGATGAGACGTTAGAGGTAAAAAATCGAGTAAAACAAATGAACTTTTTTTTACTGGCTTTTTCCATGTTTCAGCATCGGATCGGAAAAAAAGTAGATGACGTATGAGTTCTACTCAGTTTTCTCAAACCTTACAAGGTTTTTATTTTCTGCCGTTAATTCAACTCCCTGCATACATTTTTTCGATGAATTTATTTTCCATCCCGCACTGAAGTACACGTTTTGCTTTACAGTAATTTGTGCAAAAAAAGCATCAATTTTTTTACGCGAAATTCTCTGGGACTGTCTCATTGGATGCATAGAACGCTTAATGAGAAATGACTAGATAGTAAAGTGAGCGGACGATAGATAAAAAAAAATGTAAAATGCAAAAGTGGGCTGATGTTTTATTTTTTCTGAGTCTTTCAGTTTTTTTTCAATTTATTGGAAAGAGGAAAGCAGAAAGGATTCAATTTTTAATTGAATGTATAGAAATTTTGAAATTTTTACATAGGAAACGAGAATACTGACGGTGTAGACTTTCCAAAGTTATTGATGAACATTTCTTTCGTGATTGATTTCGTTATCTGACATGTCTCTTAAATAATGAAAGGCATAATTATCAACATTAATTTATGCTTTAAATAAATTGGACATTTATCAAAATTTACTTCAACTCATAAAGAAATATTCGTAAAGCTGTAGAATTTTTATAATTGAAGTTGACGTCTAGGAAGTTGACGTGTTGAGTGCAAGTTCATGAAACATTTGCATATTAAACGAAATTGATTATAAGAATTTTTCATTAGATATAAGAATAATTTAAGTTTTCTAAGCAAACTGGAAGAAATATGATTTCTATCGGAACATGCATGTAAATGTTTAGTTGTTTTCGAAGTTTCTTATTTACATACCTGAAAAATCACAAACAAGGTAAGAGATACTTTCAAGCAGACTCTTATTCTTGTTTTAGAACTCAATGGGTAACATTTTCTCTTATTGAATCACCCTTCGAGAAGCATCTCGTGAAAGTTTGAGAAAGTTTTCATAAAATCAGACAACAAACCACTCTAGAGAGTACACAAGTACAATCATGGAGCTTAGATGGAGATGCGGTGCAATTTTATGTTCTCTCAATGTTTCAAAACTCTCATACCTTCTAATTAGTTTCACCTCATCACACCCCATCCCAATTCCTGTATACTTACTTTTACTTGATTTTCCAAAATGCGAAATAGAAAATTTTTGTGAACTATCGTAACGATGCTCATTCATTTCATCTAAACCACCCACAACCCCCGATCGTAATTCCTAAACAGCAAGAGTTTGAGTTATAAAAGGTATAAGTTTGTTGGACGTAATTTAAATGAGAAAATTTCTATATTTTCCACCGATGTCACCCCCTCATTATGTACATTCACCATTGCAATAAATTCACACTTTTGATTCACATTTTGCCCACATTATTATTTGTCATTTCGTTACTTGAGCTATTCATTCATGGCATAAATATTCAACCAACACATACTTCGAATAACAGCACCAAAATCCCTTCAACACCAGTGTACAAAATGAATCGATTTTCGTAAACTTCGAAGGTTGAATGCTTAATAAGAAGTGGAAAAAAAAATTAAAAAACGCAATATAAAAATTATAATCATATTAACGACCCTCTGGCCTCATTACATTGGGTGGAAAGCAAGCAGGAGTTCGAGTAGAACTCATTGAGTGACTCTCCTTATTTTTTTTTCCAGTTTCGCATTTATTTACAAGCTAAATTATAGAGCAGCGTGAATGTATAATTACATTTTGCTTTTCAGGTTCGCCCGCAACAGACTTCAACATTTAATAAAGCCGAATATATTTTTCGTTATGTCCCATGGCAAGTCTCATAAGTCGGAGAGCTCAGTAATAAAGCCTTAAAATTGTTCATTAGATAAAATCACCTAACATGACAGACCATCTCACTCTCTTTAACTTAAGGCTTTCTCTATCCTTGTTGGATCATCAAAGCTTCACATGCAATACATAAAGATTTGAATATAATGAATTAATTTATTTAAAATTTGCAGTCTTCCTAGTGGAGAGTTGAATCAAAACATCCGTTACTCCAAACTCATACTTTGGAGAAAGATCTCGTAAACCACCCTCTTCTGATTTAGTTATAAATTTGCTATGTTATTTTCTAAAACTTTTGTGCCTCTTTCGTATCGTAGTCTAATATTTCTTCTCCACCTCGCCGGGAACCTTCTCGTTCTAGTCTTGTTGTCAGTGTGTGTAGATTTGCTTCATGGTAATCAGTCCTGGGACATAAAGAAGGGCTTTTTGAAGTCGATTGTTCGAAGGATGAAGAAAGAGGGTTGGGAGATGAGATAGACGATACACATTTATGGTAATGAAACTAAATTAGATAGCTTAGGCAGAGGCCATTGGAGCTGGAGCGCAAGTAGTTTTTCGAAACATTTTCTGTGTATCTTTCGTATGCAAGACTAAAGCAACAAAACGAAGGAAAGTAGAATCGAAAAGAGAAGGATTTTGGAAAATTATTCAAGGAATGAGATGCCATCTACCACCCACACTTCATGATGGATGAATTAGTTTCATGAAACTTGAAACTTTCGTGTTTCTAAATAGAAAATTTCATTTCAGCATACGAATAATAATGGTAAGTTTTGTTAATTGATTTTCTCAATGCGTTTTTCAAATCGAACTTCAACATATTTTATATTTAGTTGTGAATCAGTCAATATAGAAAATTTGTTTGCTTTTCAATTCATCAAAAGTATTTCGAATTATTGAATGTTCAATGAGAAAGTCTTTAAAAGCCAAAGCAACTGATACTCAGGTGCATTTCATTATTTCTCCTTCAATGTTTCAAATAAACTTTTTAAACTTTAGTTAATTGTGCTTTTTATCACTGTTATGAAAGCTCTTTTTGCCCTTGAGGCAGTTAAACGATGTAACAGAAAATTAAAAAAATATCATTACATAAATTTAACATACAATTCTTCTTCACAATGTTATTATCCTTGTTGATGCTTTTAATAAACCGATGTATAAACGCTATTAACATGATGCAACAGATGACGTTGAAACGTGTTGCAAAAATAAAAAATAAATTGTCATAAAGTGAAATATTTAAGTTACGTTCAAAAAATTATGATTTAAACTCTCTTTATAAATGAAATAGTTCAACATGACTTTTAAAGTTTTTGAATTCTTTTTTCATCTTTTTAAAAGTAGAAATGCTTTAATTCTTTATCCTCTTAAATTATGCTTCATTTAAAGATGAGAAAAAAATCAACAAAAGAAATCTCTTCAAACAAAATAAAGCATCAAAGTTTAAAGTGTTGCAAGTGAAATATGAGAAAAATATTCTTTATTCCTTGATACTCCTCACAACAATGCTTGCATAATTCCTTTTTTTTTCATGCACTCATTGCATCCTGTTTTAATATCAAACAGAAAAAAAATATACAAAACAATTCTCGCATCAACGACATGGTTCAATGGACGATGTCAATTGTCAAGTGTTATCTTGTTTCCCTTGTCGCGTTCATCATAATGATAGCTTTCAGCAACTACTTAAAACTTCATTGTTTCCAATCATAAATGGGACGACACCGTGAAAAAAACGAAAGAAAACTAATGCAGACGACCTGAGCTCAATGCTATGATATTTTACAATAATAAAAAAGTACGTATATATGTTTAACAAGCATCAAGTCGTAATGATATCCCTATAGTTCCACAACTTTATACAATAAGTCCAGTAATTAGTCATAATGAAACAGTTCAAATAAGAGAACAGAGTGAGAGAGACAGAGGGAGAGAGAAGAAAAACCCCCAAAGACTCGTATAATTACACGAATGCTAACAAACGAGAACATTCATGAGAACATGCAGTTCGAGCGAAATAAGAAACATTTAATATTAATTACTACTAATTACATAGAACCAGCGAGTATAATTATGTGGTGGGGGTGGATGAAATTATATTATTTTTGTTGTGAAAAATTTTGTTATTGAAGTTTTGTCGACCTAATGGAAAAGAAAGGAGAAAAAGAAGAAAACGAATTTCCATTTTACTTTATGGTGGTATGAGAATTTTGTTTATACGGAAACTCAATTGAGTCACGTAATGAGGTGATTAAAATTATTATTAGGCAATGCTTTTAGTATTATTTCGGAGAGTTCTACTTATGCTATCAAAACTGTTATTCTTGAACTCCAGTTTTTTTTCTCTGTTATTACTAATTACACTGTTTGTACAATAATTGAATAAAACGGCGAAATGTTCTGCTGGGTAGAAATAAAAAATTGTTGACGTTCGACAATTAAATTGCATAAAACATCTCGATTGATGGAATTATTCAAATGAAAAATTATATCGCTTGTTATTATCACTGATCTCGACAGTTTATATTCAGAACTTTTAAATCATTAAGGACTACTTTTAGAATTTTTTGCATACATTTAAAAATGAAATATAAAACTTCACATATATCGACTTTCCGTCTGCAATTTTTTTTCAATTCTATAAAAATCGCCGTTTCTCCCCTTTGCCAACTCACCCTTCTCCAGATACATCATTCGATGAACACTGGTGTGAATATTTAATTTACATTTTTTTTCTCGGACGAAGCAGTGGACGATCAGGAAAAAAAGTTCTCCGCTAGAAAATTCGATAAAGTATGAGGCACTTTGCTCATATATCCTCTGATGCTTTTTTTCCATCTCCGCTTCAAATGATGGCGATTTTTTTGCGAATACATTTTTTTACCAATTCGATATCAGCATAATCACAATATATGGCGTTTTTACTCTCACATAAAGCGAAATGAGAAAAAAAATCCCTCCGAATGTGCACAAGCAATGGGATTTTGGGTGGCGGAGATGATGGGTGAAAATTAAAAATACGAGAAAAAAAATTCGCGTCGTTTATTCAAATTTATAGAAAAAGTGAAGGGTTGTGTATGGTGGTGGAACAGTGGTTAGAGAGGAATAATGCTCGTATATTCGTCCTATGTGGGGTATAATTCATTTCGAGAGGGCATCATAACAGAAGCGATATTTTTTCAAACCCCCCATCGACTTCCCTACCATCGACTTCAACTAAGGGTGAGAAAGTTTATTTTTCTGTTTCTGTTTTTTTTTCGGACATTCAGCATCGGAGTGAACATCGAGTGCGAGAAAAAAGAAAAATTCTGTTCGGGGGGGAACATTTTTCTGTCGCTTTTGCATCTCATTCTACCATCCTTTGGTGGATTCACAGTCCAGTTCAGTTTGAACGCCAATATCGCTTTGCTGTTATACATTTTTTTAATTCTTGTATTCTGTTAGAAATAAAAATGCAAGGGAAAGCATGGAAATAAAAACAACAGCGAAGCCAAATATGAACATTTCGTGGGGAGAAATCAGGAGTGGGAAGCGAGAGCCATGATTGTGTGGAAAGATATGAGTGGTTTTTTGCCAGTGGTTTTTCTGACTGTTGTCGCTTTAAATTTCATTCTTTTCTTTTTTTACTATCCATTTATTTACGAGAAGATCTGGGACGATGTAAAGTTGTCATATGCAAAGATACTTTTAATATCCCTCATAAAATTATTCAATGTTTATGTTGCGTAAGAATCTTTCTTTCCCAAACCAACAAACCTCATGTTTGCTTGCATTCTAACACGTTCGTCTCAAAGCTTTCCCATGTTTTATATTATAGGCTGTCAGAGTTGTGAAATGTTAGATGTCTTTACAATTTGTAACATAACATTGAAGTTTAATTAAGAGCTAAAGTGTCTACTTGCCATTCTTAAAGACATCAATAGAAATTTCTCTGACATCTCTGATGGTTGTCATTACCATAACATATCTGAATTTTGGTTCTTTATAAGCCTTCATGCTTTTCCTATATTCAACAAATATCATCTAAAATTTCAAGAGAATAATTTATTAATTTAAATAGACGATGCAATTTTCGAAAAAGAGACATAAAATAAGGCTTTGCATTACTCTTTGCGCCTTCTCGCCATTTCCTATATGATCTGACCACATTTTGCATAATGATGATTTTGTATGTTGTTTTCGTAGAATTTAATGCACAAATATTTTCACTACACCCACAACATTTCTCTACACTTTTCGACCCTTTTCTCTTTTTCCCAAGGAACCTTATTTTTCCACCTTTCACGCAAATAAGGCACATGCATTATGGAAATCAAGTGTAGAATATGCATTGCAAATAGAGAATGAGAAAGATGGTGATGTTTGATGCGACCGCATCCGTCAACGGCTCGCTCTCGACTGATATCGTCGTCTCTCTCGCGCCCAAATGAGCCGGCTCAACAATCAGTCTAATCCCACCGGATCATCCCCCCTTTTAATATTAGTTTTTCTTGAGACATCATTGACGTCCAACCTCTTGTCCTCGACCTCCTCTTAAAAAACTCCTTGACAAACTCTTCAGTCATTTCAACCGGCAAGGCCACTCTCAGACAAAGATAAGCCAACAATCCAATACCATCGTCATCTTCTTTAAGTCTGGCGATTCACTCATCAATTGTAACCGGCAAGATTTTCCTCCGTGTTGACAAAAAAACTTCATCTTTTCTTTTAAATCTTTGACGCTCTGACCTTGACTCCTTCTTTGTCGACAAAATTCACTCAATTTCATCTGAGATGGCTCAAACAAATATCTTACAAGACGAAGACAACGTTTTATTGACGACGACAAAACAAAACTATTACAGACATTGCACTGACGACCACTCGACTGTCGAACTGCATTGGCGACAAAATTCGACCTCAAATACATTGACCACAATTTGACTCCAAATCACATTAGCGACAAAATTCGACTTTCAACTGACATCGGCAACCTTTCATTGACTACAAAATTTGACTTTAAATGACATAGGCCCCAACTTGACTGCTAAATGACATTGATAACAACCCGACATTAGCCACAAAATTCGACCCCAAATGACATCAGCGTCAAAACCGACTGACAAATGACATTGACAACAATTTGACTGACAAAATTGACCACCAAATGACACCGGCGACATTCCGACCGAGTCCGACAACCCTCTCAAAGACTCCTCCCTTAATCCTGACTTGCCTCCGACTTTGACCCACTTCCTCTTTGTTTCCTCCTTGACTCCCGAATGACAATGGCGATAGCTCGACAACATGACAATGGCGAAAGTTTGACAACTTGACAATGGCGACAGTTTCACAACTTGACAATGACCACCGTTTGACAACATGACAACGGCGACAGCCCGACAACACGACAACGGCGACAGCCCGACAACATGAAAATGACGACAGTTTGACAACATGACAATGGCAACAGTCTGACAACATGACAATGGTAACAGTTCGACAACATGGCAATGGCGACAACCTGACACCACGACATTGGCGACAGCTTGACAGCATGACAATGGCGACAACATGACAATGGCGACAGTTCGGCAACATGACAATGGCGACAGTTTGGCAATATGACAATGGCGACGGTTTGACAATATGACAATGGCGACAGTTTGGCAATATGACAATGGCGACAGTCTGACGTTATGACAATGGCGACAGTCTGACAATGGCGACAGTCTGACGTTATGACAATTGCGACAATATGACGTTGGCGACGGTTTGACAATATGACAGACATTGGCGACAGTTTGACAATTTACTCAGAGACTTCCTTTTTGCTTTTGACTTGCTTAAGACTTTCAATTATTTTTGTCTTGACTTTGACATTTTAAATCTCATTTGAGATGACAAAAATAGACGACTTATAAGACATAGACAGTCTTTTGCTGACTCTGACAGGACAAAACGTCGTATCTTTCTAAAAAAATTGACTATTCAATGTCATTGACAATGAAATTGAAATGGCGTCGTCTTATAATTCAAAAAAAACTTAGACTATGACTTCTAAGTTAGACTATCAAGTTAGACATTTGACGATACGACTCAACTTCTCTTGATCATTACTCTTACGAAGACTAGCTGTCGTAAAACACAAGCGACTAGACTTGAAAATGATTATTTTTTCAATATTTCGTCATCTTTTTCATTTGGCGTCAATTTCTTATTTTAAATTTAATGGCGTCATCATATTTTTCCAAAAAGCTTGGCCATAACTTTGACTTAGACCATCAACGACTCGACTTCTATTAAGCTTGAGTCTAGTGACGACTAATTGTCGCGAAACGCCAGCGATTAGACTTGAGAAAATATTTTTTTCAACTATTGCGTCATCTTTTCTTTTTCGTTTCTTTTTTTCTTTTTTGTCGACTAAGTTTTTCACTTGACTACTTGACTTAAATGACTTGTCTGTGGATTCTTCTATAACTATTTGACTGATATAAAAGAATTCCCTTTAGCTGACACCAATGATGCGCCCGCATCCGTCAACGGCTCGCTCTCGACTGATATCGTCGTCTCTCTCGCGCCCAAATGAGCCGGCTCAACAATCAGTCTAATCCCACCGGATCAATGTTGATGCAGTTTTAGAGCTTAGACGAGGCCATGTTAGTTTCATGAATACTCTGTCGTTTTGGGAAAAATTTCTGCATTCATAAAACCTCACCAGGCAAGTGAAAAAGAATTTTTTACTCCATACTTGAAGCAAGAACAGAATAAGGTTTAAGAGGCAAGTGCTTGTATAGAAGTTTCAAAGTATGAGAGAGATCCTTGAATTAAAATAGAAATAAGCAGATGTTGTAGAAAGTTAACATGGATGTAGTGAACGTATAAGAAAACAGGAAAATTCTTAGAAAAATATTCAAAAGCTTTAAGATTCAAGTGTAAAATATTAAGCGACGAATTCTTCTCATTTTTGTTAATTATTTTGTTTCTATTCCCTTCGCATATCTATCTGGATTGACATTCTCCAAAATTTATTATTTTTCAATGGTGTAAATTTTCTTCCACAGTAGAACTCCGCAGAAAGGCAATAAATCAGCATTCGTAACTCATCCTTTTGTTTCAACCCCACAACGACTGTGGGCTGGTCATTTCTCCTATAAAAGTCCTCTGAAAATTTTAATAATAAATCAACTCAATATTTTTTACTACTTGCCCGATTATAAATCGAAATGATTTTCTTTTCTCTTTCTCGACATAAAAAAATCAGATCCTTGTTGGTGAAAGCATACATACATATTGCATTTCTTTTTTTTTATCATCAGCATCATTATTTTCTCTCAGTATTTATTCTTGTCTCGCTTCAACCTTCCAGAAACATCCTCTGCCACAAATGCACACAACTTTTCCTCATCACGGAGAAAATTTTCGCGCGAGAATAAAAAAAAGCAACAAAGCACCTCGACATTAGCCTCGGATTGGTCAGAAAGCATCATAAACATAATTTGCTCCATACTCGCTGAGTCTCTTTTCCATCGTAATTTTTTACCGCTCGAAGTCCACGGCCACGTCGATTGGTTCCCCCTTTGTATTTTTTTTTCGGACGCGGCGGAAAAAAATTGCTAAATGAGGAACAGAAAAAAAGCTTCGCTTTTAACCGAGAGAAAAATATACTACTTTTGCCTGCTTGCCTGCTTTCCACCCCCGCATTTTCTCATCCTTGTTTTCAATTCATTTCCGATGTTCCATTTTTAAATTTCATTCGCTTGCCACCCTTTTTCTCATCTCATACCAAGCAACGATACGATGAGAAAAAAATTTTGCATCGAGAATTCACAGCATTGAGAATGTAGATGATGAATAGAGGATTCGGAAGGACTTTTTTATATGACTTCATACATAGTGCTGCATAAAAATAACAGCATAAAAGCTTTAGGTGGTGGTGCTCAACATCAATAAACATTCACTTCTTTTGTTTCTAATGATTCTTTCAAGTTTTAATGATAAAAGACATGAAATGTGAAACTTTCTGCGGATGAAGTGCATTAACGTTGTTGTCGATGTCAGAATTCGTTTAAACTTTTATGGAATTATTAAAAATACAAAATTGGTATTTTAAAATTTAATTTCTTTTCTTGACCTGATTTAATATGAAATTGCATATTTTGATTGACGGTTAATTTTTTATTTATTGTTTAATGCACGATTGTGGGAGAATTTATGAAAATATTGACTTCATTTCACAGATGAAAGATGGCGCATGAATTAAATTTTTTATTTATTTGAGAAGATTTAAGGGATTAAAATCTGATGATTTGTTGAAGATTGTTCGAGAAGCTATCGATAATTTTAGATGCATTTGAAAATCAAGCACTAATGAGATTTTAATTGACATTTACGTTAACTCATTGATTACAATTAGCAGAACCAAATTTAAAAACTTTAAGAGGTGTTTATGATTTACCACCACATCGCCATCACAGCATGCAGTATGCTCGATTTCAACATATTGAACTCAATTTATTTAAGAAATTTTATGTATTTATTGGTAGTTCTCTTCTCTTCAGTTGGTTTTATTAAGAATGATAAATAATGAAGAATTCCAAAGTAAAACATTGGAGTTTGATAATTTTTTTGATAACTAAATATTTTACCAAGTACGTTAATGTTGAATGAATTCAATCCCAAGAATGGTCAGAAGACATTTGCATATATGCAA